TCCCACTTCGGGACCAGTCACCGCGCGTCACACTACCACCTTGCCGTGTCCGGCTGCTCCTTCTGGGTCTCTCACTGGGTTTCACGTCCCCTCGTTCTCCCGGAACTTGGTGGGCGTGCGACCCCTCGTGAGTCAGCACGTGGGTGTGTGGTTTGAGCCTTCTGGAGAGACTGCGGTGTGTGTTGACGGGGACTCTTACCAGCCCCTCGCCACTTTTGCTGCTGAGCCGGGCTCCGGTCTCTACACTCTTCACACTGGCCCGCGCGCTCAGCAGCGACTGCAGCAGCAGCAGCAGCCGCAGCAGCAGCAGCGGCAGCAGCCGCAGCCGCAGCCACAGCGGCCGCCGTCGCAGCAGCCACTCCTCCCAGTTCCTGTCCCTCCCCCTAGTCTCCTCCCTGCGTCTCACCAGGTGGTTCCGTCCTCTCAGGTTGTCGCGTCCAGTCCAGTCGCTGCGTCTTGCTCCTGTCGGTCGCTTGCCCACCCCACCGTTCTGTGGCACCACCGGATGGGACACCCTTCTCTTCCACGTCTGCGTGCTATGTCTAGTCAGCGTCTGGTCTTAGGTCTCCCGCGTGTCTTGCCGTCGCTGCCGCCGTCCCTTGCACCACCGTGCGGTCCTTGCGTCGAGGGTAGGCTGCGTGCCACCCCTCACTCCTCCTCCCTTCGTCCGGCCACCGAGCCTTTTGAGACGCTGCACTTGGACGTCTGGGGCCCCTCTCCTTGCCCTGGCCCTGAGCGTGAGCGTTTCTTTTTGGTGGTCGTTGACGACTACTCCCGCTACACCACAGTGTTCCCCCTGGCGAGGAAGTCTGAGGTGACTTCTACGCTGATCAGGTGGTTGCTTACCACCCAGGACACTCGTGGTCGTCGTGTCAGCTGTCTCCACTCCGACCGCGGGGGCGAGTTTCGCTCCGGCATTCTCGCTGGATTCTGTCGCGAACAGGGCATTCGTCAGTCCTGGACGCTTCCGGAGTCCCCACAGCAGAATGGGGTTGCTGAGCGTCGCATAGGCCTGGTCATGGAGATTGCCCGCACCTCCTTGACTCACGCCCGTGCCCCCCATTTCCTGTGGCCATACGCGGTCAGGTACGCCGCGCACCAGCTGAACCTCTGGCCACGCGTCTCTCGGCCGGAGGCTTCACCGACCAGTCTTTGGACAGGGTCCCCTGGTGTCGCGTCGAGGTTTCGTGTCTGGGGGTGCTTGGCTCTTGTCCGCGACACCTCCGCGGACAAGCTCTCGCCTCGCGCCGTTCCTTGTGTCTTCCTTGGTTTCCCTGAGGACTCCTCTGACTTCACCTTTTACCACCCTCCCTCTCACCGGTTCTTTGACTCCCGTGACGTCCGTTTCGAGGAGTCCACCCCGTACTACGTCAGGTACCCCAGTCGAGGTCTCCCGGTTCCTCCTCCCCCCCTCTTCCTGACAGCCGCTCCCCCGCCTGCTCCCCCGGTACAGCCTCCCCCCCCTGGTCCAGCCCCGTCTGGTGTGTCTCAGGCTAGCCCTCCCCCTTCGGTAGCCCCCCCTGTACAGCCTCCCTCCCCACAGTCTTCCTCACCGCCTCCTGTAGGTGCTCCCTCTCGGGAGGTTGGTCCTGCGACTGTCCCTGTACAGGTCTCTGGTTCTGGGGGTGCTGGAGTTGGAGCTGAGCCGCGGGTTGCAGAGGACTCTTCTCTTCCGGGGGCTGGTACTGGTCGTGCGGAGTCTGGGGGTGCTGGTGCGGAGTCTGGGGGTGCTGCGTCTGGGGGTGAGGGTGTTCCTTCGGTTTCTGGAGAGCCTGGGTCTGGAGCTGGTGTTGGTGCTGCCTCTGGGGGTGGTGTGCTTGGTGCTTCGGAGGTCGACTCTGGGGCTGCCGCTGCCCCGGACACTACTCCTTCCCCCCACCCCTACCCGACCAGGTTCCAGGCTCGTGTTCGCCGTGCTCGTGAGGAGCAGCTGGAGTTGGAGAGAGAGGAGAGAGAGTTGCAGCGGCTCGAGCAGCAGCAGCAGCAGCAGCAGGGGCAGCAGCAGCAGCCGCAGCAGCCGCAGCAGCCGCAGCAGCAGCAGCTGCCGTCTCCTCCTCCTGTCTCGGGTCTTCGGACCCTTGGTCTCCCCTCTCCCTCTCCTTCCTCCTCCCCCTCTCCTCCCGTCTCTGGTCCTCCGCTTCCTCCTCCTGACCCCTCTCCCGCTGTTTTCCCTCGTTCTCAGTCTTCGTTGTCCCCTCCTCCTTCTCAGACTTGGGCCTCTCGTCGCTCCCCTCGTGCTCGTCCCTCGTCTCCTGTTCCCTTCACTGACCTTCGTACTGCCTTACTTCGTTCTAGTCCACCTCGTCCGTCTCCGTCTGTGCTTCCGTCTCCTCCTGAGTCGGCTCTCACTGCGTCGCTCCCTACTCCTGTCACTGACTACTACCGCACGTACCGTCCTCTTCTCTCTCGTGTTCTCGCCTCGCTTGTTACTCACCCTCGTGCCTCTGTGTCCTCTGTGTCCGCTCTTACTGCCGCAGTCACTGAGTTTGCCTCTACCCGCCGCCTTGACTTCGCCACCACTCTTGTGGCTGCTCCTCCTTCCAGTCCTCTGGCCGTCGGGGGTGTGTCTGCCCTTGGCTGTGACGCCCTAGAGGACAGGCAGTTTGAGCTAGAGTTCCTGGCCGCCGCTTCCCCTCATCTCTGTGCCATGCTCCTCGCCCCTGAGGGTGACCCCGACGCCCTTGACATTCCGACTCCTCGCACTTACGCTGAGGCAGTGTCAGGGCCTTGGGCCTCTCAGTGGAGAGCTGCCATGGACGCAGAGATGGCCTCCTACAGATCCACAGGCACCTACGTCGATGAGGTTCCCCCTCCGGGGGCGAACGTAGTCGACGGCATGTGGATCTACAGGGTGAAGCGGCCACCGGGATCTCCTCCGGTCTTCAAGGCACGCTACGTGGCTAGAGGTTTCAGTCAGCGCGAGGGAGTTGACTTCTTTCAGACCTTCGCGCCCACCCCGAAGATGACCACTCTTCGGGTGTTACTACACGTAGCAGCACAGAGAGACTACGAGTTACACTCTCTCGACTTCTCTACTGCTTTCCTTCAGGGCAGTCTTCACGAGGAGGTCTGGTTGCGTCGTCCCTCTGCCTTCACTGGCTCTTTCCCTCCTGGGACCCAGTGGAGGCTGAGGCGACCGGTTTACGGTCTTCGTCAGGCTCCTCGTGAGTGGCACGACACCCTGCGTTCTACCCTGTCTGACCTTGGGTTCCAGCCGTCTTCTGCTGACCCGTCGCTGTTCGTTCGTCGTGGCCCCACACCTTTCTTTGTTCTGGTCTACGTTGACGACCTTGTTTTCGCCACCCCTGACAGGGTTGCTTTGGCACACGTGAAGTCCGAACTGCAGAAGAGACACACCTGCACTGATCTTGGTGAGCTGCGCCACTACCTTGGCCTGCAGATCACCAGGGACAGAGCTGCTCGCACCATTACACTTTCACAGTCGCACATGGTGCAGCAGGTCCTTCAGCGGTTCGGGCTTCAGCACTCCACAGTACAGCGCACACCTCTTGCTGTTGACCACAGACTCACTGGACCCTTTCCTGACGAGCCGTTCGAGCCTAGTGGTCCCTACGCAGAGCTTGTGGGTTGCCTCATGTACCTGATGACTTGTACTCGCCCGGACCTCGCCTTCCCTCTCAGCGTTCTTGCGCGCTTTGTTGCGCCAGGGAGACACCGTCCTGTTCACTGGACAGCAGCTGTGAGGGTGGCGAAGTACCTAGCGACGACGTCAGGCGTGGGGCTAGTTCTTGGAGGGCAGCAGTCTGTCGTACTTACTGGTCACTGTGACTCCTCTTACGCTGACGACGCTGAGACTCACAGGTCTACTCAGGGGTACTGTTTCAGCCTGGGTTCTGGAGCTGTTTCCTGGCGGTCCACGCGCTCCTCTTCGGTCTCGACCTCTACAGCTGAGGCTGAGATCTACGCTGGTGCCATGGCGGCACAGGAGCTGCGTTGGTTGACCTTCTTGCTCACCGACCTTGGTGAGCGGCCGAGCTCTGCACCGACCTTGTTCACTGACAACAAGGCGTCTATTCTCCTTTGTCGAGAGCCACGACTGGAGAGCAGAGTGAAGCACATTCACGTCAGGTACTTTCTTCTGCGAGAGTTGCAGAGGCGTGGACAGGCTCGCTTTGAGTTTGTGGAGTCCGAGGCCAACACTGCAGACATCTTCACCAAGGCGCTTCCGCCTTGTGACCACCAGAGGTGCTGTGTGCAGTTAGGCCTTGTTGACACTGGTTCTCGTGTTGCTTAGACTTGAGTGTACTGTTTACTTTGCTTTCTATATACCTCTGTTACTTCTTGGACTGGCCTTGTGGCCACTGTTGTTTGTGCTCAGACTGTGTGGTGACGTTGTGATCCACCCTGAGCTTCGTTTCTTGGACTGGTCTTGTGACCGTACTCGTGTGGTTCTGCTAGACACCCCTCACTTAGGCTATGGGGGTGTGTCAAATGTTGTAGCCTATAGTGAGGTTTGTCTTAGGAGGTACAAAACTTAGGGTTAGCTATATGTACCCCAACCAACATCAATGCATCATCCATTCTTCATTCTGACACTATTGTGTCTGGGTGTAACTCTAGGGGCATTATCAACCTCCAGTAGCGGCCAAGAGAGCTCCAAAGTTTCTCAACATTTTATTGCTGTCATTTGGGTTCTTGTTTGTGGTTTTAGACAGCATTTGAGAGGGTTGACATGTGTACTGCGGGCATGATGCAGCTGTTTAGGGAAGAGCGACCTTGGAATACTGTTTCTGAAATGTGCCCAAAACGACCAAAGAACAGACGTCCCCAAAATATACACCAGAAAAAACAGGGTTTGATCAAATGAAGGGGACCATTGCTGTAATTGCTACTGAAACTTTTTTTGTTTAAAAATGAAACAGCAGATGCAGACACTGGGGATTTTCCTGAAAAAAAAAAGTACCATAATCTGTTAATGATCTTGGTAACAATCTGTAAATGATCAACTGGTCTAGCACCGCAAGCTGAGAGCTGATTTTTCAGCTCTCACCCCAGAGCTGGAGTAGGGCATTGGTCATGACACCAAGCCCTGCCACAAACCACTTGACGAACACCATCCACCACCTGTCATTGGCTCCTGGCTTCATGCCCTTGGCCAGCAAATGACCAAGAGCAATAAATATAAACACTCCAGCCGCCATGCCGTTTCCAAACGCCTTCACCCAATCCCGAGCCTGCTTGCCGCTTGCTGAATCAATCGCAAGACCAATGGCGATTCCAGTGGGAGCAACAATGGAAGCTCCGATGGCGAAGAGTAGATGGTTGAGCCACGAGCGGGACGTGTCTTGAACGCGGAGAGTCACTCCAAGCGCCATTCCCTCGAAAAACTGCAAAAATGTGAAACAAGCGGATGTCAGATGGTAGGACGTGTGAAGGAATGCAAAACATCCTTTTTTCCAGATGCAGAAACTCGGGGATTATCCTGTCAGATCTTAGGACGAGGTAATTACCTCGTTAACGCCGATCTGAGCAGTCATGGTCCAGACTCTCTGAACCGTAGACGCAAGGCCGACAGCCATGCCCTCAAAGAAGGCGTGGAAGCAGAGGGCGAAGAGCACCACGATAACGTCGACGATGGAAAGCGCCTGCACGTCGATCTGCTTCTGATTCTCCGAGTCTGCGTCGACCACCTTGGTCTGGCCTGCGCCCATGGCGCCAGCAACTGTTGGACCAAGCTCTTCTTCCTGGAAAAGATAGCAGAGCGGCGAAATAATGTCAATGACATTCCTCCATGCAAACTTCTGCTTTATTTTTTTCGTGATGTTGTATGTCAGAGTATTTTTTTTGTTCCAATAAATTACTCGCACCTTTTCTTCTAAGGAGCCGGATCTCTTCCGCCAGATCGTCTTCACAATGAGGTCACAGAGCCACGTGAGGTAGATACCCATCACAATGACCAGCATTCCGTAAGGATAATCTGTCAACACACACAGCGACGCAGCGTTAGCAGGGACGACAAATCTGAAGCGAGATTACAGCACTTTCTTTAAATACTCCGACAAAACTGTTCTGATGACAGATAGGTCTTACTGGTGAGTGGGTGGAGGCACGTGCGGCAGAAAACGAGGGAATCAGCGGAAGTGTGCTCTTGCGCTTACCTTTTCCAGCGAGCTCTTCGAACTCCTCAAATGTCTCCACAGCTAGATAGAGAAGTGACATCCCGATAAAGAGACCAGTGGAAAAGAGAATTCCGAACTTGAGAATTAGCTGGTGGATCGGAATGAAGTACGGAAGCCATACGCCGAGAAAGCTGCAAGCGAAGAAAACGAAAATGGCTCCCGCCTTGTTTGCGTTCAGAGTTTTCGTCGAGTCTTTTGAACCCTGAAACAAGAAATAGCGGCGGGATAGGGTTGAATGCATTGTAAAAAAAAAAAAAAAGCCATGAGAAATAAAATACTGTATGATATGCATTACCCAGCAGCTGCTTGTTCCCAACAAGATTTGGATTGGTCACAAAATGGTTGTGGGTGTAACTGGAAAGTACACACGCCATGACTTACCGAACTCGACTCCGCTTCCTCCTCCTCAGACGCAAGTGCGACTGTTACGAACAATGCGAGCAGCAGGAACGTGATCAGGTATCTCTTCCAAGCAGCCATGTTGATTGGCACTCGCAGGATCGTGTCCACAGAGAGCGAAAACTGGTAGCTGATAAGACGTTCCACTCGTCTGGAGAGTGGCTATCAGAAAAAATAAGGATAAGGTACTCGCAGTGCACTGGCTAGACGGTCAGGGTGACCAGATGCAGAAACCGTGAAGCGGGAAGTCGATCTCAGGAGAACACGAGACTGACTTGATAAAACCCGTGACCAGCTCTAGCTTTATCAGCAGCAAAATCAGAACCACTGCTTCACAGACCGAAGATGCTCCATAGACATACAGGCGGTCACCATACGGAAGCTGTGTGCTGCTCAAGCACCCAGCACACAGCCAGCCATTGTCGTGCCTTGTCATCGGCCATGAAAAGCAGCGCCCAGTAATCCACATCTCGTATCCAGATTTCGGTACAGTATGTCGGCATGTCATCTCCCTTCTTCATTGCCAGACTGCTCGCTCACCGCTATCAAAGCACAGGTGGAGGGAAATAACGGATAACGGGGGAAAAAATGCTGCGACAGAAACTCGGGGGAGGCGTGGAGCAGGCATGGAGATGGCATGGTGGTGGTGTGGTGGAAGCCCAGATGAAACGGTGGAGAAGCCACACGGCATACACCTCAATGGAGATGAAGCTGTACAGCGGTACATCTGTGGTCTATTGGGCACCGAAATTTGTTTCGCGTGAGTTGTGGGAACAAGTGAGGTGTGGCCAGGGCGTGGCCTTCACGGGCTGCACCGTGAACTGGAGGGGAGAAACTGTTTCGCGCTAGAGTGGCTTCCGCTGCTACATATTTCTTTTGCGCACTTTGTACAACTTCCTCCTGTCACATATTTCGCCATAGATTTGACCAAAAAATGCTACAAAACAAAAGTGGCTCCATTTTAAGACTGGAAGTGAGTATACTACCATAACTCGCTATACGTGGAATGGCATATGTATGAAGTGGTCATCACGACATTGACCGACTCCAGTGGGAAAATATGTGATACACCCAACGAGAAGCTTTATCCGGCACTGCAAAAAACTCAAAAGTGGAGCATTTTCTGCACGTTATCTTGACGGATGCGATGTGCCTGCAGATGAGAGGGGCGTTTGTGTTAGTTACTTTGGCGGTAGCAAAAAGTAGTGCAGTGCAGTTAAGGGCACAACAAAGCATTAAAAAACGAGACTCAATTGTTGTGGACTTAGAAGACTTACATGATGTAACTTGATCCCTGCTTTAGTGAGGTCCGTGAACTGCGACACGGAGCACACAAGGGAGGGAACAAACAGAGTATCGTCCAAAAAACATATAACCACAAATGGCAAATCCACGGGAAACCAAACCAGCATTTATGGAGGTGGGCATGCTGGCATGTCAAGAATGAAAGTTCAATAGATGCAAGTGGAATTTCAGTCTTAACAGGGGGAACGAAACCTTGCAGGAAATGCAAAAGCAATACTCACCGCTTGAAAAGGAGTGGCTCCCGCGCCCGGAGTATCGCGGAAGTCACAGATTCTTGTTGCACGGATTGGACCGATATGCTGAAAAGGGAAAGGATGGCTTTCAGTATCAAGTGTCTTACTCTTGGAAACAGCTACATTGAAAGTTGTTCGAGAAGCGTGTTTTATTACTGCTGAAACAAATGGCACTCTCACCTTCAGCTGCATTAGCTCCTCCCTGCATTGCACAAGTGTCCCATGTGCCGGAAGGTTCCGAGAGTAGGCATGAAGAGAGGCAAGGAAGGGAGGGAGAGAGTTAGGGAGGAAAAAAAAGGGAGGTAGGGAGGGGGGAAGGGAGGGAGGAGACATGTGCGAATGCATCAGTAGCCTAATGCACACAATAGGGTGGTGGACATTCACAAGAAAATTAAGGAACAGCATTTTGTGGTTCTCCATGAGCTGTTTCCCGAGCACTTACTTGGTTGCCGTGTTAAATTTCTGAAGGAGCTCAGCCTCCGCAACAGCCTGCACATGAAAAGAATCCCGGAACAATTAAATTGGATTCAAGTTAAATTGAAACAATATAGGCAGCACAGGGAAGCACGTGGCATGGGTAGAGGCAGCACAGGGAAGCACGTGGCATGCTTACAGATGCTGCAGGTTGGTGAGAGCGCCAAAGGTGGTGGGGATGTCACTGTCAAGGTTGTTCTGAAAGAAGTTGCTGCGATGAGAGGCATGCCCATACTGCACGAGTTGAAATGGAAGGACTTACCACGAACTGAGTCCCGACGTCCTTGGCACAGGCTGGGGTCAAAGGGTCCACTATGCTAAGGCCCCTCATGGCACCCTCAAGCAACACATCCGGTGCTTCGCATGACACCTGGGACAGCAGAACAAACGAGCGTTTCATCAATATCACCCGTGCCACTTCATAAAATCCAGAGCGCCCTCCCTAAAGTGCATGGCTTTGAATAGGCAACACTTACCATGGCGTTAAGGAAGGCAGGCCGCTGTGATGACTGGTTGGTCGATACTGTGCCAAGGGGCTGCCTTGAAGGTGTCCCTGAGAGCACAGTCAACGGCTGCAGGGGCAGCGGGCCGTGGCCCTGCTCCTGTGCATTCGGCACCTGGTCCCTCCCTCCCTCTCCCTGCTCCTGCACATTCTTCTCCTGCGCTCCCTCTCCCTGGTCCTCCTCGCCCTCCTCTGCTATGCTCTCCCCTGCCACCGGAACCAGAGAGAACGCAAAGGCCCCGCATCCAGCACCCTCGCCCAATTCTTCCTCCTCTTCCTCCTCCATCGACCACACACTTGAAATGCGGTCTAGCTCCGAGGCTGCAGGAGAGGACTCTGCTGCCCTGGTATGGGTTGCAGCATCTGCATGTGCTGTCTCTGCATCCAACATGGAATCACTTGGAGCATCCTCGCCTGCTGGCATGCCCGAAACCTCCTTCTCCTCTTTCCCTACCATCTTGGCCGCATACCCTTCGTCTACTTCATCCTCACCCTCAACTTGCTGTCCACCGTTCGTTTCCTCCCCACCCTCCACCCCCACGCCGCCATCAACCTCCTCCCCCCTCTGAACCTCCTCGCCGCCCTCAACTTGCTCACTGCTCGTCTCCCCACAACCTCCTTTCTCAATGCCCACCACGCAGCCTTCCTCCTCCCGCACCTGCTCCATCTCCTGACCTCGCACCTGGCCACTCTCGCCGACTTGTGCAGCCGCCACGTGGCATTCCTCATCCTCCTTCACCACCTCGTTTTGCTCCATCTCTCCGGTCCGCTCCTCCTCCTTGCTCTCAGCACTTTCTTGGTCGGCGGTGCTCGCCTCCTCTCCCGACCCCGCGCTACTGCCAGTCGTGCTGCCATTCGAGCTGCCATGGCACGTGGATGCTTCAAACGTGTCAGAGGCGGCAGCGGCGTTGTCCCTGTAGCATTCCCACAGCTTCCTCCGCGCCACCCCCCCCTCCCGCTCACTCGTGCCTTCGTCCTCCCCCTCCACTCCACCCTCACTCTCGCCCACCACCTCCCCGTCACTCAGCCTCCCTCCCGGAGTTGCAAAGGACAATTCTTCTCCATCCTCCATCGAACCCTGCTCACTTCCCTCCGTTCCGCAACATTCACCACTAAACCCGTCCTCTTCCGCTGCGCCTACCCCGTCCGGCTCATCCCCCACTCCTGCTGCTTGCACCCCGCCACCCCGATGCTGGCGCAGGGGGTCCATGAGGAGGAACTGCGCCTGCTGCGCATTCGGCGCAAGCGGACTCCCCGCGGCCGTCGCTACTGCTGCCGCCACGCTCGCTGCTGCTGCCGCAGCGGACATAGCAGCCATGACACCATCACACGATCGCTGGCGCTGAAGCTCGTCGGCTGCACGATTTGCAGCGGGATGAACACCAGCATCCGCTGCCACAGCCGTCCCTGACGACCCCTGGCGCTGAGGATTCCTAGCAGCCCTCTCAGTAGCCTCCCCACCAGCCTTCCCAGCAGCGTTCTCAGCAACCTTCCCAGAAGGCTGCGCAGCAGCTTTCCCTGCAGGCTTCGCGTGAGAGACGGATCCCGACTGCTTGACCATCCCCCTCTGCCTGGCGGCGGCGGCCCTCTTTGGCGACTGGTGCTTGGCCAAGCTGCGCTTCAAGGCGAGGGCCTGGCGAGCCTCAGACGCGGACGCCATCTTCGCCGCCATGCTCGCCGTCATCTTGTCTGCTATCCGCATCCTCCTCCCACCCGCGCTGCTCGCCCCACTCTCTGCACCACCGCCCGCTGACGCTGACGCTGACGCGGATGCCGATGCTGAAGCAGATGCCGCCTCTGCCACAGCCACCGCCGCTGCTGCAGAATCAGGTTCCTCCAGTGCCTCTACAGCATATCTCAGGAAGTCGCCGGGACGGCGGGTGAGCAGTGAGGAGCGGGGCCGGGGGATGAGGCTGGGCGTGGAGTTGGCGGCGGAGGACGCTCTGATGGGGCTCCTCTTGAAGCGAGTGGGGTCGAGGATGCGGTGCAGCTCCCCAGCCACTTGTTGCTGCACGCATAAGAGCACGACAGAGCACATAGCACGTGAGTTCCGGGATGCGAGCAATGATTAAACAATGCACCAACCCAGCAATGCACCAAAACCAGCAAACCCAACAATCCCCGTTTACCTCTCGTGGAACTCGAGCAGGATAAGGGATGTAGCCCTTCTGAGCACTGGAGGGCCCGCTTGCACTGAACGGAGACGGCCTGAACACAAGAAACCAGCTTGCAAGCCATCAAAATCAGGGGTTGCAAGTGAAATAACTCCACGTCTTCCCATGTGACACGTCAGCGCCAGCATTGCTATGTTGTTAAAATATTCATGCTTATATCTGCTCAAACGAGGACTCACCCGGCAGAGCTGCTCTGGACGATCGCTTTACTAGCGGCCTTCTTCGCCTTGAACGCGGAGAGCTGGGAGAGCCTGTCAGCCATGGTCTGCTTGGGGGTAGCAGGCAGCAGGGTCTTCGCGACGTTGTTGCGGATCAGGCGAGACTGCGCCGCCACCTCCAAAACCGCCATCGCCAGTTTGTCATCATTCGGAGCCTGATGGATGGACAGAAAAGGGAAAGCGTTTGATACAACAAACCTTGGAAAACAGCATGCGAACGCAACAACGTAGTGTATGGCGACGACAGGATGGTCGAAGATCATGCACGGGTAAAGAAACCGTGCGTTCCGAAAGAAGTAGGCGAAATGGGATAGAAGCAGTTACCAGGCAGGCGATCATGACTCCTCGGCTGCTGCCTCCAAGCGAGTCCTGCAGGACCTTGGTCAGGTTGCTTCCTCTGTATGACACGTGTTTGGCAGCGGGATCGTTCAGTTGCTCAATAACACGACTAAGCGCCGACAGCGAGAGATTGATATCGCAGCTCTCCGTCATCCGCTGGCCCGTGTTGCCCGTCTCCTTGTTCTGCTCGCGACCTGCATCGAGAGGACGATAAACAGTTAGGATCGCATCGAAAACACGTTCAGCAGTCACGCGAGGAGCACGTGAGTGCTTGTAATAACGGCAGGTTCTCGCTCTCACTAGCTGGGAACGCTAAAAATCAGCTCGTTGGTTATTTGGACGGATTCGTATGCATCACGGTTGCCGCACCTGCCAGATCCACGAGCTTGAGACGGCCGACGATCCCAGGGTTGTCGTCCCGCCATACGTTGAACTGGAGAATGGCGTGCGAGCGGCTGGAGACGGCATTCACCTCCGTCGCCGCGAGGTGACGCCTTCCCTTGGCTCTTGAAAACGCCGCAAGAAACGACTCCAGTGAACCGAATTCCTCCTGCAACGTTGACATCCGGAAGGAAATGAGTTAAACTGGTGGTAATCAAACACCTTTTGCACGTCTCAGCCAGGGAGGAAAAGAGAATGGCTACATATGAAACGGAAGCAACAACCAGGAACTCTTGATTCCTCGTGTGCAATGACATGAAACGGTAAACCATCTATGCTTACCTCATGCAGGCCAGGAATCTGAAACACGTGATCCGAGTCTTCCATAATCTCAAGCTGCTGGGGCTGAAGCAGGTCAAAGACCTTGCTCCCGTATAGCTCCGAATAGGAGAAAGACACCTGGTACCCTTCGCGCTCCAGCTGATTGGCTGCGATCCAGGCTGCGCAGAGGGAGACCAGCCCTGGAACGTCGTCACCATCTCCCTGTTCCATCAGAATCAGGAATAAGATAGAAACTTGTTAAGTTTTACACTTTCACGGGAACTTGTTATGCTGATTGTCTAGATTCTTTAATGTTCACTGAAATATCATGTCGTACCTGCATGAGGTAGGTTTTTCCGCTGCCGGAAGCACCATAAACAAGGACCGTCAGGCTGTAGCCGTCACTGAGTGATGCGAGGCGTCGTTCGATCTCTTTGCCGAAAATGGTCCGGCTGTTGTCGGTTTCGTCGTACAGCGCATCAAGGTTGAAGCTCTTTCCGGGCCTGCACCAGGAAAGTGAAGTCAGTTGAGTTAAGCTATCAAATGATACTAGCGTTATAATCAGAAACGAAAAAGCAAAACTAAACGAGGAAAGCGACTTATTAAGCTTCCTCACCAGGGATCAGGGAAGTTCAGGTTCACACTGTCCTCTTCACGCTCTATCACCATACGCTCCTGGAATCCTTCCCGTGGCGGGTCAGACGGAATACGCGGACGAATCTTTGCGACGACTCGTACTCTGGTTTCAGCGTCGCTAATGACTCGTCTAGGAAGAGGTGTACTTCCGCCAGCCTGGACCGATTGAGCCTCCATGGTGTTAAACAGTGACTTTTGGATAACTTGACTTGAGAACGGTCAGGCCTTTGGCCCTAAATGGCGAACGGCGGATGTAAGAGGATGTTGAGATACTCTGTTCGGTCTATTGGCTGATGATTCTATAGCTCCTCTCGCGCAAGCTCAACCAAGTCGTGACACGTGTAGCTTTCCAAGACGAGCCACTTGACAACGGTCACTTCTTGCTCGAGTAAAGCTACTCAAAACCTACTGATACCGCTTCCTGGTCTTACTGCCTTCCTTGTGCTTCAGAATGCTGGTGGGAGCTTACTCTATCAGGCGATTCTAAACTAGCCTTTCCGTGATTGACTGAACTAAGGATCTTCTGATGTGGGTGGTGTTGCTTCTGATGTCACGGATAATGCAGTAGTTTCATGGCATGTCCGCAGTGACTCCCAGCTTCCTCTCTACCATTCAGTTGCCCCACTGCCTTCACTGAACCTCTTCCCTAAACGTCTTCCCTCCTTCCCAGATTCCCTTGTCAGTTCCCTTCTCACCAGCATGTCAGGCACTAATCTTCTGATCAACATTGGCTTGGCTTGTCTGGTGGGTGGGGCTGGGGCAATATCGAGGCGCGGGAAATATTTGAAAGCGCGCGGGATGTTCTGACAACCTGCCATGTATTGTCTTCGATTAGAAGGATCCGCAAATCACTTGCGTGAAAGCCCATGTTCGTATGATCGAGTTTAAATAAAATGCAGTTTCAAATAGATTGCCCAAAATCAATCACAAATGCAGTTACTTCAAAGCCCTGCAAGTGGGATAAATGCTAGCAATTTTTATAGTGGAAGGTGGTGCGGGGCAGTATGCCAGTCAAATGGTAAACCTGCAAATCCGCCAGGAGGTTGAGCACTAATTGCTGGCAGGCTCCTACGAGATGATGAAAATAACGCTCTAGATGACCGAGAAATAGATCTTGAATATTGTAAATCACCACTTTCCTTAGCTCTTCGGCTGCTTCTCCAATATGCTCCCCACGCCCACTGAACGTAGGTCCTGAAACCACACCGACATGGCAATTCATGACATGGTGTAACCAAAATGGAACTACCAAGAAAAATGGTCGCAAGAGAAGAATAGATGCGATAGCCTACCATAGGCACACGGCCAATGCAACAGCAATGCCGAATGACACCTGAGTGATCTCATGTGGGATGAAAACAATCCACCTGCAACGAAAACAATACAGATAGTGAGTGCATAAAGGGCTCCGGCCAAAAACCCATCCACTTCAACAAGAACCCACAACGGGTATCCCTGATCACTTACCCAACAGAGATCATGCTAATGAGAAAGGAAGTCACACCTGCCAGGAGGAGCAGAAAAAAAAAAAAAAAAATCAGGGTCGATACACACATCTTGTACCAGCCCACACCCTTTAAAGACTCGCCAGCAATGGTGCAAGAAATAGGAGATTTAGCCAGAGCATTGAATATCAGAATTTACCCAAGCAGCAGCATTGGAAGGCAAGTTGCCAGCTCCCCTCACACCTGAACATGCATCGCAAACAGAAACAATCACACATGTCCCAGTGATACAATGCTGGGCCAAATGCACGTATCTGTGAGCACAGGACCTTACATTCTCTATCCAGATACATCCTTGGCATTCTCCTTAAGTCCCATCACCTGGAAGCCCAGAAGGTTTAAAAGGATTTGCGGGGGTGGGAAGGGCGGTCGCCCTGCCATGACCTCCTGCTCCTCCCGAGAGACATTGAAGCATTCTGATATGTGTCTAACCTGGAAGCCCAGAAAGCCTCAAAGGACTTGCGGGGGTGCGGAGGGCGGTCGCCTCGCTGGTACAGCGCGCAGAAGCGAAGGCACGCCGCCATGAACTCCTGCTCCTCCCCCTCGCTTACAAAGGTCTTGCCGACCTTCAGGATGCTCCCTAGAAGCAGCGCACAGGTGACCATGGAGACTATCATGAGGCCCTCCTGAGGAGGTGAGGGGGGTTGAGGGAGTGGGGTGAGGGAGGGGGACGAGGGAGTGGGGTGAGGGAAGGGGGTGAGGGAAGAGGGTGAGGGAGGGGGGAAGGCCGTGAACGAGACAGGGGCAGGGTGGGATAGCGCAGGAAAGGGACACATGAAGAGTGGGGTAAAACAAATACGGACAAACGGACAGACGAATGCAGAAACGAAGTGGGTAGATGAGTGTGAACGATAATGGGTGGCTGAATGCGGGAAAGGATTGGGCAAATAAAATGCATGCTCTATTTGGGTAGAACACGAATAGGGTGATCATGATGAAAATTCCGAGGCAGGAGTGATTGAATGGCGAAGGGAAACAGTGCAGTTGTGAGTGGGTAAAAGAGTGAGAGGTTAAGGAATCAGTCTCCACATGATTGACTTGACGAAACACTTCACGTACCACTAGCGCTGTTGAGAGCGCATACAAGGCAATCAAGCCCTGCAGGAATGGAGGAAACACACACATCACAAACAAAAGCTTCATATAGCAAAATCAGTAGAATGAACCGGAAATTTTTCGTGAAGTAATGTCCACATGAGCATTGGGGAAAAAGGAATTGATCATGATTACAGTAGGTGCGGTGGGTTCTCCCTCCTCGTCCAGGCTGAGCTGAGTGAGTGTGACTATAGCACAAAGACCAAAGAGTGCTGAGATGCTGGATATGGCCTTCAGCTGCTCCGTCTTCTCCTCCACGTCGCGCCGATTCTTCTCCACGAATCTGACGACAGCATGCGGAGAGGGAAGAAATGATTCAGCAGTTACTCCCATCCCAGGAGCATCTGATCCTTTTTGAGAACCCTCACGGCTCGTATTGATGGGAAGCGGGAACAATGTTGCACATTCAGACCGAGCCTGACGGTTTCCAATGTACCTGTGTTACCTGAGCCATAATACCCTCGCATTTTCCAGGTTCATTTGGTCAATATCCTCTTGGTGCCACCTGCATCAGTAGCAAGCGACGGGGTAGGAGAGCGAAGATATGAGGGAATGGGAAGGCTCCACAGTACACATATTTTTGGAACCGATGTAGGATCTGAGGACGAATATGGTCACTTGGACGATGCACACGGAAGAATCAGACCGATTAACTATGAAGGGAGGAACTAACTTCCGCATTCGTATCCTGCGATCGCCTTCCGCCTCGTAAACCGCCTTCTCCTCTCCCCGCCAGTCCAGGTCCTCCGCTCGCCACGTGGCGTCTTCCGCCCACCACGTGCGTTGCTCCTCCCTCGTCGCCGTCGCCATGCTTGTGCCGAACGACACGAGCACGCCTTGCATGATGTCGAGTACGGCCTTAGTCGCCATAGCGGAAAAGCGAATCTGCTTATAAATGGACAGTTCTTGGTTCTTGCTTCTCAAATCTATTCCACCATGCCTCGCACGATATGGAGCACGGCCTTCGATATCATAGTGGGGACTATGGAGCCTGCGTATGGAAGTAGTGTGCACCACTCAATCTCATACCTCCACCTCGGATGATGACTCGATTACAGAAAGCACACCACGCTTTACCATCCTCGTATCTGACTGCAACATACCAGACCGTTTTTGGATACTGTATGGACATTGAAATCCCATGAGCCTTTCGCGACAACTCCGCTTGAGGCTAGGCGAGATGTGGCGAGAGAAACTGACGCAAATCTGGTTTCCAGGAGCAGGTAACCAGATGGACCACCATCATCCGTTATGCAGAAACCTGATAACAGGCACTAGTTATGAAGAAATCCTTGTTTGAATGAGAGTATGGGGTAACCTGTTTCGAATCGAGTGATTCCATATCGCACATGTTTCAAGGTTCTGTCAGCCAATCACCCAACTTCTGATGAACTTGCTGCACAGACGTGGGGCAATGAGCTACAGCCACGTAGACTAAGCATCCTGCCTGACGTGGTCGAAACACTCCCGTCTAGAACTTTGTTGCGCGCAAGCTCATGAGAGCGACCATTTGGCGGGAACTGAACGTGGCAGTGTCTCGGCCACCTGGATATTCCCGAGGCTCTCATACCCCACGTCCCGTCCAGCTTCAGGTGCAAGTTCCTTTGTCCCTCTCGTCCCTTCCCTTCCCAATGATACCACCATAAATTTGAAATTCTCATTTACGACGCAAATTTAACTTCAAGACTGACTTCTTATCAAGTTCTGACTGCGTTTCAGTTGGAAAATATCGAACCATTCTCTCTCCAAAGTTATCTAGCTTCCTGGATCGTAAGCGCTACCTGGAGCCATGGCCTCGTCCGTCGCCCTTCGTCAAGCACTGACCCCCACTCCCTTCCTCACAGGAGCTCCCACAACCCGACTCTCACCCACCAGAGCGTCAGTGAGCAATGGCATTTCTCTGTGCTCGTTCCAGGCGACATCCGCGCAATCTCAGTCTAGGTCGGTCGTGTGTTCTGCCGCTGGCACAGAAGTCACAGCAGCAGCAGCTTCCACTGATAACTGGGTGCCGGTAATCCCTATGGAGGCACTCCCCAAGGGAGAGAGGCGACTCATCAGGCAGGACGGCCAGGAGATTCTGCTCTTCTGGTACCGGAATGAGATTTACGCCGTGGAGAACGTTTCGCCTGCAGAGGGAGCGTACTCGGAGGGATTTCTCAACGCCAGGTTCACCCAGGTTGGTAACGGCAATATTTAGACTCGTTGCTTTACCACACATTCTCTCTCATACAACGGAACAACATTTAGCGCTGCAAACTACACGCTGTCTATCTGGTTCTGCTGATTTCCAGTGCAAGCGAGGAAACAACAGCTTTGAGGTGTCTTTCAATTAGATTCCGTGGCAGATTCTCTTCTTCCCTACCCGCCCATTTTGACAGAATCCGGACGTCTAACACTGAACGCTGCTTTTTCCCTACCTCCTCTCTTCCTCTTCTATCCCTCCCTTTCCTCATGTTCCAGGACGGATGCATCGTGTGTCCCTCAACGGACACCACATTCGACCTGAAAACCGGCGAGATCAAGGAGTGGTACCCCAAGAACCCCGTGCTGCGCGCTCTCACTAAGCCGCTGCGCCAGCTGGAGGTGTTCCCCGTGAAGCTCGAGGACTACCAGGTCTGCATCAACATGGGCCGCGGCTCCGCCGGTGCTGCTGAGGTGGTGGTGGGCGAGGCTTCCAAGGTCGGCCAGACGGTTTCCGACGTTAACGTGAACGAGGTGAGGAGAATGCTATGATTCTTGTATTGCTGTCATTCGAGGACTACCAGGTCTGCATTAGCATGGGCCGCGGCTCCGCCGGTGCTGCTGAGGTGGTGCTGGGAGAGGCTTCCCAAGGTCGGCCAGACGGTCTCTGACGTGAATGTTAACGAGGTTAGGCAATAGTTGCATGGCTTGCATGCTTTGCTCATGATTCATATTTTCTTGCTAGGTCGGTCAAACGGTCTTCGGCGTCAATGTTAGCGAGGTGAGGAGAATGTTCCATGGTGTGCTTGTTCTACCCCAGATGGTGTGTTTGTTTTACCTGATTTGAAGTTCTGTCACATTATAATGTCTGGATGTTCATCCCTGGCGAGAAGAGTGAGATAAACGGTTGTTCAGCCCTGAAACTCCTGAAATGAACCGTGCATGTCTGAAATGCGTACCGTAGTTGGGATGGCGTAAATCAGTAAGTCCAGCATAAGAATTTCTCTTCCCTTATCATCCTCCCCCTTCCTTCTTAACACCACCTGTTGCTTTCTGTCGATGCTCCCTCCTTGCTCCCACAGACAAAGATGGTGGTGGACGAGTCAGCAGGCGGATTCGGGTTCTCACCACAGAACGAACTGCTCAACGGCCGAGCAGCAATGGCAGGCTTCGTGGGTCTACTGGTGATCGAGCTCGTCACTGGCAAGGGCCTGTTGAACGCCACTGGGTTCCTCGACTTCCTATACCGCGTTGGCCTCAATGGGCCGCTCTTGTAGGAATCTCTAAAGCTCACAACGAGAGTATCCTACAATAGGATACTTCTTAAGTTTTGTACATTAACCGGTACTTCCCCCGAAATATTTGTGTAAGTTGCAGATTTTCTATGGAATGAAGTGTGCCATACCAGATCTTAGTGCAAATCTTTTCTGCATTTTAGCATGGTTCAGTAGGAAAAGCAGAAAAACAGGGTGAATATCTGATTGAACCAGATAAGTTGGATTACTTCCTAACTTCACACATTCCATTAAAATCGAATGTGCATATGTATATTACCTTACAGATTGAATGTTAGCAGCATGCTGTATTGTAAGTAATGAACATTACAGTATACTACCACAGCAACCTGTTTCCATACACAGGATATAAAAATAGACTTTCTATAAATGTTTAAGTGCCCATTTTATTATCAGGATTACCAGTATAAATAATCCAGTTCAGGTCAATGTCCAATATTTATCAGAAGTCCTAGAGATTTTGGTACCGGTATTTCACTGATGTTTTAGTATAGTTCCCATGTACTGTGTGCAAGGGGGTTTCGGGCCAGCTGTGCTATCTTACTCACTGCAAAACTTGCAGTGAAGAACAAGCAAAAGACTTCTGACGTAGGCGGGAGGAGGTCTAGTATATTGGAGGTTTCCCAATATTGGAGGTCTAGTATATTGTTGCATATGGTCGTCTGATTGTCAATCCCTTACACAAGCAATACGGTAGTGACAACAGTTCTACAATACCCTCACACTGGTGTTGCACAGTCAAGAAGGCTTTGTGCTAGGAATGAGGATGATAGTTGACCTACAGACAAATTCAAATCGAAATGGAACAGCTACGTTCCTTGCCGTCTGTTCAGAAGTGGCCCCACTCACTAGCTTCCATGTGCAAAGAATGAAAACTCCAAGCCTCATTCTTTGTTTCCCCACATACTCTACTCACCACCCTTGGTTACCCAAGTCTCCATCTTTCGTTACGGAACTCCCCCTCGACTTGCCCATAGCCCTACTCAGTGACTCGGAATATCCCTAGACAACTGAGGCACCCGTGGCCCTCCAGCCCCAGCCATGCCCTGTGGGCCACCTGGCACCGTCTCATTGGACAGCGCAGCGAGGCGCTGAATCAGCACAGCGCGCTGCCTCTTGAATTCTTCCAGCCTGGCGGTCAGCTCGGCAAAGGCAGCAGCAGCCGCCGCTGCTGAGGGAGGCTCACCAGCCCCCCCTGCTGCAGCCACCGCTGCCGCTGCCGTTGCTGCAGCTGCGGCCGACGGACCTGCCGGACGAGCCTCCCCATCAGGTGAGGTTCGGGAGTCAGCCTCGGCCGAGCCTTGCTGTCCGGCCTGGGCGGAAGGTTCAGCAGAACCGGAGCCTTCCGAGCCTGCGGTGCTGGCTGTGGCAGCAGCTGCGTTGGCACTGGCAAGGGCGGCAGCAGCGGCCCTCTGCTGGGCCAGCTGCAGCTTGCGCCTCAATTCCTTGCCTCTTGCCATTTCAGCCTCAAAGGCAGCCTGGTGGAGAGGGACAGGAGGGAGGCGGAAGAGCGGGAGATGGGATTGGGGGAAGAGAGAGAGGGCTTGTGAGACGCCTGACAATTCTGCTGGGCCAGCTGCAGCTTGCGCCTCAACTCCTTGCCCCTTGCTATCTCCGCCTCAGAACCAACCTGGGAGGAACGGAGAAGAGAGGGACGGCGAGTGATGTGGGGAGAAGGAGACCGGGTGAGAGGCACTTACGAGCATGCACCGGGGAGGGTAGCGATGAGAGGGGAGGAGGAAGGGACGGCTGTGGATGGTGGCAGGTGTTGGGAGAGGTGGGAGTGACTGTGAGCTGCTGGGTGTTGGTCGCTTTTCTCTCACCTGAGCCTGCTGCACGGCTGCCTTCTGTCGCATCACTGCTTGCTTTTGAGGCGCCTCAAAAGAGACGACTTTTGAGGCGCCTCAAAAGAGGTGGGAGTGCCTGTGAGCTGCTGGGTGTTGGTTGCTTTTCTCTCACCTGAGCCTGCTGCACGGCTGCCTTCTGCCGCATCACTGCTTGCTCCAACGCCACTGGGTCGTCCTGCCGCCGCCTCTCCTCCAGCTGAGACACGGGACGATAAGGGCGGGGGGGGGGGAGGGGGAAGAAGGGAGGGGAAGAGGAGGAACAGGTGGAGGCATCAGACAGGTAGGAGAGGACTTGGAGGTGGACAGTAGAACGGTTCTTCTACTGCTCCTCTTGAGTCGACTCAAAAGTCACTTGGAGGCGGACAGTAGAGCGGTTCTTCTAACTTCTTCTACTGCTCCTCCAGACACATGACCGTGGTCCTTGCTATCCAAGCCCTTTCCCCAAAGCTTCTCCACCGCCCTCCCTCCCACCCTCCCCATCACTCACCTCAGCATTCTTCTGCTGCTCCTCCAGGCACATGGCCATTGTCCTATCCAACTCTTGTTTTAGCTGAGCCCTCAGCGATCTCAGCGCCTCAATCCGCTGCCGCTGCTCCGCAGTCGCGCCTGTCAGGGGCGCTCCCCCCACTCCCCCGCCTGCTGCCACACCCGCCAGCTGCTGCTGCTTCTGCTGCTGCTCCAGCTGCTGCTGCTTGTGTGTCACGTGCAGCAGCTCCCGCTGAAGAGTCTCCGTTTCCGTGCGGAGAAGGGCCACTGACTTTTCCAGTGACTCGATCTCCTTTATCTCTGCCTTCAGCTGGGGAAGAAGCGGGGGAACGGGGGGAGGTGGGGGAGAAGAAATAGATGGGAGAAGGGGAAGGGAAAAGGGCAAGGGATAGGGATGGGTGTGGATGAGAGTGTGGAAAAGAGTGCGAGAACTTGTGCTGCTTGTGTGTCACGTGCAGCAGCTCCCGCTGGAGAGTTTCTGTTTCTGTGCGAAGCAGGGCAACCGATTTTTCCAAGGACTCGATCTCTTTGAGCTCTGCTTTCAGCTGGAAAAGAAGTGGGGGAACGGGGGAGTGATGCCGGGAGAGGAGGGACGGTGGGGGAGAAGAAATAGATGGGAGAAGCGGAAGATGAAAAGGGCAAGGGGGAGGCATTGGTGTGGATGGCAGGGGCGAAAAAGAGTGCGAGGGGCTGTTGCTGCTTGTGTGCCGCGGGCTCCCGCTGCTCCCGACTCATGATGCACCCCACCCCACCCCACCCCACCCCACCTCACCTCACCCCTCACCATCCCGCACACTCACCTCTGGCTCGAGCTCTATCTCAGGCACGGGCCCCTTGATTCCCGTCTGCATGCGTGCATACAGCTCCCTCTGCTCCTGCAGATCCACCCGCAGCTGAGCCGCCTGTGGGTTTGCGGGAAGGGGGGCGTAAGAGCAGCAGAGGATACGATCATTACTGGGTTTCAGGGTCAGAGGTAGAAGAAACATTGACTCCTGCCTGCATGTGTGCATACAGCTAACATTGACTCCTGCTTGCATGTGTGCATACAGCTCCCTCTGCTTCTGTAGATCCACCAGCAGCTGAGCCGCATGGAGAAGACGGAAAGGGAAGAGAGGAGAACAAGCAGGAGGATTAAGGGGGGTATCAACATAGCAGTGTGGCTACAGTTGTTACTGGGTTCCAGGGTCAGGGGTAGCAGAAAGATAATTGATGCCAGTCTGCATGCGTGCATACAGCTCCCTCTGCTCCTGCAGGTCCACCCGCAGCTGAGCCTCCTGGTGAGCAAACAGGGGAGTGAGTGAGGAGCGGGAAAGGCATTGGGTAAGCAGAGCGGAGGTGAGAAAAGGGGGGGTTTCATGCGAGTACAAAATAGCAGTGCATAAAATCTCACTGGGTTTCAGTGTCAGGGGCAGCAGAGAGATGATTGATGTCCATCTGCATGCGCGTATACAGTCCCCTCAGCTCCTGCAGATCCCTCCACACTCTCATCTCTCTGTAGCACCTTCTTCAGCTCCTGCAGAGTCTTCCTCCTCTGCACCAGACTCTCCTTGAGCATCTCGTTCGCCCGCACTTCCTTCATCATTCACACTGCTGTTGCCATCACTTCCCCTCCTTGCCTTGACAGCTGCACCCAGCACACCATATCCCCTTAGGGCACTCACATCTCTCTGTAGCGCCTTCTTCAGCTCCTGCAGAGTCTTCCTCCTCTGCACCAGACTCTCCTTGAGCATCTCGTTTGCCCGCACTTCCTTTGCCAGCGAGGCGCGCAGCTCCTGACGCGACGCCTCCAGCACCGCCACCTGGGTGCCGCTGTCCTCGTCATCATTGTCCTCGTCCACGTCATCATCATCCACCAGCTCACCCTCCTCATCGTCTTCGTCATCCCATGCCGCCCCACTGTAAACCCCACGCGCCAGTCCCCTGCCAAGTGCCTCGCCCTGGGAAAGGGGTGCGGGAGGAGAGGAAGGCAGGGAGGCACAGCACCATCGTCATCATCATCCACCAGCTCACCCTCCTCATCGTCCTCGTCATCCCACGCTGCACCGCTGTACACACCGCGTGCAAGCCCACGGCCTAGAGCCTCGCCCTAAAGTGGGAATGGGGTGAGATGGGGTGGGGTGGCGGAGGGGGTTGGTAGGCACAGCAACATCGTCATCATCATCATACACAGCTCGACCATCCACTTCGTCCCAACCCTTCGATGCCCACACAGCAAGCACTCACCACAAACACCCCACAGCACTCAATACAAACACCTTGTCGATATTCTCCATGAGGTAAATCGTCATGGTCTGACCCTGGTTCGCTGCCATTGTGCGAGCCATGACCTGCGCCGCTGCTGCAACCAGCAGCAGCCGCAGCAGAGGCTTTATGCTCCCCATTCCCCGCACCGCATCCATTCAATGTTCAATCAAGTAGCACTCGCCACAAACACCGTGCAGCACTCACCACAAACACCGTGCAGCACTCACGACGAACACTTTATTTATGTTCTCCATGAGGTAAATCGTCATGGTCTGAGCGGCAGGCGCAGCAGCACTGGCAGCAGCACCAGCACCCACTTTATACCCTTTATGCGACCACTCACCACGAACACCTTATCAATGTTCTCCATGAGGTAAATTGTCATGGTCTGCGCCTGGTTGGCAGCCATGGTGAGAGCCATGATCTGAGCTGCTGCCGCAGCAGCACCATCCTCCCTGTCCTCATCGTCCAGTCCCCCCCCTTTCAATGTCCACACAGCACGCACTCACCACAAAGACCACACAGAAAGCACTCACCACGAACACCTTATCAATGTTCTCCATAAGGTAAATCGTCATGGTCTGCGCCTGGTTGGCAGCCATGGTGAGAGCCATGATCTGAGCTGCTGCTGCAGCAGCACCGTCCTCCCCATCCTCATCGCCCTTGGACGATGTTTGAAGTTCCCCGCTGAAAAGAGGGCGGAAGAGGAGCGGCGCCATGCAGGCTGCAACAGCGGAAGCGTTCATCCTATTGACTGCCTCGTTGTTGGTTATAGCAATCATGGTCTGCAGCACACTGTGGGATGAGCGGGGTGGGGGAGGAGCGGAGGCAAGGAATCGGGGCAGGTGAAGTGGAGGGCAGGAAAAAGTGATTTCCAAGTTGAGTTATCAGTCATGGCACAGGCGTTCATCCCATTGACTGCCTCGTTGTTGGTTATAGCGATCATGGTCAGCAGCACACTGTGGGATGAGACACGGGGAGAGGAGTGGAGGCAAGGATAGGGGGCAGAGAGGCAGGGAGGAGCAAAGGAAGCGATAGTGGGCAGAGGGACGGGAGAAAGGACAGTTTAGCATAGAATCAGAAGAATTTATGGCAGTTGAGTTTATCCTATTGACAGCCTCGTTCCCACATGCTCCCAAATGCGCTCTTATGCTCCCACACTCCCCACATACCAACCGCCCCATCACACGCCGGTGCAGCAGGCACCGGTTGGGCTCGGGCAGGTTGAGCATGGCGGTGCGCACTGCCACGTGAAAAAAGGAGTGTTTTGAGACGTCTCAAAACACTCCTTTTTTCACGTGGTTTTGAGACGTCTCAAAACACTCCTTTTTTCACGTGGCAGGTTGAGCATGGCGGTGCGCACTGCCTTTAGCTCTTTATGCTCCCATGCTCCCCCTGTCCCCCTTATGCTTCCATCACCCCCCCACATACTCCCACACATCCCCACACACCGGTGCAGCAGGCGCCGGTTGGGCTCGGGCAGGTTGAGCATGGCGTTGCGCACCGCCTCTAGCTTGGCCTCCGCCTCGTCCAGCTCTGCATAGGGTGTTGAGGGGGGTAAGTGGGGGGAGGGGAAAGGGGGTCATTGGGTAGGGTCGTGGAGAGGGTAGGGAGGAGGGCAGTGGGGAGGGTGGCGGGGAGGGCTGTGGCGGGGGTCGTGGGGTTTAAGGCGAAGAGTGGGGGAAGGGAAGGAAGAAGGGAAGGCATGGAAGGGGAGAGACAAAAGTCAACTTTAGGCAAGACGAATTTAGAAGAGTAGTTCCCGGCAACAGGTCTTGGAGCTCTTGAGAGGGCACGATGGGGAACTCACGGAAGGCTTGGTCGAGGGCGGTGCAGGCATATGGCAGCACAGGGGACGTTGGCAACTCCCGGAGGACAAGCTGGCACAGGGCATGTGGCAGCACAGGGGACGCGCATGCATGGTGGGGGGGGGTGGAGAATGAGCGTGATGAGGGAGGGAAATGATAGGGCAAAAGAAAGGAGGCTTAGGAGCAGGATAATGATGGCAACAAGGTGATTATTGACTCAATTTGAATGGGGTAAAGGACAGGAGGGTTGGGGGAGGGGGGAAGTGGGAGGGGGTGAAACGAAAGTCCAAGTAATAAGGGTTGGCCCAGTAACCCGCTGTAATCAGGGGTGCAACAGCCCAGTCCATCGGGTTATTGACCCACCTTGACACAGTCGCCCACGACGTGTGGGTTCTCCCCATCCTCAAACTCCGTGTGCCCCTCCTCGTACTCCTTCAAACGCCTCTCCACCTGCTCCACGTCCGCTGCTGCTCTCAGAATGCCCTCCAGCTTCACTCCTGGCAGCAGAGAGGGGGGAGCAAGGGGTTTAGGGAGCAACAGGAGCGCAGCCAGGCGAGCAATAGAGGGAGCCAAAGCCAAGCTTTTTCTTTCAAACGCGCCTCCAGACCTTCTCCAGTTCGCTGCTGCTCGCAAAATACACTCCAGCTTCACCCCTGGCAGCAAAGGGAAGAGGACGAGGGCGCAGAGAGGAGGCTCATGAGAGCTAGCAGGAGGGCATGACCTAGCAGGAGGGCATGACCTAGCAGGAGGGCATGACCTAGCAGGAGGGCATGACCTAGCAGGAGGGCATGACCTAGCAGGAGGGCATGACCTAGCAGGAGGGCATGACCTAGCAGGAGGGCATGACCTAGCAGGAGGGCATGACCTAGCAGGAGGGCATGACCTAGCAGGAGGGCATGACCTAGCAGGAGGGCATGACCTAGCAGGAGGGCATGACCTAGCAGGAGGGCATGACCTAGCAGGAGGGCATGACCTAGCAGGAGGGCATGACCTAGCAGGAGGGCATGACCTAGCAGGAGGGCATGACCTAGCAGGAGGGCATGACCTAGCAGGAGGGCATGACCTAGCAGCAGGGTTAAAAAAAAGACCGTTTTTTTGAAAATTTACCATAAAAAACGGTATCGTAAAGAACGATCGTAAAAAACGGTTTAAAACGGTTCCAGGAGGTGTTTCCTGTTTAACTAACTAAACGGTCACCTAGTGGGACCAAATTGAACCCGAAAAGGAGCAGCATGAAGGGGACGGACCCCTTTTTGCATGTATGCACTTGTTGGCATGATTGAAAATGTTTTTGACCTTGTTTTTCTCTTTTTTTCCTTGGTGAACAGAGTTCTCTAACAAAAAAACGGCCGTATTTTCGAAAAATCACCGTAAAAAACGACCGTAAAAAACGGACCGTATTTTACGAAAACCGTAATTTTAAACCTTGCCTAGCAGGAGGGCATGACCTAGCAGGAGGGCATGACCTAGCAGGAGGGCATGACCTAGCAGGAGGGCATGACCTAGCAGGAGGGCATGACCTAGCAGGAGGGCATGACCTAGCAGGAGGGCATGACCTAGCAGGAGGGCATGACCTAGCAGGAGGGCATGACCTAGCAGGAGGGCATGACCTAGCAGGAGGGCATGACCTAGCAGGAGGGCATGACCTAGCAGGAGGGCATGACCTAGCAGGAGGGCATGACCTAGCAGGAGGGCATGACCTAGCAGGAGGGCATGACCTAGCAGGAGGGCATGACCTAGCAGGAGGGCATGACCTAGCAGGAGGGCATGACCTAGCAGGAGGGCATGACCTAGCAGGAGGGCATGACCTAGCAGGAGGGCATGACCTAGCAGGAGGGCATGACCTAGCAGGAGGGCATGACCTAGCAGGAGGGCATGACCTAGCAGGAGGGCATGACCTAGCAGGAGGGCATGACCTAGCAGGAGGGCATGACCTAGCAGGAGGGCATGACCTAGCAGGAGGGCATGACCTAGCAGGAGGGCATGACCTAGCAGGAGGGCATGACCTAGCAGGAGGGCATGACCTAGCAGGAGGGCATGACCTAGCAGGAGGGCATGACCTAGCAGGAGGGCATGACCTAGCAGGAGGGCATGACCTAGCAGGAGGGCATGACCTAGCAGGAGGGCATGACCTAGCAGGAGGGCATGACCTAGCAGGAGGGCATGACCTAGCAGGAGGGCATGACCTAGCAGGAGGGCATGACCTAGCAGGAGGGCATGGCCTAGCAGGAGGGCATGGCCTAGCAGGAGGGCATGGCCTAGCAGGAGGGCATGGCCTAGCAGGAGGGCATGGCCTAGCAGGAGGGCATGGCCTAGCAGGAGGGCATGGCCTAGCAGGAGGGCAGGGCCTAGCAGGAGGGCATGACCTAGCAGGAGGGCATGACCTAGCAGGAGGGCATGACCTAGCAGGAGGGCATGACCTAGCAGGAGGGCATGACCTAGCAGGAGGGCATGACCTAGCAGGAGGGCATGGCCTAGCAGGAGGGCATGGCCTAGCAGGAGGGCATGGCCTAGCAGGAGGGCATGGCCTAGCAGGAGGGCATGGCCTAGCAGGAGGGCATGGCCTAGCAGGAGGGCATGGCCTAGCAGGAGGGCATGGCCTAGCAGGAGGGCATGGCCTAGCAGGAGGGCATGGCCTAGCAGGAGGGCATGGCCTAGCAGGAGGGCATGGCCTAGCAGGAGGGCATGGCCTAGCAGGAGGGCATGGCCTAGCAGGAGGGCATGGCCTAGCAGGAGGGCATGGCCTAGCAGGAGGGCATGGCCTAGCAGGAGGGCATGGCCTAGCAGGAGGGCATGGCCTAGCAGGAGGGCATGGCCTTGCAGGAGGGCATGACCTAGCAGGAGGGCATGACCTAGCAGGAGGGCATGACCTAGCAGGAGGGCATGGCCTAGCAGGAGGGCATGGCCTAGCAGGACGGCATGGCCTAGCAGGAGGGCATGACCTAGCAGGAGGGCATGACCTAGCAGGAGGGCATGACCTAGCAGGAGGGCATGACCTAGCAGGAGGGCATGACCTAGCAGGAGGGCATGACCTAGCAGGAGGGCATGACCTAGCAGGAGGGCATGACCTAGCAGGAGGGCATGACCTAGCAGGAGGGCATGACCTAGCAGGAGGGCATGACCTAGCAGGAGGGCATGACCTAGCAGGAGGGCATGACCTAGCAGGAGGGCATGACCTAGCAGGAGGGCATGACCTAGCAGGAGGGCATGACCTAGCAGGAGGGCATGACCTAGCAGGAGGGCATGACCTAGCAGGAGGGCATGACCTAGCAGGAGGGCATGACCTAGCAGGAGGGCATGACCTAGCAGGAGGGCATGACCTAGCAGGAGGGCATGACCTAGCAGGAGGGCATGACCTAGCAGGAGGGCATGACCTAGCAGGAGGGCATGACCTAGCAGGAGGGCATGACCTAGCAGGAGGGCATGACCTAGCAGGAGGGCATGACCTAGCAGGAGGGCATGACCTAGCAGGAGGGCATGACCTAGCAGGAGGGCATGACCTAGCAGGAGGGCATGACCTAGCAGGAGGGCATGACCTAGCAGGAGGGCATGACCTAGCAGGAGGGCATGACCTAGCAGGAGGGCATGACCTAGCAGGAGGGCATGACCTAGCAGGAGGGCATGACCTAGCAGGAGGGCATGACCTAGCAGGAGGGCATGACCTAGCAGGAGGGCATGACCTAGCAGGAGGGCATGACCTAGCAGGAGGGCATGACCTAGCAGGAGGGCATGACCTAGCAGGAGGGCATGACCTAGCAGGAGGGCATGACCTAGCAGGAGGGCATGACCTAGCAGGAGGGCATGACCTAGCAGGAGGGCATGACCTAGCAGGAGGGCATGACCTAGCAGGAGGGCATGACCTAGCAGGAGGGCATGACCTAGCAGGAGGGCATGACCTAGCAGGAGGGCATGACCTAGCAGGAGGGCATGACCTAGCAGGAGGGCATGACCTAGCAGGAGGGCATGACCTAGCAGGAGGGCATGACCTAGCAGGAGGGCATGACCTAGCAGGAGGGCATGACCTAGCAGGAGGGCATGACCTAGCAGGAGGGCATGACCTAGCAGGAGGGCATGACCTAGCAGGAGGGCATGACCTAGCAGGAGGGCATGACCTAGCAGGAGGGCATGGCCTAGCAGGAGGGCATGGCCTAGCAGGAGGGCTTGGCCTAGCAGGAGGGCATGACCTAGCAGGAGGGCATGACCTAGCAGGAGGGCATGACCTAGCAGGAGGGCATGACCTAGCAGGAGGGCATGACCTAGCAGGAGGGCATGACCTAGCAGGAGGGCATGACCTAGCAGGAGGGCATGACCTAGCAGGAGGGCATGACCTAGCAGGAGGGCATGACCTAGCAGGAGGGCATGACCTAGCAGGAGGGCATGACCTAGCAGGAGGGCATGACCTAGCAGGAGGGCATGACCTAGCAGGAGGGCATGACCTAGCAGGAGGGCATGACCTAGCAGGAGGGCATGACCTAGCAGGAGGGCATGACCTAGCAGGAGGGCATGACCTAGCAGGAGGGCATGACCTAGCAGGAGGGCATGACCTAGCAGGAGGGCATGACCTAGCAGGAGGGCATGACCTAGCAGGAGGGCATGACCTAGCAGGAGGGCATGACCTAGCAGGAGGGCATGACCTAGCAGGAGGGCATGACCTAGCAGGAGGGCATGACCTAGCAGGAGGGCATGACCTAGCAGGAGGGCATGACCTAGCAGGAGGGCATGACCTAGCAGGAGGGCATGACCTAGCAGGAGGGCATGACCTAGCAGGAGGGCATGACCTAGCAGGAGGGCATGACCTAGCAGGAGGGCATGACCTAGCAGGAGGGCATGACCTAGCAGGAGGGCATGACCTAGCAGGAGGGCATGACCTAGCAGGAGGGCATGACCTAGCAGGAGGGCATGACCTAGCAGGAGGGCATGACCTAGCAGGAGGGCATGACCTAGCAGGAGGGCATGACCTAGCAGGAGGGCATGACCTAGCAGGAGGGCATGACCTAGCAGGAGGGCATGACCTAGCAGGAGGGCATGACCTAGCAGGAGGGCATGACCTAGCAGGAGGGCATGACCTAGCAGGAGGGCATGACCTAGCAGGAGGGCATGACCTAGCAGGAGGGCATGACCTAGCAGGAGGGCATGACCTAGCAGGAGGGCATGACCTAGCAGGAGGGCATGACCTAGCAGGAGGGCATGACCTAGCAGGAGGGCATGACCTAGCAGGAGGGCATGACCTAGCAGGAGGGCATGACCTAGCAGGAGGGCATGACCTAGCAGGAGGGCATGACCTAGCAGGAGGGCATGACCTAGCAGGAGGGCATGACCTAGCAGGAGGGCATGACCTAGCAGGAGGGCATGACCTAGCAGGAGGGCATGACCTAGCAGGAGGGCATGACCTAGCAGGAGGGCATGACCTAGCAGGAGGGCATGACCTAGCAGGAGGGCATGACCTAGCAGGAGGGCATGACCTAGCAGGAGGGCATGACCTAGCAGGAGGGCATGACCTAGCAGGAGGGCATGACCTAGCAGGAGGGCATGACCTAGCAGGAGGGCATGACCTAGCAGGAGGGCATGACCTAGCAGGAGGGCATGACCTAGCAGGAGGGCATGACCTAGCAGGAGGGCATGACCTAGCAGGAGGGCATGACCTAGCAGGAGGGCATGACCTAGCAGGAGGGCATGACCTAGCAGGAGGGCATGACCTAGCAGGAGGGCATGACCTAGCAGGAGGGCATGACCTAGCAGGAGGGCATGACCTAGCAGGAGGGCATGACCTAGCAGGAGGGCATGACCTAGCAGGAGGGCATGACCTAGCAGGAGGGCATGACCTAGCAGGAGGGCATGACCTAGCAGGAGGGCATGACCTAGCAGGAGGGCATGACCTAGCAGGAGGGCATGACCTAGCAGGAGGGCATGACCTAGCAGGAGGGCATGACCTAGCAGGAGGGCATGACCTAGCAGGAGGGCATGACCTAGCAGGAGGGCATGACCTAGCAGGAGGGCATGACCTAGCAGGAGGGCATGACCTAGCAGGAGGGCATGACCTAGCAGGAGGGCATGACCTAGCAGGAGGGCATGACCTAGCAGGAGGGCATGACCTAGCAGGAGGGCATGACCTAGCAGGAGGGCATGACCTAGCAGGAGGGCATGACCTAGCAGGAGGGCATGACCTAGCAGGAGGGCATGACCTAGCAGGAGGGCATGACCTAGCAGGAGGGCATGACCTAGCAGGAGGGCATGACCTAGCAGGAGGGCATGACCTAGCAGGAGGGCATGACCTAGCAGGAGGGCATGACCTAGCAGGAGGGCATGACCTAGCAGGAGGGCATGACCTAGCAGGAGGGCATGACCTAGCAGGAGGGCATGGCCAAGCAGGAGGGCATGACCTAGCAGGAGGGCATGACCTAGCAGGAGGGCATGACCTAGCAGGAGGGCATGACCTAGCAGGAGGGCATGACCTAGCAGGAGGGCATGACCTAGCAGGAGGGCATGACCTAGCAGGAGGGCATGACCTAGCAGGAGGGCATGACCTAGCAGGAGGGCATGACCTAGCAGGAGGGCATGACCTAGCAGGAGGGCATGACCTAGCAGGAGGGCATGACCTAGCAGGAGGGCATGACCTAGCAGGAGGGCATGACCTAGCAGGAGGGCATGACCTAGCAGGAGGGCATGACCTAGCAGGAGGGCATGACCTAGCAGGAGGGCATGACCTAGCAGGAGGGCATGACCTAGCAGGAGGGCATGACCTAGCAGGAGGGCATGACCTAGCAGGAGGGCATGACCTAGCAGGAGGGCATGACCTAGCAGGAGGGCATGACCTAGCAGGAGGGCATGACCTAGCAGGAGGGCATGACCTAGCAGGAGGGCATGACCTAGCAGGAGGGCATGACCTAGCAGGAGGGCATGACCTAGCAGGAGGGCATGACCTAGCAGGAGGGCATGACCTAGCAGGAGGGCATGACCTAGCAGGAGGGCATGACCTAGCAGGAGGGCATGACCTAGCAGGAGGGCATGACCTAGCAGGAGGGCATGACCTAGCAGGAGGGCATGACCTAGCAGGAGGGCATGACCTAGCAGGAGGGCATGACCTAGCAGGAGGGCATGACCTAGCAGGAGGGCATGACCTAGCAGGAGGGCATGACCTAGCAGGAGGGCATGACCTAGCAGGAGGGCATGACCTAGCAGGAGGGCATGACCTAGCAGGAGGGCATGACCTAGCAGGAGGGCATGACCTAGCAGGAGGGCATGACCTAGCAGGAGGGCATGACCTAGCAGGAGGGCATGACCTAGCAGGAGGGCATGACCTAGCAGGAGGGCATGACCTAGCAGGAGGGCATGACCTAGCAGGAGGGCATGACCTAGCAGGAGGGCATGACCTAGCAGGAGGGCATGACCTAGCAGGAGGGCATGACCTAGCAGGAGGGCATGACCTAGCAGGAGGGCATGACCTAGCAGGAGGGCATGACCTAGCAGGAGGGCATGACCTAGCAGGAGGGCATGACCTAGCAGGAGGGCATGACCTAGCAGGAGGGCATGACCTAGCAGGAGGGCATGACCTAGCAGGAGGGCATGACCTAGCAGGAGGGCATGACCTAGCAGGAGGGCATGACCTAGCAGGAGGGCATGACCTAGCAGGAGGGCATGACCTAGCAGGAGGGCATGACCTAGCAGGAGGGCATGACCTAGCAGGAGGGCATGACCTAGCAGGAGGGCATGACCTAGCAGGAGGGCATGACCTAGCAGGAGGGCATGACCTAGCAGGAGGGCATGACCTAGCAGGAGGGCATGACCTAGCAGGAGGGCATGACCTAGCAGGAGGGCATGACCTAGCAGGAGGGCATGACCTAGCAGGAGGGCATGACCTTTTCTTTCTCCACTTTTCTTTCGCCATGAGGACCTCAACGAGATTGAGCGCTCACTTGGGGAAGCAGGGCAACCCGTTGATTGTGTCTAGGTGTAGGGCACAGACACTCAAGAGGAGGACTCAGAACGCATGAGAACGAACATGGAAGCGAGCATGAGCAACTCGCCGTGCGGCTCAATGAACTGCAGTGCCTTCTCGAGGAAGGAGGGCGAGCTGTTGACTGTCTCTAGATGAAGGGCACTCACGAGGAGGACTTGGGAAGACACATGAGAGCGAGCATGAGCAGGGCGAGAGAAACTCACTGTGGGGCTCAATGAACTGCAGTGCCTTCTCGAGGAAGGAGGGCTAGCCGTTGACGTCCTCTAGGTCTCAGGGACTCAAGATCGAGGCAAGGCTTGACAGAAGTGGGCATGCACGAGGGCACATGAGGGACAGCATGAGGGGATATGAGCTGGAGAAGGCTCACCGTGGAGCTCAATAAACTGTAGTGCCTTCTCGAGGAAGGAGGGCGAGCCGTTGACGTCCTCTAGGTCCAGGTGTAGTGGAGGACAGGGCACTGAATGACGGAGCTCTATGGGAGCCAACAGAGGCAGGCAAGGGCTCAAAGAGAGTCAGAGTAGGGGCACATGAGGCCAGGGCGGCTCACCATGGAGCTCAATGAACTGCAGCGCCTTCTCAAGGAAGGAGGGCGAGCCGTTGACGTCCTCTAGCGCGAGGGAGAAGGGGCGGCACAGCAGCATGGACCGCAGCCGCCGCTCCTTGCCTGGTGGATGGGAGTGAGGAGAGGGGAGGCGAAGGGATAATTGGGGGGGAGAGGGGGGGAGACGGCGGAGAGGCGAGGGAATAAGGTGAGGGGAAGGGGAGAAGGGGCAGCACAGCAGCATAAATCGCAGCCGACGCTCCTTGCCTGGTGCGAATGGGGGCATGGGCATGGTTTTAAAAAGTTGGCGGAGAGGCGAGGGAATGAGGTGAGGAAGCGGGGAGGAGCAGCGGCACAACAGCATGGCTTGCAGGAGCGCAACACATGCATGACTGAGCCCAGGGCAAGGACCAAGGACCCGTGCGCTGTCCTGTGGGGGGGCATCGATCACAACAAGCCAAAGATTAATTAACGTACCCCTGGTCCTGGAGGCCAATGTCAAGCGCATTTCCTCGGAAGAGTGTGTTGCGGGGCAGACCCATCATCACAGAGAGGGACGGAGGCCCATGCATGCATGACTAAGCCCAAGAGGGCCAGGACTGAGAGCACGTACCTGGGCCTGGGGGTCCGTCATTGTCCCCTATGTCGAGCCCGTCGCCTCGAAAGAGCGTGTCGCGCGGCAGCCCCATCATCACGGAGGGTGGAGGCGCCTTGGAGATGGCGTCCTCGAGTGCGTCCCTCCACTCCTCCAGATCCTCCAATGTGTCCGTCTGCATGGGTAGGAAAGAAGGAGAAGGCATAGAGTAGAGGGATGATGAGTATCGGCATAGGCCATTGTGAAGAGGCAGGGGATGATGGGAACATGGGGCATGTCAATACCACAGACTATATATGGTAACGCAGCGGACAAGGGAGGGGGACAAGGCAGAACGCGTGATATTGACCTTGAAGGTGAAAGCATGGCCGTCGGGGAAGGTGAGGGAGAGCTGCTTCTTGTCCGGCTTGATGTGCACCCTGTGTGTTGCACACATGATGGGCACACGTGAGGGGAGCACATACAAGACCACATGGAAAGTGAATGAGAATGAGGGGAAGGAAAGGGAGAGCCGCTTCTTGCCAGGCTTGATGTGCACCCTGGGTGTGGCACACATGGGACGGGAGCACAAAGACGATCGCATGGAGATGGTGTTACCATAAAATTGACGCGTGGGTGTAGGGCAGAGGGGCCTATGGCGGATTGGGACGAGGGCAGATGGGGACGAGGGCAGTTGGGGACCAGCAAAGTAGGACCAGCAAAGCAGAGGGCGTGAGGGAGAAAGGGGCGGTCTTACTTGCCGGCGTTGTTGAACTCGATGCCTCCGATGGCAGTTGAAATGTCAATGCGACCCCTCTGCCAGAAACGGGGGGGGGGGGGAGAGAGTGGCGGGAGAATAGGAGAGAGAAAGGGAAGCGGTAGGTAAGTCAGTAACCATGAAGCAGTAGCTGTTAAATTAGTCATCCAGACTGACAAGCAACGAAATTGCACGCATTGTTGTCATTCCCACACTAAGAACCTCGTTTGATGCATTGACTCGTTATGACCACACTTGCTTCAGAGTGATTCGAGTCCCACTCACTGGCTCGTTACAGTCACATTCACTGGCTCGTTACAGTGACACTCACTGGTTCGTGCTTGAAGAAGATGAGGGAGGAGCGCGTGAGGAGGAACCAGCGCCGCTTCCAAGATTTCCACCCCAGACCTGCGACGGGGAAGGAGAGATTGAGAAAAGGAACGAGAGGCGAGAGATTAGACAGGTGCGGTGAGGTGGAGGGAGATAAAGTATGGTTTAAGAGAACAATGACGCAAACATCGGATGCAGAGAAAGTGGGAGAGAAAAAACAGCAGAAAGACAAAAGCGGTGCCCAGGATGGTTGAAACATTTTCTGTGAACTGAAACGTCGTCACTGTTCCACATACTTTATCAAGACGACTCAACGGTTACTTTTCCTGCTTTCCCCTTTCCGCGCAGGCTCACCTTTTGACGAGACGGATAGATGGCCACTCTTGTACACCTGTCGGACAGTGATTGGACGCACGCATCCCGATCGCCAATGGAGAAGACGGGAGGAGGGGGGAAAAGAGAAAAGGAAAAGCATCAGGTAAGCCGCTCCCATCCCATCATGGTAACGCCTAAGCCACTTATTGCGAGGGACTTTGTCTGGAATGGCGCTGTTTCGAAGAACGGCGACAACGCATTTGAAGGCATTTCACGAAATTTCAAGAGGCGAACTCACTCCTTGGTACCTGGGCCGCGGAAGGTTAAGAGCCTGTACGCAACTCACTGTGACAGACTCACCTGGAGAGTCCACTGAATCAAATCTAAGGCATTTACTCACACCTTGATACCTGGGCCGCGGAAGGTCCATCATGGGAACGTCTGGGCCACTCAGTGGGAGAAACTCGAGGCATTTCAAGAAAGGTGGCGTGAGGAGGCCAACTCACCCCTTGATACCTTGGCCGCGGGAGGTCCATCATGGGAGCGTCTAGGCCACTCATTGCGAGAGGCACGCCGAGAAAAGTCTATTCTGAGGTTTGAATGTGCACGATGGGTGGCGATGACGCTAGAATCGAGAGTCGTTAAAACGCATCGCGTCGTCGCCACTAGGTGCGGAAAGACCTGAACGTATAAGGCTAAGGCTAAGAACTGACGGAAGAGAGCTTGCGCGAAAAACTTAAGCCTGGTCGCAACGAAAACGGCTAAGAATATTGGGAGGTCGAGAGCATAAATAAGCGACTACAGCAGAGCCAGAACGTAGGCTGCTAAACGTGCATTAAGCACTGACTAGCGGTGTAGACTAATTAAATCGTTGCATTGCCATGCGCAGCTACAAGAATTCTACAACCCTGACGTTCGCATTGTTCATTCACTCAATGTGAGCTCTGTACGGTCAACTTAGGTCAGAACTCGCAAGGAGATAACCCGTCCACCAAATGAACGAATTCGTTATCCGCGATATGCGGCACAGTCTCTGAACGAAAGTATGCGTTGACAATGACAGTTCCGCACTACCCAGTAGCTATCACAGCGGTAGCGAGTGTGAAACGTCTTCAGGCTTCAGGATCCTAGGCGGCATAATCTAGGGCCGCCATGAAATAAGGGAAAACTGGTTGAAAGAAATCTTCACGGGGAAGGAGTTGGTTCGGAATGCCTCTCTGTGGGTAGCAGGTTTCGCTCAATGCGAAAATCCCAAGGTCTGTTAGTTTGTGGTAACCAAGTATGAGAAACTTGCACGCTTTCGCTCATCTGTTCACACGAGAAAGTGGTGGAGGCGGACAGAGTGACCCAGCCCCGACAAGGCCTTGCCATAACTTGTACAGTACGTGTGAGTAACTGTATGAAAACGACGCAGCTTGCAGTTCGCCAGTGGCTGGTATCCGTCATCAGCGTCTGGTCCATTGTCGCATCTGCGATGTGCAAAAAGGTGTCGTTCGAAAAACGTTGTGCGAGAAAACCCACCTGGGATCACCGATACGAGCAACTTCAACAGAAGCTACTGACTACCCCTTCAACATAAGCACCGCCTAAGAAGATTATACCCGAGTAACAAATGAACAAATGGACTTTGTGGGTAAGTCAATTGTAATGGCTTGTATCGATACCGTGCATCATCCACAAGATCCTTGCACTGATCGCCTAACATTCCACCAGAATCCGACCAGCGCCATCGCGGTTAACACAAACAGCCGCACCCAGGCAACCATGTCCCTTTGCGCAAGCAGATACATGTTCACGCATATTCCCATAAGCGGCACAAACGGGACCCATGGGCAAGCAAACCCAGATGCGGGCACACTGTAGCGTTGAGCGAGGAATAACGGTGCAGATGATGCCAGCGATAGGAGGAAGAGCGGAGCGAGCAGCAGCCAAGGAGCAGCGAAGCTAGTGGCGAATCCCAAGGCAAGGACGCAGGCAACCAAGGCACAGACATACACCACGGCCTCATGCCACTTGTCGCCACCCCATTTGGTAATCCAGTGCGGAGGTGGAGGAACTTGTGTGTGCCCTGACGCAGCCGGACCAGTGCCAGTCATACTGCTCCTGGCGATGACTATACCCCCTTGTGCTAAAAGTGCATCATCCAATCGCTCTTCCCCTTCCTCCCCCACACTGACACAACCACTCCCCCCTCCACGATATGACTCGACCCTTAGCGCCAGCACGCACATACACACTATAGAGTAACTCAGTAACACGCCCACGGACAGAATATGCGACAGCTTCCCCACGTCAAACACTGCCGCCATTGTCGCCGCCACTCCCCCCACCCACCACTGCGCATGCACCGGCACATGGCTCCCCGCGTTCACTTGCAAAAACCACGCTGGCAGCATGCCATCCCTCGCCAAGGCCAGATACATGCGAGACTGCACATACAGCCCAGTCAGGAGAGTCGTTGTCAGCCCCACCACTGCCCCCAAGTCGATAATCCTCTCCATGAAATGCAGCCCGAGGGAGGCGAAGGCAGTGGAGAGCGGTGCAGCGGGGTCGAGGAGGTTATACGGGACCATGCCAGTGAGGACGAGGGAGACGGAGATGTAGAGGAGGGAGCAGGCGGCAAGGGCGAGGAGGAGGCCCCGTGGCACGTCACGGCGCGGGTGCAGGGACTCTTCGGAGGTGTTGGCGACGGCGTCGAAGCCAATGTAGGAGAAGAAGACGAGCGCTGAGGCTGATAGCATCGCCTGCACGCCGCCCATGCTGCCTGTGCTGCTCGCAGCAGCAGACGCCGCGGCAGCAGCAGCAGTGGCAGTAGTTGCAGCAGTGGCAGAAGGAGCGGTAGCAGTGGCAGCGGCAGCGGCTGCGGCTGTGGCAGCAACAGCAGGGGCAGCAGCAGAGGCGGCAACAGGAGCAGCGGAGCTCAGAAGGGAGTCGAGCGATGGGGGGAAAAAGGGAAACCAGTTAGCAGGGTTCATATGCCCTGCACCCACAGCCACCACCAGCACCACTATCGCCACCTTGACTGACGTCATCACGTCGTTCACCCGTGAGGTCTCCCGCACCCCCCGGCACAGCAGCCACGAGAGGAGCAGCAGGACAGCTGGCGCGACGAGATTGATCGAGAGGTCCAGCGTGGGTACAGGTGGCGGGGTGGGGAGCGATGGGAACAGGGGAGGGTGAACAAGAGGAGGAGAGGGAGAGGAATGGGAAGAGAAGAGAGAAGGGAATGGGGCGGTGTGGAAAAAGGAAACGGCTCCCGCTCCTGCTCCCCCGCCCTGGCTCCCCACGACTTGCTCTACCCCGTTTCTTCCTCCTGGCCACAAGTGAGAGAACCACCAGAAGAGCCATGAAGGAGAGAGAAATGGCAAGGGGATGGATACAGGTAGGCCTCCTGGGGCGAGCACTCCAGGTAGCCCTGCCCCAGATGCCACCTCCACCAGAGACGCCAAATAACTCGCCAGGCTCCTGGCGATCGCCGCCGCCCCCACGTGGTAGTCCAGCACCAGGTGGCAGAACAGGACAAACGACGCGAGCTGCCCGAGGCACGCGTGCGCGTACAGGTATGCGCCGCCCACCCGCCCGGGAAACCGGGCGGCAAGGTCTGCGTAGCAGAGCGCGTTGAGGAGAGAGGCGAGGCCGGCTAGGAGAAAAGACAGGGACACGGCCGGCCCCGCCAATCGCGCGGCGACACCTGTCACGACGAAGATGCCTGAGCCAATGGAAGCGCCGATGCCGAGAAGGATAAGGTCGAGGAGGGAGAGGGAGCGCGTGAGCGCAGGAGGCTTGGGAGGTGGCGGCATAAGGAATGCCGATTGCTGGGCGGATGCTGATTGGTCGGCACTATTTACATAGACGGGATGGTCGATTTTAACTCCTCCTGCTTCTCCTGCGTTGTCTGCCTCGTTCGCCTCGCGGATTGGGTAGATTTCCGCCAGAAGAGATTTGTCCTCGGTATTCCCAAGGCTCACGGCTTCGAAAGGGTGAATCACCCTCGCCCCGCGCTGCTGCTGCCGCCGCCGCTAGTGACGCCGCGTGTGCCGCTCGCGCTGGCGCTGGTGCTTGCAGCAGCGGGAGGCATGGTAACAGCGCCGCTGCCAGCTAGGCCTGCCACGTCAGCGGTGGAGGGAATCTTGACGTGGACGGCTGCTTCTATGAAATTACGCCACCACGAAGATGACGAGGTTGGGGGCGACGCCTGCCACGTCACGCCGTCGGATGATGTCGTGGTATCGCGTACGCTCTGCCCATCCCGCGCAAGTCGCGGGTGCCGAGAATCGGTCTCGAAATCCGCCATGGTAGGTGGCAATCCGAAGCTTCTAGACTACTTGTGGTGCGCAGCATCCGAAAACCAAGTCGGATCGAGCGCGTTTGGAGACGTCTCGAAAAAATATTACAGACTACTCGCGGTGCGTAGCATTCCAAATTCAAGCTCGAATCGAGCGTGCAATGACGAAGACCCGCGAAAAACATTATTCAAATAACGTTCCATAACCTAGCATCTACACATCCTGCAAGCCAAGCTCCTGACAAATTTCAGTGATGAAGTAAACGGCGTATATTTTTTCCAGATATTACACATAAAACAAAGGCATAACAGGCGTGGAAATTACTGGTCAAGAGAGGAGAGACTGTCCTGGCCAATAATTTCAGCGCTTGTTGGAGAAAGCACCCGATCCCCTAAAATAAACACTAGTGCAAATGGTTGGTTCTGAATGGGGATCAGCCCATTCAGTACCAACCACTCCCACAAAAAAAAATATATTTACCACTTGCTCCCTCCATCCCATGTCCTGACATTTATTCTTCCGTCCAATCTCCCCATCACTCTCACTGTACAAGGTGGGCAATGGAGGAGGGAAGGACATGAAGAAGACCGTGTAGATGCATGGAGGAGAGAAAACCAGTAGGAGTGGTTGGAAGAACGCTTAGCATGACCTTAGGAGCATGGTGCACGAACGACATGCTGTTGCCGACGCTGCTACTGATGCTGCTGCCAATGTTGCTGCCACCGCTGCTGACAAACGATGGCATGATCATGCCACCACCAAGCGAAGACAGTGCGTCAACTGTTCCCGTTGCAGCCGCTGCAGCAGCATCAGCAGCACCGGCCCCAAAGCTCCCACTCCCCACAGCTGACGTCAGCACGTGGGAAGCACTATACGCACCAGCAGCAGCTGCTTTCACGCCCAGTTTCCCGCCCAGCACCTTAGCTCCAGCCACCTTGGCTTTCAGTTTTAGCTTGAGCAGCAGGCTCTTGGCCTTGGTTGAGTAAAAAGGAACCTTGAGCTGAGAGGCCACCAGGGAGTTGCTCAACTGTTCCACTGGAACTGGGGCAGCACACTTAGACGCTTTCTCTGCATCATTTTCTGCAGCATTTGCTGCAGCCGGGCCATTTTCTTGCACAACACAGCTCCCGTTCTCGACACTGCTGCTGCTGCCGCTGCCGCCGCCGCTGCTACTGCTGGTCTCAGAAGCAACGGCACTGCCATGGCGCGACAAGTGCGCCCACGCGCCGGCATTTACAGCAGCTATCACAAGCCCAGCCACTCCCAGTCCTGCCTCTGGCACCTCTCCCTGCACTAACGCTGCTAGCAACCCGCCCCAGACGGGAATAGAGGTGAATATCAACATGAGAGCTGGTGCTGGCAGATCCTGCAGGCAATTCATCTCCATCCACGTGCCAAGCCCCGAGCACATGAGCCCGCTGTATATAAGTGGCAGCAGCCCTGATGGCTCCGCTGGTTCCTGCCACGTGTGTGGCACTGGTGAGGGTTTCTGGTAGGAGGCCGTGTGGGAAGGCTGAGGAGGAGGAGAGGAGGTGGAAGAGGAGGGAGGAGAGGAGGGAGAGGGAGGCGAGGGAGGAGGTCTGCACGGCGGTGAGGGAGAGTGGGTCGAAGCGGGTGCAGTGGGCTTCACAGCGGAGTAACGCGAGGAGGGAGAGAAGGCATGCGAGCACGGGCCATGGTGTTGACAGGGGCAGGGATTGACCCAGAGTGGTGAAAAGAGCGGAGGGAGCTGCGGCAACGCCCGCGGGCGAGGCTGCTCCACTGGCTGCAACGAGCGCCAGCATTGCGACGAGGGCGGACACGATTGGTGCGAGTGACGTGCGGGTGGTGCTGCTGCCGTTGCTGGGCGTGGGCGAGTCGTTGGCGGGTCCGTGGTGGAGACGGTCGGTGAGTTGGAGGATTGGGAGGATGAGAAGCTGCGGGGGAGGAGGGGAGGATGGGGGAATAGCAGTAAGCACGAGATTGAGTATACTGCCAGAATACTAGAAGTATACTTTCAGTGGAAGAGGCGAGGAAGAAACAACAGGATGCGGAAGCATGGAGGCGGCAGGAAGAAACAACATCACGTCACATACCGAGAGCAGCAGGAGCATTGGAGTCGAGGCGGTATCAGCGTTGGTGAACTGCGAGAGCAGGTCTCCCAAGAAGCTGTATGCCGCTAGCTCCAGGCCCGCCATTACCACCGCCGAGGACTCATCACGTTTGGATGACGATGTCGACTTCTTTTCTTCTTGCGGCGACGAAGAATTTCCGTCAGCGGCCCCCCCTGTCCCCGCGGATTCCAGAACAGGCTGCTGTGGCGGGGCAGACGTGGTCGTCGCACGTCGCGCACCGTCGCCCAGGCGACCTGCTGCGACTGCGAAGGTGCTGACGGCAGCAGGGGCGAACGGGAGGGCCGCTGCGGCGAACCGAATCGGCGAGGCGAATTCGGAGGGGACGTGATCCATGACGGCCGCGAGATGCGGCGCGAAATGCGGGGCAACGTCGGTGATATGAGAAGGCGCGGCTTCCGCGACGCGATTCACGGCGCATGCGGAACCGTAAAGCGCGGCGAGCCCGTTCGCGACGAGCAGCCCTTTCCGCCAGCGCCCTCTGCTGGGGGAGACAGCGGCGGAAGCCGCTCCGCCAGCGCCTGGGCGCGGGGAAAGGGGCCCGCGCGGGCGCGGGGAAGGGGTCGGGGGAGGCTTCGGGGAGGGGGACGTGAAAGACGGCCACGTGGTAGTAGCGCCACCGCTGATTGGACTGCGCGCGGCTGTGTTCGACGGAGGCATGATGCGACGACGCGAAGACGACGGTGACGGTTCAAGAAATGGTGTGCCAGTCGCGGCGCTAGCAGTAACGCCGGTCGTTACGGCAAACGCGGAATCACAGCAGGACGCGGTAGACGTGAACGTACTCGCAGAGGCCGTGAATCTCGACGGGACGTGGCGTTTAATGATTGTAGGGCCGCCGAAGTTACTAGATGGAGTGAAGGAGCGCCTAGGAATGGAAATGGAGATATCCGATCCAATGGCTGGCGCTGCCTGATAGGAAATCTGGGCCAACCCGGCAGCACACGCCATGGTTATGGATCCTCGGTAATCACTTGATTGTTGTCTGAGTCGAGGTCTAACCGTTGGTCGTTGGCGTTTGCCTTCACAGGAATTCAAGTTAGAGGTGTTGGGCTGAATGGGACAGATGCTTCTGTCGAATGTGCTCTCAAGGTACCCTAGCCTGACTCGGTCGACGAAGAATTGAGGAGGGCGATTCTTGCTTTTGTTTTCAAAGAAGTCGCACGCTGATGCTTGATTAGCACGGGAGCGGAAGTCGGTTGTTTGTACTGCAAGATTTCTGGAAACCACGCAAATTTGTACCACAGTTGGCGAAGGTGAAGGTTGGTGTGCAAGGGAGCAGCACACACACCAGCGAGCTTCCTTCAATTCACTGTTCTTTGCCCCCTCGATTCTCCTCTCCAATAATTTCAAATGTGCGACTCGGGACCGATTGCATGCGGCCCGGCTCCATGAAGAGTGCATTCTTCCCCACCAAGCTGACTGTTTCTGGCTCTGGTGAATGAGGCTCCGTGACATGCGGCGAGTTCGGGGCAAATTTTGCGAACAAATCGGAGGGCAGTCGGTGGCGTGTATCGGAGCCGTGAAGCATTCAGAGCCGCAAACATAGCTGAGTCATGCCCTAGATCATGGGACAACACACTTTACAGGCTTCACAAATCACAGCATTGTTGGGGATTCCAGACTTTCGGGAAAAAATACACTTACTGTACTGGAAACGACGGCGGAAGAGTCGGTGAGCAGAGCAGCTCGTGCTTTCTTGGGAAGCGCACGTGTCATGGTGTCTGCTGATCTGGACCTTCCAACCGGGCAGCCTAGCTGGCAGCTTGTCTTGCAGGTTTGAACTTTTGCTGCCCCCGGTACACCCTATTCGCGATAATTTCACACCTCTTAAATGTAGACCCTGGGTGTACATACCCGGGATACAAACATTATTGCAGGGTAGTTCGCTGCGAATATTGAACAGCTGGTGGGTGTTCCGAAACCCAGTCGCGAATAGTCGTAAGCATTAAAAACTTCAGTCGTGCCTACCCAACCCCGTCCTCACTCGGAACACATGGTGTAATTTCAAGGGAAACTGCATCTCGCTGTCGACTGATAGTCCTTGAGTTTCAGGGTGTCCGTCATATCGAGCCTGAATCGGTATAGGGCACCTTCAAAAAAGATGGTAGGGGTGTGCAATTATCGCGAATAGGGTGTAACGTCGTGGGGCATGAAGGCGTCATCAGGGGCAGGCTGTTCGGTCAGAAACTGGAGTGAAGTGAAGTGAGGCGCGTGCCCGGGCTTCTGCGAAAGCACCACAAGAAATCCCGAAGTGCCTGGGTGGTCAAAGAATCACGGATCCTGTACAGGCTGAATCTAATTATGCAATCTGTACATGGCTAATGGCTTTGTGCCATGTAGTGAAGTTTCCTAAAAACACACTTGAAAGAATATACCACAGTTTGGAGGAGACTAGGCAAAGAATCAAGTAATTGATGAAGTTAAATCAGGCATGTAAACAAAGGGTTTATAGCCTGAATTTGAAAAGAAACCTGCGGTAAAGGCATTCTGTTACAGCCTGACATGTGAGAACAAACATGGGCAAATCCTTGCGGTGAGCGTGGATCGAACACGCGACCTTCAGATCTTCAGTCTGACGCTCTCCCAACTGAGCTATCCCCGCATATCATGGCGTCTTCGTTAAACAATAATACGTTAATCTTTTGTTTTTTTCAGCTTGGTTTCAGTTTCTTTCTTGATCTTATTTAGTCATGTGACGGCCTATGATGCCATGTGATGCTGATCCTCAGCAACTGATTGCTACTGACACCCTAAACCAGCGAATCATGCCCTTTCGTTTTCTAGTCGCTTTCATTCCAAGAATTCACTCTTTAAAACTCGACCACTGCCTCCTCTAGTCTACCACCGTTCAGTGTAGTCGTGCGCCATGGTACGCGCAACCAACGGCTCAGATGGCAGATCAGCACAGCTTGCATCATCCACGGCCGTCCATTTAAGCCGGTCTGTTCCAAATTTACAGTCTTCGCAGCCTTCCGCCTCCGCCGGTCCCGGTTCCGGCTCCATGACCCCCATCGCTTCCCCCGCCGCGCCCCATGTCCCCGCCTCTCACTCCGCCAGCCCCCTTCCGCCCCCGCCGCCTCCCGCGCCTTCCGCGGGCTTTGCGCCGCCGCGCAGCTCCCCCGCGCCGACCGCGCGGCTGTCGTTCGGCTCCGTGTGGCCCAAGGCGCGCGACGAGGCGATCGAGGTGGCGAAAGAGTTCCCCAACGGCGACACGTATTACGGCGGATGGTTACTCGTCGGAGGCGGGTTACCACACGGCCTCGGTTGTTACACGTGGGCCGACGGGAGCGTGTACGAGGGGGAGTGGGTCAAGGGGCAGAAAAACGGGCAGGGAATGTTTTTATGGCCGTCCGGGGCGAGGTATCAGGGGGAATGGAAAAAAGGGCAGATGCAAGGAGTGGGGACGTATTGGGGCGCGGACGGATCTTTTTACACGGGCAACTGGGCAGCCGGAATAAAGCACGGGCTGGGCAGAAAAATTTACCCTAACGGGGATTCGTACGAGGGGTTCTGGAGCTGGGGCGCGGCGGAAGGTCCGGGGCGGTACAAATGGCGCAACGGGAATGAGTATTTCGGGGAGTGGAAGGCGGGGACTATGAGCGGATTCGGCGCGTTTGCTTGGGCAAGTGGGGATAGGTTCGAGGGGGAGTGGGAGGGCGGGTATGAGCACGGCCCGGGCACGTTTGTATGGGCGGATGGGAGTCGGTATGAGGGGACTTGGAGCCATGGGTTGAAGGATGGGAAAGGGGTGTTTTACCCTGCGGGGTATAGGTCCGAGGATGGGGTGCTTGGAGGGGGTAGATCGGGGGAAGAGGGGGGGGAAGGGGCGGAGGCGGAGGTGGGGAGGTGGTCGAGTGGGGGAGAGAGAGAGTTTGTGCCGTGGGATGGTGAGGGGAGTGGGGATGAGGGGCGGAAGATGGACGAGGAGGGGAGAGGAGGAGGGGGAGAGAGAGGAGAAGGAGAGAGAGGAGGGAGAGAGGAGGAGGAAAGGAGGGAAGGGCAAAGCGAGTGCGGTGCAGGGGAGGGTTGGGAGCAAGAGAAGGTCCCTAGGGCTGTATCCCATGATAGCTATGTTAGCAGCAGCAAGTACCGAACCTCCAAGACAGGTTCGGCATTGGTCGGTGCCGCAGGCTTGGTAGAAGCCGGAGGTCCGGCGGCTGGCCCGGCCAAAGTTGTGGCTTGTGGTTTGACGGAGGGTGGGAGTGGGAGGGTGGAGGTTGGGAGTGAAGCTGAGATGGGGTGGAAAGAGGGACAGCAGCAAGAGGGGGAGCAAGAGGAGCAGCAAGAGCAGGAAGGGAGCCCCCGCTCCCCCTGTGCTCTGCCTGTCAGGGTTTCAAGCCCCGCAGGCTCTGATACCACACTCGCCACGACTCAAGCACTACGGCTCATCTCGTCTCCCGTTGCTACCCCTCTCCCTCCCGATGCTTCTGCTGCTGCTGCAGCTGCTGTTGGCAATACTGGTCTCCTCACCCCGGCTTTTGCTGCTGCTGCCCCTGTTGCCGCCCCTGTTGCCGCCCCTGTTGCTGCCATTGCCTCGTCTATTGCGATCACCCCGTCTGCTGCCAATGTCGCTTCTGTTCGCAAGTCTGCACCTGCTGTTGATACCGCTTCTGCTGTCGATGCCACAATCGCTGCAAGTGCTGCTTCTGCTGATCGAATCCTCCGAAGGAGGAGAAGCGGGAACGATGCCAGTATGGAGAGTGACACAAAGGAAGGGGATCTAGGTGAATCTGTGTGGGATTTAGCGGCACATAGGAGGCTCGGGTCAGCTGAATCCTCCCTTCCCCTCTCCATCTCTTTTCCCGAGCGTAACCCTGTGATTACCACACCTACGGTTACAAGTGCGGGTACACCGATGGTTGCATCTGCAGGTACTCCGACGGTTACAACTGCGGGTACGCCTACGGTTACAACTCTGGGTACGCCGACGCAGCGGATAGCGGAGTGGGCGCGGCGAGTGAGTATAGAGAGGCAGCTTGTAGAGGGGACAAGGGCGCTGGATCAGGAGCTGGGGCAGCAGGCAGCGCAGCAGGAGCAGCTTTGGAGCGGCCCTCTGCGCGCCCTTAGAATGCTACGCACTGGCAGCTACGGCTACAGCTCCAGTGATGGTGGTAATGGTGTTGCTAATGATAGTGGTAGTGGTGAGGGTGATAGTAGCGAGGGTAAGGGAGACGGCGGTTTGGGTGGTGGTGGTGGTATTAGGAGGAGTGGGACGGATGGTGGTGCTATAGCTGTTGTTTCGGAGCCTGAAGGGTTGGCAGAAGGGAAAAGCACACCAGATGGGGGAGTGGGGAGATTGAGGGGAGTGGGGAGATTGAGGGGAGTGGAGGGAGAGAGAGGGATTGCAGAGGAGAGGGGATTAAGCAGGGGTGGGTTGCCTTTGGCGGGTAAGAGTCTGAGTTTGAGGGATGACCGGCTGTTGAAATTAGAGCCTGTGGATGCTAGGAAGGTCTGGGGGAGCTTCCGGACCGGGCGGGAGGCTCGGTCGGAGGCTCGGGTGGAGGCTCGGACAGGGGCTCGGTCGGAGGTTCGGGTTGCGAGTGAGTGGGTGGAGAGTGTGTTGGGAGGGGAGGAGATGGGGGAAGATGGGAATGGATGGGGGACGAGAGGGAGGAGAGGGAGGGGAGGATTGGGGTGGATTAGTCACGGACGTATTTTTGAGAATTCTCAAGCACCTCCTTCATCGGGTAATGGGGCAGGTGATTATGACGGTGTGATAGAGGAGGAGGGTGAGAGTGTGGGCGGTGGGGGAGATGATGTAGAGGGTGAGGAGGGGGAGGAGGAGGAAAGGGAGGAGGGGAGGAGAATGAAGGTGAGGAAAGGGAGGAAGGGGAGGAGAATGAAGGTGAGGAAAGGGAGGAAGGGGAGGAAGGGGAGGAAGAGGAGGAGGAAGCAAATGGGTCTGAAACAGAAGGGGACGAGGAGGAGGAGGAAGAGGAGGAATCAGATGATTCTTCTGTTGAGGGTGACGGTGAGGGAAAGGAGGGCCGAGAGGAGATGAGGAGAGCTGTGGGAAAGAGGGAAGTGCAAGTGGAAGGGGAGGAGGAAGCCAAAGAGGAAGGGGAAGGAAGAGGTGTGAAAGGGTGTGCAGGAGTGGCGGAGTCTTTGGAAGGCCTGGGAGGGTGCAGCAGCAGCAGCAGCAGCAGGAGGAGGAGGAGTTGGAGGAGAAGAAGCAGACCCAGTAGCGGTTACTCCAGCTGCAGTAGCAGCAAAAAAACCACGAGTAGGTTTACCAGCAGCAGCAGCAACAGAAGCAGTAGCAACAGAAGCGGTAGCAACAACAGAAGCAGTAGCAACAGCAGGAGTAGTAGCAACAGCAGGAGCAGTAGCAACAGCAGGAGCAACTCAGGAGGTAGCAGGGACTTCTAGCTCCGTGTCTGGCCTTGCCCGGCAGGCTCGGCATGCAGTGCGGCCGCCGAGCCTGCAGGTACCGAACACAGGTTCCTCGAGCCTGACGCCGAGCCTAGTGTCTCCAGAACACGTTCGGGATTTAGACGAGGCAGCGAGGAAGGAGAGGAGTCCTAGGGAGCCTTGGCAGCCTACTCACTCTGGCATGGGAGTGGCAACAGGAGCAGCAGCTACGGCAGCGGTCGCAGGTGCAGCTGCAACAGCCGTAGCAGCAGGAGCAGCAGCAGTGTTTACAACTGCAGCCGCTGCAGTGGCAGCAGCAGCAGGAGGTACAGGAACAAAGAAACAGCATGAGACAAGTAGGGAGGCTCGTCAGGGGGCAAGCAGGCTAAAGGAAGGAGCTCGGGGTGAGGGTGTGATGGGAGCAGGCGCAGGAAGGATCAGAACAGAAGAGGGAGGAATGCAGGCAGCAGAGGGGGTGAGCACGGCAGGAGGCGCGGGGGTGACTGCAGCAGTGGGCGTGGTTGGGAGTGCAGCAGGGGGCTTGGGAGGGAGTGCAGGTGCAGCGAAGCAGCAGCACAAGATGGCAAGGTTGGTGACCATGGGCCCTGTGCCAGGGCGCAGCGTGGCTTACCATGAGCCGGGGCGGGGAGGGTCGGCGTCTTCTGAGCCGGGGCGGGAAGGGTCGGCGTCTTCTGAGCCGGGGCGGGGAGGTTCGGCATCTTCTGAGCCGGGGCGGGGAGGTTCGGCATCTTCTGAGCCGGGGCGGGGAATGGTAGGGTATCAAGAGCCAGGGAAAGGGGTGGCAAGTGAAGAGGTGTCTCGATCAGGGCCGCTGTGCATTCGAGTCGCTTCTGACACTGCTGGCGTGCGAGGTGAGCGGTTGAGTGTGGTGGTGAGGGGTTGTATGCAGCGGGGCCAGATGGGTGTGTGAGAAGATGTGAGGGGGTGTCTGCGAAGTGAGGGGGTGTGTGCGAGGTGAGGGGGTGTGTGAGCCGCGCCTCTCCTCTCACCTCTTTTCCTCACACCCCCCCACTTTTTGTCCCCATCTCTTCTCCCATGCGTGCAGGTGGTGAGGGTTCAGCATCAGCATCACTCATCACCTCCCCCATGTTCAGCACGAGCCAGTCACTGGGACCCACAGGGGCAGGGCCGGGGGGCAGCAGGGACAGGGAGTGATGCTGATTCCTCATCACCTCCCCCATGTTCTGCACACACCGCTTCTCCACTTCCCTTCCCCACCTCCCCACCCCCGCCTCCCATACGTGCAGGCGGCGAGGGGTCAGCATCAGCGTCGCTCATCACATCTCCCATGTTCAGCACGAGCCAGTCAGTGGGGCCCACTTCCACAGGGGCAGAGCCGGGGGGCAGCCGGCCGAAGCCAAGCACCAGGAGGAGAGGCGCTTCTTCCATATCTCTTTTCCTCAACCCTTTCCCTCACTTCTTCTCTTTGCTTGCAGGTGGCGAGGGGTCAGCATCAGCGTCGCTCATCACCTCACCCATGTTCAGCACGAGCCAGTCAGTGGGGCCCACAGGGGCAGGGCCGGGGGGCAGCAGGCCAAAGCCGAGCACGAGGAGGGGAACGGTGTTGGTGAGGGAGTATGTGCAAGGGGTGCTCGTGTCCGAGACAGCTAAGAGCGACAAGACGGTGCTGCCCGTGAGTTGTTAGACCATGGTGCTTGTGAGTTGTGTCTGAGTGGTACCTGTGCAAGCCGACGGGTGGCACAGTGTTGGTGAGGGAATATGTGCAGGGAGTGCTCGTGTCGGAAACAGCTAAGAGCGACAAAACCGTGCTGCCTGTGAGTGTTGGCTGTGCGTGTTAGTGATGACTGTGGGTTGGGTGGTGTGGTGGTAGTACTGTGGTGGCAGCAGCAGGCCGAAGCCGAGCACGAGGAGGGGAACGGTGTTGGTGAGGGAGTATGTGGAAGGCGTGCTCGTGTCCGAGACAGCCAAGAGCGACAAAACCGTGCTGCCTGTGAGTAGCTATGTGTGCTGTGCTAGCTGTGAGTTAGAACAACAGGGGGAGCATGGGAGGGCAGCACGGCAGGCATGCAGTTTCTTCTTGCTTGGTTTCTTCCCTCCCCTCCACCTCACCTCCCCTGGTTTCTTCCCTCCCCCTCTTTTGTCTTCTCGTCTGCAGCGGAGCAAGGGGCCGAGGCGGGAGGGCAAGAAGGCGGGCGAGTTGATATACAAGGGCCATTTGTCCTATGACCTCATGCTCACCCTGCAGCTCGGCTTGCGGTGAGACATGCTAGTAGCGTGACTTGCTTGTGGTGAGCAAGATTCGCATGCGAGTTTCCTTTCAGTGAGCAAGATTCGCAATGGTGTGATCTGGACTCAGTGAGGGAGGGAGCGAGTCAACGGGGAGTGGCTTTACTTGGTGGGAATCTTCTCTTCCATTCTTTCCTCAGTTCCCTTTCCTCCTCGCCCCTCCACCACCCACCACCCCTCTCTTTCCCTCCCAGTTACTCCATAGGGCGCATGGGGCTGGATTCTGTGCGGGAGTTGAGGGAGAGCGATTTCTCCCAGCATGCGGGGCCAAGGGCTGTGCGCTTCCCCCCGGAGGGCTCTCAGATCACTCCCCCGCACCAAGTCGCTCCCTTCAAGTGGCGGGACTTCTGCCCTGCCGTTTTCAGGTGACTCTGTTTTTTCATTTCATTTTTTCAGGTACATTGTTTCTGTCTAGCGATTTTCCCGGAGGGCTATCAGATCACTTCTCCGCACCAAGTGGCGCCGTTCAAGCGGCGCCCTTCAATCAAGCGGCGCCCTTCAAGCGGCGCGACTTCTGCCCTGCTGTCTTCAGGTAAGTGAGGAGGCGTTACATGTTCAGCTGCGTCAGGGGTTTTGACTTCTGAAGTCAAAAGAGAACACCTGAAGTCAGAAGAGAACACCTGAAGTCAAAAGAGAACACCTGAAGTCAAAAGAGAACACCTGAAGTCAGAAGAGAACACCTGAAGTCAGAAGAGAACACCTGAAATCAAAAGAGAACACCTGAAGTCAGAAGAGAACACCTGAAGTCAGAAGAGAACACCTGAAGTCAAAAGAGAACGCCTGAAGTCAAAAGAGAACACCTGAAGTCAGAAGAGAACACCTGAAGTCAGTTGCTCTCTTGTGTGGTGTGCTGTGCTTCCCCCTCGAATTCCTTCCCTTAACACCCAACGCCGCAGAGAGATCTGAGCGCTATTCGGAATGAACCCATCAGACTACATGCTCTCGCTGTGTGGTGACACGGCACTGAGGGAGCTGTCCTTCCCGGGCAAGTCAGGCAGCGTCTTCTATCTCTCCTGCCATCTTCCCCTCAACTGCTTCCCGTAACACCCCACACTGCAGGGAGCTACGAGCACTGTTCGGAGTAGACCCATCAGACTACATGCTCTCACTCTGTGGTGACACAGCACTGAGGGAGCTGTCCTCCCCGGGCAAGTCAGGCAGCGTCTTCTATCTCTCCCACGACGACCGATTCATTATCAAAACCATGCGCCGAGCTGAAGTGCATGTGAGTGTCAAGGTGCTAAGTGGTGTAAAGCGGTGCGAGTGCAGGTATCAGAGAGTTGTGAGGCAGCCACACGACAGGTGGGGCAGTGGAAGTTTGGTGGGGCAGTGTCTATTAAGCAAGAGTTTTTTGTCTCTCTTCCTCTCGCCCTTCATCCCAGGTGCTCCTGCGAATGCTGCCAGCATACCACGAGCACGTGAAGCAGTACGAGCACACACTCCTCACCAAGTTCTTCGGCCTGCACAGCTGCAAGATCTACAAGCCATCCACCGTGAGTCCTTCACTTCACCTGTCCTGTGCTGTGGCTGTGGCACAACATCTGTGCGTGCGTGTCTGTAGTGTGTACCTCATTGCTTCGGCCTGCACAGCTGCAAGATCTACAAGCCATCCACCGTGAGTCACCCATGCTGTGCCATAATGTGATCGTAGTGACTGTTTTTATGCGTGCCTGTGAGCTATGCGTACCTCCACGCCTCTTTGTCATCTCACCCTATTGGCATCTCACCCTATTGGCATCTCACCCTAATCGCTTCAACGCGCCCCATTCCATCCTCTTTCTCCATCCCCCCTCCACCCGTATGTTCAACCCCTGCAGGGCAGCACCATGATTCGTTTCGTGGTGATGGGAAATCTCATCAACTCTGATGTGCGTCTGCAACAATCCCTCACCCACCGCTTTTCCCTCCCTTCCTCCTTTCATCCCTTTCTTCCTTTTCCATCCGTACGCTTCCCACCTGCAGGGCAGCACCATGATTCGATTCGTGGTGATGGGAAATCTCTTCAACTCAGACGTGCGTCTGCACCGTCGCTTCGACCTCAAGGGCTCCTCGCAGGGTCGCAGCATGGACAAGGTGGCGATTGATGAGACCATGACTCTGAAAGACCTTGACTTGGATCTTGCATTCCGGCTGCACGGGGGATGGAGGGACCTTCTTTTGAGGTGTGTGTGTGTGTGTGTGTGTGTGTGTGTGTGTGTGTGTGTGTGTGTGTGTGTGTGTGTGTGTGTGTGTGTGTGTGTTGTGTTCCTTGCTTCAGAGAGGTGGTAGCAGCAGGCAGCCTGTTTGGCCTCCAGGGCTCCTCACAGGGTCGCAGCAGGTGGCAATTGATGAGATGAGATGAGACCATGACGCTGCTTAGGCGCGTGTGCCGTGTGGTGTGGGTGAGCATGAGAGGTGCGTGTTGCGTTGGCCTCAAGGGCTCATCACAGGGTTGCAGCATGGACAAGGTGGCAATCGACGAGACCATGACGCTCAAAGACCTGGACCCTAGTTTTTGCATTCTGACTCCACGGGGGCTGGAGAGAGCTGCTACTAAGGTGAGTGTACGTGTCCCTTGCTTTCAAAGTGGTGGTTGTAGCAGCAGGCACCACTTTGGCCTCTCAAGGGCTCCTCACAGGGGCGCAGCATGGACAAAGTGGCAATCGATGAGACCATGACACTCAAGGACCTTGACTTGGACCTCGCCTTCAGGCTGCACGGGGGATGGAGGGACCTCCTGTTAAGGTGCGCGGTGTGGGCATGAGAAGGGTGTGCTCCTCTGTCTTGGCCTCAAGGGCTCATCACAGGGGCGCAGCATGGACAAAGTGGCAATCGATGAGACCATGACGCTCAAAGACTTAGACCTCGACCTTGCGTTCCGGTTACACGGGGGGTGGAGGGACCTGCTCCTAAGGTACGAGTGCTTTGTTCGACCTCAAGGGCTCATCGCAGGGGCGCAGCATGGATTAGGTGGCAATCGATGAGACCATGACACTCAACGACTTAGACCTCGACCTCGCAATTTGACTCCATGGGGGATGGAGGGGCCTTTTGTTAAGGAGCGTGTGGGGATGAAAGATACGTGACCTCACGGGGTGATTGCATGGCATGGCTTGCAGCGCATTATGTATCACAGCCTGCTGCGGGAGTACCCCTGCCTACATCACACCTCTTTCCTCCACATATTTCGGCACCCCTCCCCCCTTGCAGGCAAATGGCAGCGGATTGTCACTTCCTGCAGTCCCAACGCATCATGGATTACAGTCTCCTCGAGGGAGTGCCTTGTGTTACCTCTCCACCTCACACCTCCCTCTGCACTGATTGCACTGTTCCCCTTCTGCTTACACCCCTTCCCTCTTCAGGCAAATGGCAGCGGATTGTCACTTCCTGCAGTCCCAACGCATCATGGATTACAGTCTCCTCGAGGGAGTGCCTTGTGTTACCTCTCCACCTCACACCTCCCTCTGCACTGATTGCACTGTTCCCCTTCTGCTTACACCCCTTCCCTCTTCAGGCAAATGGCAGCAGATTGTCACTTCCTGCAGTCCCAACGCATCATGGACTACAGTCTCCTCTTGGGAGTGCATTTCCGAGCCACAGACCCGCCCCCCCCTATAGTCACCATCGCCGAAGGCAAAGTCACAGGTCCTGATGCCTTCCTTCCCCCCACCTCCTCCTCCTCCGCCTCTGCCTTCCCCTCCCCCTTCCTCCCCCCCACTTCCGCCTCTGCTCACCCCTCCCCCTTCTTCTTCCCCAAATCCTCCTCCTCCTCCGCGCTCCCTTATTCCTCGCTTGACCCCCCCTTGGCACGGGCAAACGGTTTGCATATGCAGTTTGGAGGTTGCGGGGTAGGGGGAGGGGGTGGGCGAGAGGGAGTGGGGGGAGTGGGAGGAGTGAGTGTGGAGGTGGGGGGAGTGAGTGTGGAGGTGGGAGGAGTGAGTGTGGAGGTGGGGGGAGTGAGTGTGGAGGTGGGAGGAGTGAGTGTGGAGGAAGAGGAAGAGGGTGTGTATACTCCAGGGTCAGAGCCTCAACCATTACCGCCTTGGGCGAGTGAGGGGAAGGGAGAGGGAGGAGGTTGCAAAGAAGCGGGGGAAACAGGGAGGAAAGGAGGGGGAGGAGGAAAAGGAGGCAGTGGAAAGGGAGGGGGAAGGGAAGGGAAAGGGGAAGGGGGAGCAGTTGGGGGTGGTGGCTCAGGAGCAGCGAGAGAAGCAGGGGCAGGTTCAATGGGTGGAGGGAAACAGGGATCTAAAGCAGCTGCTGTGACAGTAGAGGAGGTGAGCCGAGGGAAGAGGTTCGGGAATCGGCTTCGGAAGCCTCGTTCGGCCCCAACCTCGCACGAGAACCTGGCTCTGCTCAGCCCTGCCGAGGCTGGGCCGCCAAACCTGCAGGGGAGGCTTGGAAGGGGTGAGGCAGAGTGCAGACAAGAAGGGTGTTCGTTAGGGCAGCAGGCTGAGGCAGTGGGAGGGGAGAGGGTGAGCGATGGGAGTGCGGTGGAGGGCGATGCGGTGAGGTTGGATGCGGTGAGGGGAGATGTCCTGTCGTGTCCGTTGGATGGAGGGACAAGTCCTCATCTTCCCCTCTCTCCCGCTCCTCCACTGCCTCCCCCCGAGCTATACCCATCCTCGATGCAACCACCACCACCAGCTGCAGCAGCAGCAGCAACACCACCACCACCACCAGCTGCAGCAGCAGCAGCAACACCACCACCACCACCACCATCAGCAGCAGCAGCGGCAGCACCACCACCGCCATCACCAGTAGCAATAGGCAGCCAGCAATCCGCATGGATCGGCCGATTCTCCCCTTCAACTCAAACCTGGCGCCGCCTCTTCCGTCCCTGGCAGCAACAACAGCAGCAGCAGCACCACGCGCGGCACACGCAAGGCTCTTCCACCCAGTCCACTCGAGCCAGGAGGGCAGTCACGAGCGATGGAGCCCCCATCATGCGCCACTCCTCTGACAATGTCGCCCACCTGCTCTCCTCCTTACGCCCTGGCACCCAAGCTAGCCCCTTTCTGCAGCCCCAGGCCTCTGGGCCGGCCTTAACGCCCCAGCCCCATCCCCTTGCTGCCTCTCAGACCAACCAGCTTGATGTCCCCGCTGCTGGTGGGGGAGTGGGAGGGGGAACGGGAGCCGGAGGGGAAGGGGAAGGTGATGCGGATGGGGGAGGGGGAGCGGGAGGGGGGTCGAGCATTCCCCATAGTGGAGAGATGACCTGCTATTCAGTCTTTGCCAGGCTAAGCCACACACACCCAGACCCACCGCCTCTCACCATCCCCCCCTCCGCCACCGCACCTGAAGCCACCTTCTCAGGTGTTTCCCCAGGTACCCCCGCCTCCAACCACCTCCCAGCGCCGCCCGCCGCTCCTGGTAACGCCGCCGCCGCGCCAGGTGATTCTTCAGGTGCCGGCAACAGAGCGCCACCAGGCAGCAGCAGCCCGAGGCCCCCTGCAGGATCTGCCACTGCCACTGCCGCTGCGACTGCCATCAAGCCTCCTTCCCCCCGATTCAATCTGTCTGCCCTAGTAGGGGCGTTACGTTCCCCCACACCCAAGAGGCAGAGCCATGTGAAGCGAGGGGGGGTGTTGTCAGTGCCTGCTAGCCCGTGGCTGCACCCCGTGCTGGGGAAGGTGCAGGTGCAACCACAGCAGGACGAAGGGGGGCAGGAGGAGCAGAGGCAGGGGCCGGGAGGGCAGCAGCAGCAGGAAGGGCAGCAGCAGCAGCAAGGACAGCAGGGGCAGCAGGGGCAGCAGGGGCAGCAGGGGCAGCAGGGGCAGCAGCAGCAACCCAGGCGGCCTTCTGAGCCACTGTCAGCACCAGCTCAGGTTTATGCACATGCACATGCGCAGAGGCGGGAGCAGCAGGGGCAGCATGGGCAGGTGCAGGGGAGGGGGGCGGGGGCGGTGCTAGGACAGGGCATGGCGGCGACGGCCGTGCGGCTGGACAGGAGGAGCCGGCGACCCATCAGAGACCCTGCCAGAGCAGAGGCGTACGAGGTGGTGCTGTACTTCGGCATTATTGATATCCTGCAGGTGGGTGTGGGTGTGGGTGTGTGTGGATGTGGGTGTGTGGGTGGGTGTGTGGGTGGGTGTGTGGGTGGGTGTGTGGGTGGGTGTGTGGGTGGGTGGGGACATTGGAGTGAATGCCGCAGAGGCGTATGAGGTGGTGCTGTACTTCGGGATCATCGATATCCTGCAGGTGGGTGTGGGTGTATGTGGTTGGATGGTAGGAGCGTGGGGCACTTGTATGCGTTATTAGAGCGATGGTGCTGGCAGACCTTACACGGGCAGAGGCGTATGAGGTGGTGCTGTACTTCGGGATCATTGATCTCCTGCAGGTGGGTGTGGGTGGGTGGTAGTGTGTGCACGTGGGTGGGTGCTGTACTTTGGCAACATTGACATCCTGCAGGGGGGTGTGTGTGTATCGGTGTGTGTGGGTGCTTGTGTGTGGGATTGATAGGTTGCATATGCGCGTCTGCATGTGTGTGCACATGTGAGTGTGGAAGTCTGTGGAAGCCTGTGGGTCTGGTGGGCCATGCATATGCCTCCCACAAGTAAATGCGCTCATCATTACGCTGAGTCCTTTATTGTCTCCCGTTTTTGTCACACTCTGTCGAACCATTCTTGCACCTTGGAGTCCTGAAATTTTTCTCAACAACCAGCCACTTCCTCAACCACCCCGTACCGCACTGCATCGCAGGAGTACGACTACACGAAGAAGGTTGAGCATTTCTACAAGTCCATTCAGTACGACAGCCACTCCATCTCAGCCGTTGATCCCACACTCTACGCGTCGCGCTTCCAGGACTTCATCAAACTCACCTTCCCCACCGCTTGACATCACGCTCACGTCGCGCTTCATGCTTGTCCTGCCTCTGTTGTGACGACTCAGAAGTCTACCCATCTGTCCCAAGTGCTTGACAGATTGACAATCTGTTGACGCCTCTTTTGAGACGTCTTAATCTCATCCACTCATCTACTCGCATTCTCATCTACGCAGCTACACATATCTGCCGTCGACCCCACGCTCTATGCTTCACGCTTCCAGGACTTCATCAAGCTCACCTTCCCCACTGCGTGACTTGACAGTCTACACCGCACTTTCTCATTTGGGATGTGACAGACTTTTCAGAAGTCATTATGCGTCTACACCTCTCTGCAGTTGACCCCCCTCTACGCCTCTCACTTCCAGGACTTTATCAAGCTCACCTGCCCGAGTGCTTGACAGATTGACAATCATTGGATACTTACCCCAGGTGAAACTCTTCCACTCCACAGGTGGGATTGCCTCCGTGATGCTGCTGACAAATGTGACTTCCCACTTGAACTTCGGATTCTTTACCGGTTGTGCTTGATGGAATGACAGGTGGTGATTTGCATACCTGTGACTGCAATGTGTGTGCAAAGTCTGGTGCTCTGTGGATGAAGAATGTAAATATTTATGCGTAATGCAATTCAATATATAATCTTCCAAAACATGTACTCTACTTTCCAACATGAACTACTTGCCAATATGAACTGTTCTGCACATCGTGAAACCAAACTAGAAGACATATTGCCTTATCGTCCGCGCCATGTACGGTACCGTAATCACCCGGACATACCACCCGCCGAAATAGAACACCCCCCGGGTGGCTTGTGCCCCCCCGAACTTTTAGCGAGGTTCTACTCGGTGCAAAGCGGTGAATGTTCGAACTTTGACAAATTTCGCCCAAAGTGCACACGTCCTGACGTTATCGCCTCATCCTCGGTTTTGCGCACCCAACCAACAATCTACCACCGCAGCAAGCATGTACATTTTGTTCCCAACCGTTTCTGCTTTTAAAAAAATGTACATTATAAAAAGACCCGGGTGTTATGTAGCTTTTTCCCATGACAAGACCCCCCCCCCCCTTTTTTTGATGTAGTTATCATAGCACCCTAGGGTGGTATGTCCGGGTGATTACGGTACATCCTCAAGCCTTGAGAGCAAACCCAAGCCCCTCCCCCGCCAGTGCCTCTAAGCTAGCAACGGCTGGCTGCTCCTGAGCCGCCTTGGCAATTGCCTTGTTCTCCTCTGCACTCCCGCCCTCCAGGAACGCACCCACCACCTTGCCGTCCTTCACCCAGTATGCGCCAAACTTTGCCGCCCCTTCGCCGACCGCCTTGCCGTCCTTGAGCCCGTAGTGCACAGCGTCACCCACGTTGTCTCCGTAGAACTGCCAGGAGAGGTCGAAGGAGCGCGAGTAGAAGTAGGGCAGGTAGGCGTAGTCCGGTACCTGCTCCCCTGTTTCTGCTGCCTTGATTGCCTGTGACAAGTGGGGTGGAAGTTGTAAGGGGAAAGGGAGGTGGGCTCTTTTGCCGTGGGAGAAGTAGGGCAGGTATGTGTAGTCCAAACACCACTCATCGCTTCGCTTCATCATGGGGAGGTGCTAGTTAGGAAGATCAGAGCATTTGTGCTTGTTACACACATACCCTCACTGCCTGCTACACAGACTTACTGGCATGATCCACATGCTCCACGCGGCTCTCATCGCCGTACTTGATCATGGGGGATGCCTTTTCAGTCACAGTGCCATATTCACGCCACTAGGGCAGGCGTACCTTCACTGCCTGCTGCACTGACTTCCTGGCGTGATCCACATGCTCCACGCGCCTCTCATCGCCATACTTGATCATGGGGAATGTGGCCACATCACCCACTGCATACACGCCTGGGGCGCTGGAAAGGAAGCGAGCATCCACCTGAGGGCGAGGGAGGAGAGGGGGAAGGAGAGGCGAGGGGGAGTTGCCCGGGAGCACGGGGAATGTGGCCACATCACCCACTGCATAAACACCCGGGGTGCTGGAGAGGAACCGAGCATCCACCTAAGGGAGGAAGAGGGGGAGGAAGGGCGAGGTAATGGGAAATTTAGAGACTTTGGAGTAGAATAGGAGGACGGATGGGGAGCGCAATCAACTCATTCACTGTGTACACCCATCACCCAACCCCATCACTCCTATCAACCTACACTCACTCACCCACAATGACCCCACCCACCTTGATCCCGCACTTGTCGAACGTGAGCTGGACTTTCAAGAGCCCCACGTTGGGGCGTGCCCCCACGCCCACCACCACCAGATCCGCCTCTTGCGTCGCCCCACTCTTGAACATCACGCTCTTCATGTGGCCCTCCACGTCCCTCCCCCAAGCAGGCCCCCATCACCCAACATCACATGACTCCACGCCTCTGACACCAACCCAATCGCTCTTATCAACAAGCTCTCACCCACATTCCCACACCCACGCACCTTAATCCCGCCCTTGTCAAAAGCAAGCTGGTCTTTGAAGAGCCCCACGTTGGGGCGAGCGCCCACGCCCACCACCACCAGATCCGCATCCAGAGTCTCTCCGCTCTCGAGAGTCACGCTCTTCACATGCCCCTCCTCGTTGGCTGTGAAGGCCGTGGCGACCGTGCCCTTGACAATGGTGACGCCCTTGGCCTCGTAGTAGCCCTCGTAGAACGCGGCAAGTGTTGGGGTGAAGAGGCGAGGCACTGGAAAGAGAGGGGAAGCGGAGAGGGGGACAGGCAAAGGGAAAAGGGATGGGGTTGCATGGGAGCACTGATTCAAGCCCTTGACGATGGTGACACCCTTGGCCTCGTAGTACCCCTCGTAGAACGCGGCGAGCGTGGGGGTGAAGAGACGCGGCACTGGAAGAGGGGTGGGGGGACCAAGCAGTGGGGGGAAAGAGGGAGAGAAAATGGGGTTTTACGGTTGCCCTTGACGATGACGGCCTTGGCCTCGTAGTACCCCTCGTAAAACGCCGCGAGGGTAGGGGTGAAGAGACGCGGCACTGGCAAGAGGGGAGGAGGAAAGGAAAGAGGGCGAGAGGTGAGAGGCGGTTGCGCGAGTGGGGGGAGGGCGAGATGCTGACGACTCCGAGAGGGCAAGGAGAGGCAGAGGGGGAGAACTCGGGGAACAGAGGCTTACTGCAGAAGGGCTCAGGGAAGACCATGGTGGCCTTGAAATCGTTCATGGCGAGGATGGCCGCGAGCTCGAGTCCGATGTACCCACAGAGAGGAGGCGAGGAGGAGAGAGCGAGAGGCAGAGAGCGAGAGAGGGATCTAGAGACTGTGGCTTACTGCAGAAGGGCTCTGGGTGACCTTGATATCGTTCATGGCAAGGATGGCAACTAGCTCGAGCCCGATGTACCCGCCACCACTGCCTTGCCTCTTGAGAGGCAGGTCTAATGTCTAGCAGGGATCAGTGGCTTACTGCAGAATGGCTCGGGGAAGACCATGGTGGCCTTAATGTCATTGATAGCGAGGATGGCCGCAAGCTCGAGTCCGATGTACCCGCCGCCCACCACCACAGCCTTGCCGCCCTTCTTCGCCTGGATGGCGGCGTACAGTTCATCGGCCTCTTTGATCTCCCGCAGGTAGTAAATGCCCTTGGCGTCTGCACCTGGCGTCTTGAAATCCGTCAGCTTGATGGTCTGGAGGGGGGCAAAGGCGTGGGGAGGAACCGGGGGGTCGTAACCGTCGTGTGAGGCGTATTCCTTCCCATCACAACTCATCCGCCTCTTTGATCTCCCGCAGGTAGTAAATGCCCTTGGCGTCCGCGCCTGGCGTCTTGAAATCCGTCAGCTTGATGGTCTGGAGGGGGACGTGCGCATGAGAGGGAGGCAGGGCGTGGGGGAGGAGGTGGGGATAGGGGAGGAGCGGAAATTGAGGCGTGTTGTTACTACTACAGTACAACACAGACGCTGTGAAGAGCTGCTTGCTGAGGCGTCTAGAGAGGGTCACGGACTGTACAGGACTTCCCACTTGCAAAAGCCTTCCCTGGGGGGGCGAGTTACTCACATCGGCGCCAGTGGCTATGATGAGGTTGGTGAAGGCGATGGTGTCACCAGACGCCGTGGAGAGCTTCTTGTTGGCCACGTCAGCAGACACAACCTCCGTGTTGAGAATGAGCTCGATGCCTGACGGTGCGTGAGTGAGGGCGCGTGGAGAACACCAGAGGAGGGAGGGGGGAGGAGATTAGTCCACTCAAGAATCAACATCATGTTGAGAATGAGCTCGATGCCTGACGGTGCGTGAGTGAGTGCGCGTGACAGAACACCAGAGGGAGAAAAAAAAGGTCCACTCAAGAGTCAACACCGTGTTCAGAATGAGCTCGATGCCTGACGGTGCGTCAGTGAGAGTGCGTGAGGGAGCACGAGAGGAGAGTAACAGGAGAGAGGCTGTGAGGAAGGGGGACGTGGGGGGGCAGTGCACACATGGCGACATGCTCCTCAAGGCAATTAGTTTTGAGACGTCTAAAAACCACACATCGCAACATGCTCCTCAAGGCGATTATTGATGAAAGCTTAGAAGTATTGACGTTTGCGCAGCGTTCTTTGAGAGCTAGGAGGTGAGATTCCGTTTGAAGTCCTGGAAAACAAAACCGCATCTTGATTGCATCAAGTATCTTAAACACGCCCCTCGAGTTGCTCACGGCCTTTACCTCCATGTCTATCCCCTGGCGACGCACCTTTCTCCGAATACCATTCCGGGGTCAGCCGCTCCCCTCCGCTACCCACGCACGTGTGGAACCCAGGCAGTCGCGCAGGCGCTGCAGCGGGATACAGAGAACACAAAATACGATTATATTAGTGCGCGCGGGTGCTGTAACTGGACTGAGTTTACGGAAAACTACGGAAGGAGCAATGGCGAGAGGACTGGAGGAGGACGAAGAGGGGAAGGTTCAGACGGAAGAGAAAGATGAAGGAAATTGCGAGCGAGGGGGTTCGACGTACATTGAGGAAAGAGGTAGCCTTTGCTCAACGCCGGCCGCTCGTAAGGAGCCACCTGCAAATCAGGCGAGAGAAAGAAGACGACGACGCATGAGATGCTACAAATGCGAGATGTATTGATAAGATGCAAAAACTCAATCGGCCCTGTCGAGGCGAACGGTTAAAGCAAAAAGAAAGAGAGGAAGAAAGGAAAGGCTCGCATACCGCCTCCCGCGACACGATGGCAAGCTCGCCGGCCTTGAGGCCCTGCTTCGCAAATTCCGCCGCTCCATAACCCTGAAAATACGGAGAGGCGATAAACGTGAGGAAATAATGCCGCCAAAAATGTCAACTTTCGTCGGGATTCGTCTCGGCGAGTTTCGAAAGTCTGGATCTGCTTACCGCAGCAACGCCGCCTCCGAGGATGACATACTTGAAGGACTTCTCGACCATGCTGGCCTGCAGAACCCTCGCGAGGGATACAAGTCTTCGCGCGGCGACCGTTGCCTGCGCAATCGTGCCTGAATGCACGCGAAAATGTGTCCTTGAGTTACTGCTGGTGGAAATGGAAAACAAGAATCCCGGAATTGGCTGACATAGAATGGCCGGGCTAGCTTCGTATAAAAGAAAGCCCATTGAATCGGGAACTTGCTGGTCTTGGGAATGTCACTGGCGGCATTGGGATTTTCATGATGCAGTAGCTCAAATCGGCATACGTTTCGCATGATGTTGCGAAAAAGTAACCGCACTGTCGCGAGCCAACGATCAATTGGCGATGTTCCTTCTAGAACCGTGCGGGGTTCCAGGAAGGCTACTCTCACGGACGACTGGTCTCTCATCAGCAAACCACGATGCTCCACGTAGGTTTGAAGTACTATTATCTTGAAGACGTGGCGACCACCGACCACGACCCTACCCCCACAAACAACCGGCCGTGCGATTGAAATATGGCGTAGCATTACAGCATGTTACTCGTATACGGTCGCATGCGCGAAGGTTGACGTCCGACGTCACGAGTCAGAGGCAGTAATGTGTGGTTCGCGAGAGGCTCCATCGATTTCGTCTGACGCCTGAATCCTGTCTGTACTTTCGCCGCCAATCAACGAATATCTCTGAACTACTCTCCACGTCAGACACGGGACTGATCAGTCAGATCTCTCAAGTCGATCTCCCACATACAGTCACAACACGTCACATTCAGATACACCCTCTTGTATCACACCCCTATGATCACATTCCGCCAAATCTGCTGATTCTGCCTTTCCCTTCCAAGCACAACAGCAACTCCACATCCCATCAAATCAAAACCGCATTTTCAACTTCGATCAGCATTCCCAACTTCTGTGGTGATTCGGTAGAGATTCTACCTCAGCAGCCTTGAAAACTCTCGCTTGATCATCTCTCGCCTCGCCATGGCGCTCGCTTCCGCCGCTTCTATCGCCCTGGCGCCTGCCGCCACGGTCGCCTGCGTTTCGGCCAAGAGCTCATCGCGAGCAGCTCCAACTGCCGCTCTGGCAGTTCCGCTTTCCACATCCTTCCGCGGGCTCCAGGTCTCTTCGGCGAAGAAATCCGCTCGGGTTACCCTCCAGCCGCTTCGCAGCAGCGTTCGAGCCAACGGTGAGTGGGCCCCAGCCGATAATTGGCCCCGTGCTTGTTGAACAGCGCTGCGATTCAGCATGCCAGCAGCGCTTAATGATGCCAACGATGATTGATCATGCCAGCAGGGATTGAACCGCTGTCGATTTGTTTTTCCAAAATTGAAACTGAGGCAATTAGCCTTCCACCCTTGTCCTCGCGCACCTCAAAGCTCGCTTCCAACGATGTGTATTCCGATCCCTCTCTCCTCACACACTGCGCATCTCATTCATTCCATCCGAGAGGCTCATTCGACTTTCTTCCTGTGCTCTCTGCCCTGCACTTCGCTCTCTGTGCTTTGTGCCCTCCGCCCTGTGCTGTGCTCTGCACTCTGTGCCGTTTGGTCCTGCAGTGGTGACGGAGCCGGCCACGAAGATCGGCTTCCCAGTCACTCTAGCGGCCCCCGGTGGTTCCAAGGACCTCTCCCTGCTGGGAACTGGTGAGTGCTGCAGCCTGTCGGAGACGTGGGGGCAGGAGACGTGGGGGCAGGAGCTTGAAGCTGGGGAAGCAGGGGGTTGAGGCTGGTAAAAAAAAAGGGCAGCGAGGTGGCTGGCAGGGGTATCACGAGGGCGCAGGATTCTCCAGATATAGCAAGTGTAGGAATGTTAATTCCCCAGACAGTTGCTACATATGCTGTGCTTCTGATTATCGAATTCTCTGTGAAACAATGACCTCCTCCTCCTGCTCCTGCTCCTGCTGCTGCTGCTGCTTCTGCTGATTGTTGCTTACAGGGGTGCGGGAGAAGAAGCTTGGGCCGCTGGCGGTGAAGGTGTATGGAGTGGGTGTGTATGCTGAACCGCAGCTGCTGGATGTGTTGGCGGGCTGGAAGGGCAAGCCTGCTGACAAAGCCTTCTTCGATGCCATCGTCTCCAGTACGTCCCAATCCCACTTACCGTCACACCTCACCTCCCCATCCATTTCTGAGGCGCCAAAAAGATTGACCAAGCCTTCTTCGATGCTATCGTGTCCAGTACGTTTTGATCCCACTGATCGTTACAGATCACGCCCCAATCCACTGTGACCAGAAACAGATTGTTTCTCTCCAATGTACTCGCTAGTGGCGCCTCTGCTCTGTCACTTCACCTGCATTCCTGTGTGCTGTCCCCTGCAGCGCTGTGTGAGAAGGCCATTGTGGTTATGCTGGCGCGGAACTTGGGGTCAGACTAGTTCTGGAACGAGCTTTCCTTGACTCGACACCTGCCTTGCATCTCCCAACATCTGCTCCCTGCAGCGCCGTGTGAGAAGGCCATCGTGATTGTGTTGGCACGCAACGTGGGGTCAGACCAGTTCTGGAACGCCCTCACAGAGGAGCTCGCACCACGCCTCACTGCGGCTGGAGAGGGCCTGGGTGACTTGGAGGCGTTTGGACAGCTCTTCAAGGACAGGTCGCTTAAGAAGAACACTGGGGTGTACATCACATGGCGCCAGCCGTCTACACTTCAGGTATGCTCAATATATAAAACCTTTGGTCAATAACCCTTCAATTGAACTGTTCATGCATCCCGGGGTGTTCCTTTGTTACATATAATGCTTATACCTTGTCGGTTTCCTATTTGTTCACAATACAGGTGGCATTTGCTGATGATGTGACTGCTGGAGGAGCTCCCTCTGCAGCTTCTGCCACTTTTGAGTCACCTGGGCTACTTGCTGCTCTCTTTGACATCTACTTGGGTGGGGAGCCTGTGTCTCCATCTTTGGTGCAGAGCATTGCTGCAATTGCACAGTAAATTACCTACGTTGTATCATCTTTTATACGAATAAAGTGCTGAGCTTCCAATTGTTATGGCTTATGAAATTGCTTCCTGAAATTGTTGCATCCAGAACTCGGAAGACATAGATTGAGTAACCTTTCTTAGGCTGTCAATTTCTTCTATACAGATTCATTACACTACGCGGATCATCGGTATGGAGGACCTGCCCAACCTGCTTCACTTCATACCGAACTTTGTGGAGCAGGCTCAACACGACCTCGATTTCGCCACAACACATCAAGGAATCGCAGCAAGGGAAACGAGATCCCTTTCTCAAACCAGGTGGAACGAATCCGTTTGGCAGGCATTAGAGGTCGCGAAAAGCATAAGTGACTGGCGTTACGTTGACTCGCGCAAGACACTTCATAGCGCGCATCCGACGCTGTCGCCTACTCCGCAGCATCAGCTGCAGAAGCCAACCACTGCCAGATCCTGAGCAACATGAATCCCGAATAGTGCGTCCCCTTTGTTCTCGTTATGCAGATGGGAGCTGTCCATTGTCGTGCCTAGTACTGAGGCGCTAAGACTGTTTCCGTTGTCGCTGCTGATGCAGTGATTACTTGTTCAAGCTGTTGCTGATTGGTGATTCTGGTGTCGGGAAGTCCTGCCTCCTTTTACGATTCGCGGTAATATACTATTAGACAGGGTGAATTCGCAGTTTCCATGGGGGTGCCATGCCGCTCTACAACATCCACGCTAAGAATATCTTGTTGGGTTGCAGGACGATTCCTATCTCGAAAGCTACATCAGTACAATCGGAGTTGACTTTGTAAGCTTAAGGTTGAACGTTTCAACACTTTCAGCAGGATAACGTCTTAAGCATCCTCTGACAGTTGTCCGCTCTCTCTTTTTACAGAAAATCCGTACTGTCGAGCTCGATGGCAAGACTATCAAGCTTCAAATTGTGAGTGACGTCGTGGATTAGCTTCGTACTCTTCTCATCGTGGCGTGGCTTATAAAAGTTAAAGGGTTGTTGCGTGTGGCTATAACAGTGGGACACTGCAGGCCAGGAGCGTTTCAGAACGATCACAAGTAGTTACTACCGCGGTGCTCATGGCATCATTGTGAGTGGCGTTTGTTATTTCGTGCTCAGCACGCATTCGGTCCACCAATTGTTGTCCAAGATGGTATGAAGCTTACTGGACTGTCCCTGCAGGTTGTTTACGACGTCACAGATCAGGAAAGCTTCAACAACGTAAAGCAATGGTTGAATGAGATTGACCGTTACGCCAGCGAGAACGTTAACAAGCTCTTGGTAGGAAACAAGTGCGACTTGACAAACAAAAGGGTTGTGGACTACCAGACTGCAAAGGTGAGCAGGGTGTGAGACGCTTTAGTTGCACCAATCTTCAGCTCAAGGTTGCATCATCTGTGAGTGGGTTCTGATTTTCCTTGTGCTTTGCTTGCAGGCCTTCGCAGATGAAATTGGCATCCCATTCCTAGAAACGAGTGCGAAGAATGCCACAAACGTCGAGCAGGCTTTCATGACCATGGCTGCTGAGATCAAGAACAGGTACAGATCAACATTGTTGGCATTTCAAATTCGGCTGTTTCATTTCAACCTTACAGTGCTGTCTGTGGATGTGGCTGCAGGATGGCGAGTCAGCCAGCCCTTGGGAACAAGGGTGGTGGTCAGACTGTGCGCCCTGGAGAAAGCAGGCCGTTGCAACAAAACAGCAATTGCTGCTAGCCTTTTGAGAACATTGGTGCCATGTTTGGATTAGCTATTTGAATGAAAGCACACCTTCAGAAGATTGAGTGGGCGCGCCCGGTGGAATTTGGTTCCTTCTTCACTGGAATGCTGTGCTGTTGTTGGGGAGTATCTGCAGCAGGCAATGAGAAGGCAGAATGGTACAGTATCCTGCCGGTATGTCATTTGTTTGTGTAAACAAGGCTTTGTTCTGTTGTCTTAAGTGATACAGTACACGCTTGTTGTACGTTAATTTCTATTGCGTACGAAACTAGCCGGGAAAGTGATTCGATGCACGGGTATATATATGATTATTTAATTAGGCGAAGTTGTTATGCTGGGAGAGTACTTATACTGTAGCTCCCAACGTATGGCTGAATGGCCGCCTCTTGAGAGTGCTTGGACCTTTGTCTTGTCGCCATCACTTCAATGTTTCATGCTAACAAGTGACCTTGCTCGCTGTGTGGAAAAGCATTCGCCAAAACAAGCCTCCTGGGAGTACTTGGACCGAAGCTACCATCGCTTGCTTGCCTCATGCTAACAGTCGTCGCGAGTAAACTCGCTTGCTGTGGGTGAGGAGGGGAAAGGAGGAGCGGGCATGGTTGAGGGGAAGGGGAGGGGAGGAGATGAGAGACACATGGTTGAGTTAGGGCGCGTGTCTTTTTTCCGAACCATGTGGTCCGGACGGCATGCGAATAGGGTATCCCGCTGACGGTCCGGACCGTCGGAGCTCGTCATCGTATTGGAGTGCATGCGAGCATGGGCGAACAATTTCGCATGTGGTCCGGACTGTTGGTCTGGAAAAAAGACACACGCCCTTAGTGCGGCAGGTCAAGAGGGTAGGAAGGGACAGAAGGGGTACAAGAAGCACAAGCCGTGTATGTGTAGGGCACATGTGAGCAGCACACAGCTTACACATGTAAGGCACAGGTGAGAGATGGAAAGGAGAAGGAAGAGCGGGGGCAGACTTACACGGAGGTGGACGCAATGTTGCCGGCATCAGTACCAGTGGTAGCACCAGCAGCACCAGCATCAGCTGTAGCAGCAGCGGCAGAAGCAACATCATCAGCTGTAGCAACAGCAGCAGCACCATCAGCATCAGCCGCGTCCTCACTGGCACTAGCAGCAGCAGGCTGGCCTGGTAACTGGTCTTTGACGGTGAGTGAGTGAGCAGGCTCAAGGAGAACATCTGTTGTGGTAGTAGCATTAGCTGTGGATGTGACAGCAGCAGAAGCAGCAGCAGCACGTGTGACACTAGCAGAGGCGAGGAAAGCAGCACCCCACCCTCCTGCTGCTCCTCCCCCTCGTCCTGCTGCTGCTCCTCCTCCTCTTCCCCCTGCTGCTACTGCTACACTTCCTGCTGCCTCACCTCCTCCTTCCCCTGATGAGGACAAAGGTGAGGCATGGACCACAGACAATTCAACACGTTCTGCTGACGTGTCGGGAGCAAGGCCAGGCACAGCCTCAATCAATGCAGCAGCACCAGAAGCAGCGTCTACAGCCAAATCCGTATCTGCAACTGCAGTTGAAGGTGTGGTGGTGGTTGTACTTGTGGCAATGGCTGTAGCTGTGGCTGTGGCGGTGAGTGTAGTTGTAGCTGTAACTGTGTGAGTATCCTGTGATCTCTGAGCACTCGCATTCACGTTGTCTCTACGCACGTGCTCTCTCGCCTGGTGTTCCCGACTCTTTCCTAACTGTGTTCTCCTGGGACCGTTGCTGCTGCTGAAACCCCAAGCACCACTCCTGCTCCCACTTCCACTCCCACTCCCACTCCCACCCCCACTCCCACCCCCACTCCTGCCTGTTCCACTTCTCCGCTCACTGCGATACATGAACCGGCGGACAATCAGCCGTCGAGGCCGTTTTCCCTCTGCTGCACTTGCCAACGGCAAAGGCAGCGGCTGTGGATCACTGGGCAGCAGCGAGGAGGCAGGTTGTAACGGTTCCTTCTGACTCGACTCAATCAGTGGCCCGCTGCCTGATGCAGGGTCGAGATAGCTGGGAGGGGGAGAGGTGCCGGAAACGTGCTCGCTTGCACTTCTTCTGAGGGAGATTCTTCTCTCGGACCTTGTGAGCGAATTTTGAGAAGTCTCAAAAATCTCCCTGAACGAGCCTCCTGGTTTGGATCCTTTCAAGTGCTGGTTTCTGCTGCTGCTGATGCTCCTGCTGCGTCCGAAGCAGCTGACGATGCCTGCTGAGCCAGCGCCGGTCTCGCCAGCAAAGCAGCTGACATGACCTGCTGAGTCAGCATCGCCGTCACCAGAAAAGCAGCTGACGTGGCGTGCTGTGTCGGGATCATGAGGATCGTCTGCCTTTGCCCCGTGTAACCTGCTGGGAAGGCAGAAGGTGCTACTGAGGGGCAGACGTGGCAAGTGAGGGTGTGGCATGTGAGGGTGTGGCATGTGAGGGTGTGGCATGTGAGGGTGTGGCATGTGAGGGTGTGGCATGTGAGGGTGTGGCATGTGAGGGTGTGGCATGTGAGGGTGTGGCATGTGAGGGTGTGGCATGTGAGGGTGTGGCATGTGAGGGTGTGGCATGTGAGGGTGTGGCATGTGAGGGTGTGGCATGTGAGAGTGCGAGAAGTGTGGATGCGAGGAAAAGGTATGGGAGGAATGGTTGGTCTTGGTATCAACATTCGCATGTGAGGAATGAGTGCCATCTTGCTGGGATGGGCTGCTCGAGTGATTCGCCTCTGCAGCCTCTCTATTCGCCTCTGCAGCCTCTCTATTCGCCTCTGCAGCCTCTCTATTCGCCTCTGCAGCCTCTCTATTCGCCTCTGCAGCCTCTCTATTCGCCTCTGCAGCCTCTCTATTTGCCTCTGCAGCCTTGCAATGGTTGTCATCACTATCACACGCACTCTCCCTTGCGTCCCCATTTGCCATCATCACTCCCGCTCCACTCTCCCCGTCCCCTTGTGCGTCCCCTCCATCCTTCACCGTACCTCCCGCCTGCTCCGAATCGTCCATCCTCCTGGTTTCCTCCCTCTGCGCCTCCCCTTCCCCCTCCCCTTCTGGTGGGAGAAGGTCTGACTGCTGTGGCAGGGGACTCGCCTCCTCCTGCGTGCCACCTGCTTCTTGGATAACTGGGACCTCTGGGAGTGCCGCTTCCGGCTGGGTTCGTAGAAGCGATGCCTCATGGTGATTTTGTGCGGGAGATGCTTCTTGGAGGCCAGGCGTGGAGTCAGATAGGTCACCATCACCGGCAGCAGCCTCAGCGGGAGCATCAGCGGGAGCATTAGCAGAAGCATCAGCGGGAGCATCACCAAAAGCAGAAGCAGAAGCAGCAGCAATAGGCACGAGGGATGGTGAGTTATGTCGACCCTCCTGGTTGTTAGCTTCCCTCCTGTTGGCACTAGGGAGATCAGCAGCACTGCCTGCTGTGCCACTCGCCTGCTCTTCCTGAGATGACTTCTGAGTAGACTCTCCCCAGCACCAAGCCTGCTGTCTGCTGCAGCTGCTATGCCAGCCTTTTGAGGCGCCTCAAAAGCACCAAGCCTACTGTCTGCTACAGCATCTATGCCAGCCCTATCACACTCGCCCGAGCCCTCATCCGCCCCTTTCCCCCCACCACCATCAGCCCAAATTTGAGGCGCCTCAGGAGCTGCATCAGCATTCACAGCACTATCAGCCGATTTCAAACCGTCAGCTGCCTGCTTTTCCCCATCATCCGCCCGTTTCCCCCCCTCACCTTCAGCCCAAATTCGAGGTGCCTCAGAAGCTGCATCAGCATCAGCTGGCTGCTTCCCCCCCTCACCTTCAGCCCACCGGAGCCATTTGCCCAGGGGCCTGCTGGACAGAGAGCGGTGCATTGCCGGCTGGTGGGAGGCGTGGGGGGGGCGTGGCGGGTGGTGTGTGAGGTGGAGTCGTGCTTGGCAGTGTGGCGGGAGAAGGAGAGGGAACGCAGCTGCAGGTGGGGGATAAGCGAGGGGAAGTGCGGGTGGGGGCGGAAGGAGGCGCGGGAGTGTGGGGGAGCTTGATTGGGGTGGATGGGGATGGAATGGGAGGAGGGTGTGGGAGTCACAGTGGGATCAGAGGAGATATTGGCAGTGGTATCAGTCAGGGCCTGTGCTGGCATCAGTACTGCTGCCGGTAGCGGCAGTGCTGGCATCTGTGGTTGAATCTGTACACATGGTTGCAGCAAGTGCTGTTTCTGCTTTCTGTGCTGCTGATTCCGCAGGGATGCGGGACTGGGCTTGCAGCTGTGGCAGCATCTGGGGTAGATCAGCCGCCCCCTGCCGTTGAAACGCCAGCAGCAGCAGCTGTTTCAGTGCCTCGTTCTCCCGCCTCAGCTCGCCCACCTCTCTCATCAGCTCACTCTCCCTCATCCCACCGCCCTCCGCTCCTCGCGTTCCCCCCACCCCCATCATTCCCTCCGCCCCTCCCACTCCCCCTGCCACTGCCGGTTCCCCCACTGCCCCCGCTTCTCTCGCCTCCTCCATCCCGCCGCGCCCCTCACCTTCCACACCTCCCCCCGCCCTCCCCTCCGCTGCGCCTGCCTTTGCGTTGCCTGTCTCTGCTGCGCCACTCGCGCCTCTATAGCCGCCATAGTCGAAACACACTCCACCATCGCCCACTCCAGCTTAATCTCTCCTCCGCCTCCCTCCCCCCCATGCCCATGCGCGCCTCCTCCCCCTTCCCGCTCCCCCTCTCCTCTCGTCCGCGCATCCCCTGGCGCCTCGAGCACGTGTCGAACACGCTTGAGACACGTCAGCAGCGCGCCGACAGCTCTCTGAGCCGACTCGAGTCGTTGTTCCAGCTGTCGCCTCTCCGCCGCTTCTTCCGCGAGCCGCCCCTCTAGCGCGTTTCCCGGCGGAGGGGCGGGAAACGTGCCGTTTGTCGTATCCTCGACCACCGCCGCCTTCCTGTAGCCTTCCAGTCCATCCTCAATATAAACTTCGTAGCCCAGCTCCGCCATTCGCGCCGCCCTTTGCGCTGCGTCGTCGATCGCCAGAACATCCCACAGCACGTGCATGTCCTCGCTGAACGCGTCCACGTCGGCGTCATCCACGTCAGCGTCCACGTAAGCATCCACCTGTACACCCACGTCCCCGTCCCCGCTTCCTCCCCTGTCGACGGCCCAGATCCCGTCGCGGTCCGCCGCCTCCGTTATTATCACATGCTCCCCTTCTTCCGTTACTGTCACATGCCCCTTCTGTTCCGCGTTCCCCATTTTCTCGCTCGTTCCCAGTCGTCGGTGATAGGAATGAAGGAACCAACTTCTCAAAACTGATTTGTGCGCAATTCTCTCATCTCCGACGGTTTTCTAAAGCTCCACGTTACGAAAGGAGGCGCGAAGAAAGTATGAGACAGCACTCCCGGCGGGCCGCGACGTAAGTTCAAGAATTAAATAGTTCAACTGCCGTTACGACCTAGGAGAAGTCGTTTCGTTAGCGTTGCGTGACATCAACGGTGTGGTAGTTGCGTTACAAGGGAAAAAGATCGCAACTCGGCTTTATCACTGCGACGTGCGTCGTCACGACTCACGTGGAGCTAGAGAAGCGGGTGGGTGCTTTTGTCGCCTTTCGCTAACATGCAGAAGCAGAGGGCAAGGGCAGACCCGAAATTTATCCTCGCTGCAAGCCGGACTCTTCACGTTTATTGTGTACGACACTGGAATTATTAGGTGACATTGGAATTTTGTAAGCTACAGTGGTACAGCTATTGGGTTGGGAATACTAGGCAGATCTCCCTTGTACAAGCAATTCATCTCACCGTCTCGTCACGCGGTCTGCGCGTCGCGTCGAAGCCTCATCATTCGCTCTCAGTCGCACTACCAGCGGCTTGCTAGGCGCATGGATTCAGTGTGAAAGCGGTTGCCGCCGCTGCAGCCATAATCGCGAAGGCAATGCAGAGAGCAGCAGCATCGGATGTAGGGTAATGCGATGCGACCGAGAGGAGAAGGATTCCTGGCGATACTGCGGTCGCTAGAATTCATCGTTCGTCTCGGAGTCGGGCTGAAGCATCACTTTGCCAATAGCGCGAACTAGACCGCACTAGCGTCACTTCGGCTGTACCGCAAACTCGGCTGTAACGTCAGTTGGGCTGAAGCGAATCTCGGGCTGTAGCAGTCAAGAAAATGGTGTCCCAGCCAGTCGGATCGCAGTCGGGCCACATTTCGCGGGAGGAGCGCGAGCAGGCGATTGGCGCCGTGATGCGGCACGTGCTCTTCAAGCACAGCAGCCACCCGGGTGTTCCTATATCGAGGGACGAGATCAATAAAGTCATCTCCGCGCAGCTGGTCGGCCGGCGCGTGACGGGGCTGCCGGGTGTGATTATAAAGGAAGCGCAGGCGCGTTTCCCGGCCGCTCTGGGATTCGATATGAAGGAGCTTGAGAGAGGGACAAGGGGAAGAGGGGGAGGCGGAGGGGGAGGAGGACATGACGGGGATGAGGGAGGGGGAAGGGGAGGAGAAGACGGGGGGGACGCGGGAGGAGGTAGGGGAGGAGGGGGAGGAGGGGGAGGAGGGGCGAAGGAGTATGTGTTACAGAGCCGGTTACCAGCAGCGGTGCTGTCGCGATTCGTGGATACAGCGGAGCAGGCAGCTGGCAGCGCGTTTACAACTGTGGTGTGTGCGCTGATCAAAGGCGCTGGGGGAAGCATCCCCGCAGGTGCGGTTCTTGAGGTGTCTTTTGATTGCTCTCAATAATCACCACCAGAGCAGGCAGCTGGCAGCGCGTTCACAACTGTGGTGTGCGCTCTTATAAAGGGCGCTGGAGGGAGCATCGAAGCAGGTGCTGTATTAGAAGTCTCAATACCACGTCACGTCTCTAGTGAATGCGCATACACCAGAGCAGGCAGCAGGGTGACTTTTGAGTCGACTCAAAAGGGAGCATTCAAGCAGGTGCTGTATTTTTGGAAATATCTAAACTCACGTCACGTCTCTAGTGAATGCTCATACACCAGAGCAGGCAGCAGTCAGCGCGTTCACGACTGAGGTGTGTGCGCTGATCAAGGGCGCTGGAGGAAGCGTCCCCGCAGGTGCGGATATGTGATGGTGTCTTTTTAGTGAATCAAGAGGCACCTCTGTGACTCAGGCACGGCAGCGCGTTCACCACTGTGTGTATGCACAGTACAGGTATCAAAATCGACACCGGAGCAGGCTTTTCAGTCGACTCAAAATTCAAATCAACACCGGAGCAGGCAGCAGGCACCACATCGTCTCCTGCTGCTCCCCTTTCAACCACCCTTGTTCTTCCCCCACATGTTCTCCGCTCCCCCTTCTTCTTTTCGACCCCTCCCCTCGATTCCGAACTTCCCCCCCGCCTTCCCTCATGCAGAGAAGCTGTGGGCGCTGCTGGGAGCGATGGGGGTGCGGCGAGGGGAGGAGAGACACCCGCAGTTTGGGAATGTGGAGGAGTGCCTGAAGCGCATGGAGAAGCAGAGGTGGGTGGGGAGGGGGTGGGGGGGTGATGGGTGTCTTGCTGGATTGCATGGAGAAGAGGCACCCACAGTTTGGGAATGTGGAGGAGAGTCTGAAGCGCATGGAGAAGCAGAGGTAGGGAAGTGTGGGGAGGATAGATGAATTGGGGCTGATACTGAGGCGCTTCAAACGCAACAAAAGGGGGAGGAGAGACACCCGCAGTGTGGGAACATGGAGGAGTGCCTGAAGCGCATGGAGAAGCAGAGGTGCAGATGGGGAGGCGATTGGGGAAAGGGGAAGGAAGGAACGAGAGTGAGAGGGGAGAGTGAGGGAAACGACGCTCGCTTGCTTCCGTCCGCTTCCCCCCACTAATTTCCACATCCCTCTTACCACTTGTATCTTTTCAACCCGACTAAATAACTTTGCTCGTTTTTTTGCCATTCTTTCAGTCAACCGAAAATCCCTCAACTACCACTACGCTCCTTTCCCCCCGCTCTTCACCACATGTATCCTACTGTGCTGAGTTGATTTTTGAGTCGACTCAAAAATCAATTCCCCCGCTCTTCACCACATGTATCCTACCGTGCTGCTGCACTTGTCCAGATATGTGATTTTGGTGAAGGGGGTGCGCGGGGTGGGTGGGGAGGAGGAGTGGGCGTATGAGCTGGCAGAGCATGCACGGCAGGGCATTGGCGCAGAAAGATTGCAGAAGATTTTCAACGAGGTGAGAGGGAGCGACTTCCTGAGAATAGCTGCAATGCAAGTGTTGTGTGGTGAGGTGAGAGGGAGCGCAGGCACGCAGGCACGCAACGAGGTGAGAGGGAGCGACTTCCTGGAGGTGCTGCGAAGGCGATGTAGCAAGGTCACAAGAGGAGTGGGCGTATGAGCTGGCAGAGCATGCACGGCAGGGCAGGGCATTGGCGCAGAGAAGCTGCAAAAGGTTTTCAACGAGGTGAGAGGAGGGAAGGTCTTTCTGAAAGTGTTGCGAGTGTTGCATGGCGAGGTGGCACAAGGAGTGGATGGGGATAGGAGTTTGCGTTGGAGCTGGCAGGGCATGGTCAGCAGGGCATTGGCACGGAGAGGCTGCAGAGGCTGACCAATGAGATGAGTTAGTGAGAGGAACCCCTATCTTTGTGAGAGAGTGAATGTCAAGCCATGTGTGTTGCATAAATCTCCTATCTCTCTCCCTCTCTCGTTGCCATTCCTTCTCACCCATCTGCTGCAGACCGTTGCAGAGGTGCAAGATGGAGGCTCTTCCCATGACTTGAGATGACTGGGAGAGTGGGATAACATCTCTTATACAGTTTTTTTTATCATAACGCTAGATGCAAATAACAATTGTAAGTTGTAGAGATGAGCTCGGCAAATCATAAAATAGTAGATGAATGTGCAACGCTCCAGAATTTTCCAGGGATGCAATGGTTGAGATGCTTGTACAGAGTTAAGTGTGCACTTTTACATGTTAACACTGCGAGTTATGAAACACCCATCTCTATAATTAACAATACATACTGTGAAGGGTTTCAATGGGCTTTTGAAGAAAAGTGATCTACATCCACCTTATTGGCAATCCAAAATACCCTGCTACAGCTCATTGGAAGCCGTAGTAAGCAGCAGCAGCGATGGCGGCAACACCAACAACAATGGAGATGAGGGAGAGGATGGGAGTGCTGCCACCACCAATAGCCCGGTCAGTCTCGGGGTCATAGCGGGCAAAGCGCTTCTTGGGTGCTGAGCACTGCGGGCACTCGTAGTAGTCAGGCTGCATAGAGGGGCAGGGGGAGTGACAGGGAGGGGCAGGGGGTAGGAAGGTGGACGTATCGGATTAGGGATGCATGGGAATGAACAGGTGGGTTTAGGGAATGGAAAGCAGGTAGGCACACAACTTCTCCCATATCACATGCACCACACCTCCCATATCACATGCACCACACCTCCCATATCACATGCACCACACCTCCCATATCACATGCACCACACCACCTCCCACCCCACATGCGCAACATTGTCACATATGCAACTCACTTGATCCTCAAAAGGCTTTCCCAGGTTAGAGATAAACCCACGGTCCAGACAATACGTTCAGGGCTGACATGTTCCCACATCACCTCACACACCGAGCACACCGAGCACACACTCGCTTCCCTACACGCAGGGCGCCCACTCACTTCCCTGCACGCACAACCTACATGCATACGCTTCATGCACCACGAACCTGGTCCTCGAAGGGCTTGCTCAATGTGTAGATAAAGCCGCAGTCAAGGCAGATGTGCGTTGCCCGTGCCTGACATGACAGGGAAGGAGGGGCCACAGAGTGAGCGGGGACCATGGGGTGCAGTGCAGTCAGCGTGAGGGACAGGTGGACGGGAATGAAGGAGGACAAAAGGAAGGGAGAACTTATGAGGCGCCTCAAAAGGTCCAGTGCAGTCAGTGTGAGGGACAGGTGGACGGGAATGAAGGAGGAAAATAGGAAGGACCTGTTTTTGAGTCGACTTAAGTCGACTCAAAAAAAGACAGGTGGACAGGAATGAAGGAGGAAAATAGGGAGGGAAAACCGAGGGAGGGGTAGTGGGGAGGAAGGGAGTCGTTTCACCATAGTCAGAAAGTAGAAAGCTTGGTCTACTCCTTTTCTATACACAATTCCTATGAGAAGGAATCCACAGGAATACCACTAGAGCACGTGCGTTTCTAATCCAATTCTGCCATGTACTCCCAACCCCTTAATACCTCACAAGTTTATTGCCCCTCTTCCCATTCTCTCCAAGGTTAGGCACTTCGAAGGAGCGCCAAGTCAAATAGTACCCCGCTTAAAAAAAAAAATTGTTACCCTTCCTTCCCATGCCATCCCATGCCACATTATCCCATCTCCCCAATCCCGTCCGCCATCCCGTAACCGTGTTTTCCCCCGTCCCATCTCAAATCAGCCCATTCCCTCGCCGCCCCCAACCGCCCACCTTCTGAGCCACAGTCAGCATGCGCCCGAAACGGGACAGCGCGGGGCGCTTGGGAAGGCGCTTCATGTCCACATAGCCGCCCCTCGCGAGGACGAAGTAGACGGAGTCGGGCTTGGCGTTGACGGCCGTGCCTTTTGGGTCGACTCACGAGTTGACTTTCGGGTTGACTCAAAACTCACCTTCTGGGCCTCAGTGAGCTTGCGTCCGAAGCGGGAAGGCGCGGGCCGCTTGGGCAGGCGCTTCACGTCCACATAGCCGCCCCTCGCGAGGACGAAGTAAACGGAGTCGGGCTTCGCGTTGACGGCCGTGCGTGTGAAGCCGAGGTTGTCGGACGGCCAGAGCTCGTCACCAAAGAAGCTGCTCGTGTAGACCACCTGATCGCCCACCTTAATGCCCGCCTTCGCCGCGTTACTGCCGGGAGCGACACCCTGTGAATAAAACGGGAAGAAGGGGCAGGGGGAGATAGAGGAGGTGAGATTACGGAGAGAGGACTGGGAAACTTTGGAAAAATGGGGAAAGTGACTCCGATGTGGTTGTAGACGCTGAAGAGGCAGGCTGCGCTCGTTCGCACCACGTGGTGGACACGTGGATGCGTCGTTGTCCATGTCCTGAGCGAGGCTCGCCGAGATTTGCACGCCGTCTCCAAATCTGCCGGCTCGCGCGAGGACGAGCGGGACAATAGTGGGTGGGAGTGGGAACGAGTGGAACGAGGGGGGGTTGGGGGGGGAGCGACGGGGATGGAGAGGGTGGGGCGAGGAGGACGATGAGGGGGAGGTGCAGGCGGGAAAGGGGCGGGGGAGAAGCAACGCGGCTCACCGAGATCTGCACGCCGCCGCCGGGCTTGTCGCCGAGCGTGAGGCCGAGCGGCTTGTCCACCTCCACCTCGTACTGCGACCCGGACGTGCGCGCCGTCACCGTTGCCGGCCGGCCGGCTGACTTGGCGGCCTGGACTGGCCGGCTAGCCGCCTGGGCCTGCTGACGAACGGCCTCGCCGAGGAATCCCGTCTGCGACAAGCGACATCGCAAATGGGGCGTGAGAATGTTACACAAAAAAACCAATTTCGAACTGTTATGACATGGCAAAGCATGCGGTTGAACTCCAACTAATATGTAACAATCGAATTTATTCGGGATAAACAAGTTCAGGATCGAGCGATCCCTCTTACCCGCAGATTGCGCTGCTTGAGCGGCACGAGTCCAGCGGCGCTAATAGCATTGTCCTGGCTGACAGCCGCAGTCAGCCTCGGCACGGCTGTCGTCTGAGCTGACGTGGCAGCGATGGAGGAGAGGGCCATAGCGAGTGCAGGAGGTAGCAGCACGGGAGGAATGCGGAGACTTGCCGTTGGAATGTGGTCGACACAAATTCAAGAAAAATTCCGAAATGGAATTTACAATATGCAGGCAGCCATGGCTGTTAGCAACATGTTCCCAAGGTGGTTTCACTGCTGAGTCAGCTTCAGGAAACAATCGTGGGACTACCTGGGATGCACCGGTGCAGATTCAATGCCAGCTGGAATTATTTCTTTGGTGGGACGAGCCGTGAACGACCTGGCAGCAGCTTGTGTGTGGATAACGAGTGGACGCGTGGTGGTTTCGAGATGGACTATCGTTGTTGACGAATTGACGAGACACCCCTTTCGTCGCCGAAGGGGGTGAGGTTGCGATGGAGGGCTCCATGCACCGACGTGGCGTCAGTGGCACCTTGTGGCTTCCTGCGTCCCTTCTATTACCCGCCACGTCTCTTCGGAGATCTTCCTTGATAAAGGAGCACGCATTAAGAATTTCAAGTTTGATTAGCACACAAAAATTTCAAAAGCTGAGATAAGGCTTAATACACACGATGCCCGGTTGAGCCCCCCGACCTTGCCTCTCTCTCTGGGCTTTTAAGTGATTTTGGATTTCGTCTGGATTTCGTCAATTCGCACTTAGCAAAAAGGGCTTATAAAAGGGCAGATGGAGAATTGTAACTAAGCGTTGACAATTTGACCCCGGTCTCTTCAGTTTGGGGTGCTTGTAGATGGGGTGCAACTGGCTGGCACAAAATACACGTGTGCAGGGTTTCCATCCTGCGAAAGGCAAATTCGCGTGCACTGGTTGGGCATCGCGTGTACTTTGTCACCTTGCTCAACTGGAGTGTAACCGACTGACAGGACAGGTGTGATTCTAGTCGACACCTGAAACGACTAGCATCCCGTGGAAACGCAACCCACCGTACAGCAGCGCATCCCGTCTTGCGACTCTTATCGCAATGCAACAGCTGGCGTGCCTACCGTGCACCACCCACGTGCAGACAACGCAATCGAAGCACTCTATACACGCATCACGGTAAGCAACAGCGCCAAATCAGCGCCTCTGTTGCACCCAAGTTGCATTCTTTACCCATGCCGATCTTGCAGCCCCTGACTTCCAACACGCAGTATCCCTAACGGCCGTCCGATTGCGCCCCACTTGCCAGATGTGCGTAATATCAAGCTGCGAGATAGCGTGTCGCGAGTTGGTTGGTGCCATGTTCCCTACACCTGCTGCCACTGAACGCGCTCCGCCCACTGCGCCGCTCTTTACTTCTCCGCGCGCGACACGAGCGCTATCAGCAGCATCATCAATCTTTCTTCAAGGCAAATCGGAGTTTTCGCGTCCAGTCTGCTAACCAGCGACATCATCTCGTGCGCGCAATATCAGGGGCACTCTGCAAAGATGCGCCCTCCCCGCCGCCAACACTGCTGCTTTTGCGCCAAAAGCGACAGCACCCCTAGTGGGCCGCACCCTTTCGCGCCGGAACACCACGTAAAAAGGTGGGGCTAGCGGCGCAACTTCCAACCAATCAGGAAGGATGACCATTTCCCATCAAAGGGCCCTTGGCGGCTGCCCGCCCGCCACCTGGACTTCCAAGGTTTGCGCAGATCACGCGGGTTGTGCGGATTGCGCGGGTTGCGTGGAGATGCGCGGGCGCGCGGATTTGCGCGTGTTTGCGCGGGTTTGCGCGGGATGCGCTGCCGCTTCAGCCCTGGATCTTGCCTCAACTCGAAGCTCTCCCTCCCCGCCCGCACCCTCGCTTCCTCTGCTGCGGGGGGAGAACAAGGAACCCAGCCGCGGCGGCGGCGCTTCCTGGGTTCGCATCACACACAGCCAGGAGCTCCAGTCGCCATCTGCCGCGCTTGAGCCTTCGATCCAAGTGCTGCTGCTCATCCAGGGTCCCGATTCCCGATTCCCCACCCCCGAGTCCGGAGTCTCTGTAGCTAGCCCATCGCCTAGCCTATATATGCCCCTTAAGGTCCCTTCTAGCTTCCATACCTACGCCTCTAGCCTTCCGGTTGGAAAAGCCACGAGTCCTTTCGCGCAGTATTGGAGCCTGCAGTAGTGCTTTCGCTCATGGCTTCCCAGAACCCGCACTGGCGGGTTCTTGCCGCGTCCGCGCTTCTCGCGCTGCTCCTCTTTGCCCCGCCCGTTCCCGCGCGCGCCATGGGCGCCGATCACGGCGGGCACGGCGGCGGGGATCACGGGATGGACTCGCAAGGCAAGGAGACGTCGCGGGACGTGTCGATCAGCGGGAAACGAGCGGTGCGCAAATATCTGAAGAAGTTTGTGGATCCGCTTCCGATTCCTTCCATTGTCAACGCGGACTGGCTACCGAAAGACCCAAAGGGCGCTGCTGCTCTCACCGTCACCGCGTTTAGCGTGAAACGGGTGAGCTAATACCGGGACAATTGCACCGGGTGTGTTTTTTCTTTGTTCCTTCTTCTCCAAAGAACGTATCTTCGAGTCATCTTAACCGTGTACCGTGATCTCTCTTATCGCAGAAATTCCACCGTGATCTGCCCTCGACCCGCGTGTACGCGTTCGGGCTCACGCGAAAGTCGGCCAGCGTGCCGGGACCGACGATCGTGGCGCGTGTCAGAGCGCCGCTGCACGTGACGTGGCAAAACAACATCACGGATCAGCAGCATATCATGCCCGTCGATTTCACGCTCATGGCTCCTAAGCTCAAGAAGGGGGGCGTTCCTATCAGTACGTGCGCTTTCTCCGTTTACCGTCATCCCATTCTCCGATTGTTGTTTCAAATTTCGGCTTTGAATAGTAGGTAGTGTTTTCAACATTGTGGTGTAGCGTTACTAATTTTATTTCAGAAAATCCATCTCGTTTTCCCCCTCCCCTCTTGCTCTCCCCCTCGCCCCTCTCCCCTCCCCCTTTCCCCCGGGCTACAGCCATCCACGTGCACGGCGCGCAGGTCTCCAGCTCTTACGACGGCCACCCGGAGGCTTGATACACTTATTGGGGAGAGAAAGGTCCCGAGTTCGAATCCAACCAGCACCATTATCCCAACATGCAGCCGCCCAGCACCCTGTGGTACCACGACCACACCTTGGGAATGACGCGGCTCAACACGGTCGCAGGCCTTTTTGGCGCGTTCATTCTGTCCAATCCGCAGGCGGAGAAAAAGTTTAACCTGCCCATGGGCAGGTTTGACGTGCCGCTGCTGATCCAGGATAGGTCGTTTCTGTGGAACGGGCACACGTTTATGGAGGGGAAGGGCTTGACTAAAGCTCATCCGGTGTGGTTACCCGAGTACTTTGGGAATTTCATGACCGTTAATGGAAAGGTACGCTTTTTATGGTTGCTGCATGGGGATTGGGTTGTCATCATCAGCAGCAATGACTGAATGACTTACTCCTCTTGCTTCTTCGTTTTTAGCAATGACTGAATGACTGGGATGGCTGTGGTGGTGGCTTGGGTGTTGTGGGTTGCAATGCTCCTCTTGCACTCATGACCCCACACAACCCCTTCCTAACAACTCTCTCTGACAGACCTCACACTCCGCCTGAATGGCTGTAATTCCACATTAATGCCCCATCGTCCTCTAGTCACACCAGTAATACCCCTGTCTTAGTCCCTATCTTCCCCTCTCCTTCCGCCCATACCCCTGCTTCCGCCCCCAGGTGACCCCCTTCCTGGTAGTGCAGCGTCGCAAGTACCGCTTCCGCCTCGTCAACGGCTGCAACGCGCGTTTCCTCGATCTAGCCCTCCGTGCCTCCTCCCCCGTTTCCGACGATCCCAGCGGTGCCGCCAACAGCACCAGCATCACCTTCCCCTTCCTCCAAATCGCCTCAGAATCCGGCTACCTCAACCGCCCGGTTTCGCTGCGCAGAATCACCCTAGCTCCCGGGGAGCGCGCGTGTATCGTTGTGGACTTCAGTGACTTGCCTGCAGGGGCGACCATTCGGGTAAAGAACCGTGCCCCTGCGCCCTATCCTGGGGGTGATTTACCCAGGGGGGATGTACAGTACGTCATGCAGTTCAACGTGGAGGGTGACCCGGTCGCAGACCCCTCTACAGTGCCGGCGGTGCTTAACTATATCCCGCTTCTCACCCTCAAAAACATCGCCGCGACAAGGGAAATCACCCTTTCCGAAGTCGCAGACAAGGCGACAGACGAGCCTTTAACGGGGCTGATTGAAAAGAAGCACTACCACGAGAAGCTGAGCATAACGCCGGCATACAAGACGCGTGAACTGTGGTACCTAATCAACCTCTCGGAAGACGCTCACCCCATCCACATCCACTTCACACCACACCGCATCCTCTTCCGCCGCCCGTTCAACAAGGAGCTTTACGAGGCCAAGAAATGCAGCATTTCCGCCGGGACCTGTTACACTGGCCCGGCTGTTTCTCCTAAGAAGAACGAGAGGGGATTGAAGGACACCACGAGGGCTCCTCCCGGGTATGTGACTGCGCTGGTGGTGGACTTTTCGCCATGGATGGGGAAGGAGCTGAGCTTTGATCCCACCAAGGGGCCGGGGTACATGATTCACTGCCACATCTTAGATCACGAGGACAATGACATGATGCGTCCGTTCACCATCCTGCCTGCCAGGTAGGTGTAACCTGACGATATTCAGGGGAGGGGATGGGGATAACGAGATAAGGTGGTGGGAGTTACGGCTGAGGTGGTAACAGGGAGGGGAGGACACGAGGGGGGGTGGTGTATTCGATACGCAAGCATGTAGGTAGAGGTTTAGGAAGTGGGAGGGGTACCTGTCAGATGTAACTGAAATATGATTAAACAAATTTATTTGAAGAATGTTGACATTGTTAACATTATTGCAGTAATATTTTTCATACCGTACTTATTGCTGACTTAGCATATGAAGCTAGGAGTAAAAACCCTTCGCTGCAGCCCTCAAATCTACCTGCAAATCAGAAAAGCAGCATACACTCATCGATGTACCCAGTGAAGCTTTCTTCGCATCAACAACCACAACACCTCATACACCCATTCCCACTGCACCAAAGGCTAAGTAGGAGGAATGAGAATCACATAGCCTGCGAACATAACGCCCATATCGTCAATCCCCTCGGCCAGAGATCTATTATTCTCTCAGGGTTCACACAATAGCGAGTTTCAATTAACCACATCTCTCCTTTTTGGCGAAATCGCGCGCATCGGCGGGAATCGCGTTTGTCTTAATTGAATCGACCCAAATTGCTCCCCTTTCGCCACGTGGGCGTTTTTCTTAATTGGATGGACCCCTTTTTCCCCCGCCCCCCCACCCCGTTTTTCCCGCCCTTGCCCTCCGAAATTCGGGCACCCGCTGGAATTTCGTGGTATCACAAACAGTCACAAATACAAAAACTACATAAATAAGCATTAGAGTTTTTAATGCTCAAAATATTTCTATTTTCGGAACCATTTAGTCTTATATGTAATAGAGAAATTAAGTGAAGGTACTACTTTAAATCTAACTATGCGTTCCCCAACGGCTCCTGGCACAACCAAACATGCACATCATTCAACATTGAAGAATCAAAACGCGAGTCATTTTGGCGCGCGAAGAAAATCACCAGTGTTCTGTCCAGTCAGATGTCGCTTACATACCGAAATCGTAGCGTTAAGATAAGGCATGTATTTGTGACTGTTTGTGATACCACCAAATTCCAGCGGGTGCCCGAATTTCGGAGGGGAAGGGCGGGAAAAACGGGTTGGGGGGGACGGGGGAAAAGAGGGTCCATCCAATTAAGAATAACGCTCACATGGCGAAAGGGGAGCAATTCGGGTCGATTCATTTAAGATAAAACGCGATTCGTGATTTCACCCTCCTTTTTGGACCTGGGGTAAAACAGAGGACAAACGAGCCGCGTGCTTGCTTGTCGCGAGTTGGTTGGTCCCTCATATTGCTGCCAGGAAACGCGCTCCGTTCACTGCGCCGCTCCTATTTCTCCGCGTTGGGAAACCAATTTCGTATTGATTAGGAAAACAATGTCCCCGCGCCCCCCTCCTCCGCTAACATGAGCGCAACATCGAGTGCGCCACGCAAAAACAGATGGTTGCGCGGCTGTGTTTGCATTGCAACTCCAAGCGACAGCCCCCTACGGAAAGCATAGAGGAAAATAGGTGGGGCTGGTTGCGCAATTAGGTGGTACAGCCTTTTGTCAATTTCACCTCCTACAGGCCCTTGCCCTTGGCGGCAGCCCTTCTACTGTACAGTCCTCGATGGACTTCAAGGGTGGCGCTGGTTGCGCGCATTGCGCCGGCTGCGCCGGTTGCTCTTGTTGCGCTGTTTGCGTCTTACGCGCAGAGAGGACGGCTGTACTGTACCGTATCTTGAACGCTGCTGCCAATTCAGCCTCAGACCCTCGCTTCACTTCCCATGCCGCGGAAGACGAACGAGAAACCTTGTCGCAATCGCGGCGCTTCCTGGTTTCACAAAATCTCGACTCCCCGGCTCTCAGTTTCTCGACTTTCGCACTTCGGCCTTTGTTGTCAGCACTGTCGTCCAGAATCTCCACTCCCTACTCTCGCCGTTCTCGACTCTCGACTCTTCTCCCTAGTACTGGTGGCGAGGCAACACGGTGTCGCCACCAGTACAACGTGACGTTGTATAGCGTACTATCTATATCGCTCACTTGCTCCTCGTTGTCTCACCACATGCAATACTTTTCCTTTCGAGCCTTCCGGGTGGAAAAGCCACGAATCCTGACGCGCAGTAGTCTGTAGTAGCGCTTTCGCTCATGGCCCCCCAGAGCCTGCATTGGCGGGTGGGCGCTTCTCAGAGCCTGCATTGGCGGGTGGGCGCTTCTCAGAGCCTGCACTGGCGGGTGGGCGCTTCTCAGAGCTCGCACTGGCGGATTCTTGCCGCGTCCGCGCTTCTCGCGCTGCTCCTCTTCTCTCAGCCCGTTCCCGCGCGCGCCATGGACGCCGCCGATCATGGCGGGCACGACGGCGGGTATCATCAAGAAATGGATTCGCACGGCAGATTAGCGTCGCGGGACGTGTCGATTAGCAAAAAACGCGTGTTGCGAAAGAAGCTTCGAAAGTTTGTGGATCCGCTGCCCGTTCCGCCGGTCGTCAATGCGGACCGGCTTTCAAAAGACTTCAGCCGAGCCGCTGCTCTAACCATCACCGCGTTTAGCGTGAAACGGGTGAGCTACACCGGGACAGTTACATTGTGCTTCCGGTCTATAATCTCTCAACCAGCTTAACCTTTTTGTTTCCAAAGCGTCAGTGACTGTGTAACGCGTCTCCGCTTATTGCAGAAATTCCACCGCGATCTCCCTCTAACCCGCGCGTACGCGTTCGGGCTCACGCGCAAGTCGGCCAGCGTGCCCGGGCCTACGATCGTGGCGCGGGTCGGAGCGCCGCTGCACGTGACGTGGCAAAACAACATCACGGACGAGCAGCACATCATGCCCGTTGATTACACGCTCATGGCTCCCAAGCTCAAGAAGGGGGGCGTTCCGATCAGTACGTGCGCCTTTTCCAAATACGTGCCGATACGTGCCGATACGTGCCGATACGTGCCGATAGGGGGGTTGCTTGCCGATACGTGTAATGTTACCAATATTGCGGTGTAGTACATTTCAGAAATTCAAGTTCGTTTTCCCCCTCCCCTCCCCCTCCCGCCAACGTGTTTCCCCCTCCCCTCCCACTCCCGCCACCCCGTTCCCCCCTCCCCTTCCCCTTGGATGCAGCTGTCCACGTCCATGGTGCGCAGGTCTCGAGCTCCTACGACGGCCACCCTGAGGCTTGGTACACGCACTGGGGAGAGAAAGGTTCTGAGTTCGAATCCAGCCATCACCATTATCCCAACATGCAGCCGCCCAGCACCATGTGGTACCACGACCACACCTTGGGAATGACGCGGCTAAACATTGTTGCAGGACTTTTTGGCGCATACATTCTGTCCAATCCACAGGCGGAGAGAAAGCTTAACCTGCCCAAGGGCAGGTTTGACGTGCCGCTGCTGATCCAGGATAGGTCGTTTTTGTGGAACGGGCACACGTTCATGGAGGGGAAGGGATTGACAAAAGCTCATCCGGTGTGGGTACCTGAGTACTTCGGGAGTTTCATGACCGTTAATGGAAAGGTACGATTTGTGCGGTTGCTGCCTGGGGGTTGGCTATTACCTGCAGCAGCAATGGCTGGGTTCCTTGATACTACCAGTATTTGCACGCTATGGCTGCTCTGGTGGAATGGCTAAATACCACTCATTTCCACTCACTCCCCCATACAACCCCTTGTTTACATACAACTACCTCATACAAACCTCATAGTCTGCACTCTATGGCTGTAACCAATGCCCCACCCCGCTCACACCAGTAACAAACCCATATCAATCCCTTCCCCCCCCCCCCCCTCCCCGGCACTTCAGGTGACTCCCTACATAGCAGTCCAACGGAAGTACTATTTCCGCTCTCATCAACGGTTGCAACAATCCTTAATTTCAACGTCCACATCTGTAATGCCCCATTCCCTGATCCCATCAACCCCTCCCTTTCTCCCACATGACTCCCTACATGGCAGTGCATTGTCGCAAGTACCGCTTCCGCCTCGTCAACGCCTGCAATGGCCCCTGTTGTAACGTCCACCCATTATTCTAACATCCATTCCCTATCTCACCAACCACTCACCACTCCCCCCAGGTGACTCCCTACATGGCAGTGCAGCGTCGCAAGTACCGTTTCCGTCTCATCAACGGATGCAACGCTCGTTTCCTCGAGCTCGCCCTCAGGGCCTCGCCCCCCCCTTCCCATGGCAACAGCAGCAGCAGTGGCACTGCCAACAGCACCAGCATCACCTTTCCCTTTCTCCAGATCGCCTCAGAAGCCGGATATCTCAACCACCCCGTGTTCCTCCGCAGAATCACCCTTGCTCCCGGGGAGCGCGCGTGTATCATTGTAGATTTCACTCAGCTGCCTTCAGGGGTGACAATTCGGCTGAAAAATCGTGCTCCTGCGCCCTATCCTGGGGGTGATTTACCCACGGGAGGTCTACAGTACGTCATGCAGTTCAACGTGGAGGGTGACCCTATTGCAGACCTCTCTACAGTGCCGGGAATGCTTAACTCTATCCCGCATCTCAACCTCGAAAACATCGCCGCGACAAGGGAAATCACCCTTTCAGAAATGAAAGACGAGGAGAGCGGCAATCCTCTAATGGGGATGATTGACAAGAAGCACTTCACCGAGAAAATCGACATAACACCGACATATGGCACCCGGGAACTCTGGTACTTGATCAACCTTACAGAAGACACACACCCGATCCACATCCACTTCTCCCCACATCGCATCCTCTTCCGCCGCCCATTTGACAAAGAGCACTACGGGGAGAAGAAATGCAGTATTCCTGATGGGAGCTGTTACACAGGCCCGGCTGTTTCGCCTAGAAAGAATGAGAGGGGATGGAAGGACACCACAAGGGCTCCTCCAGGTTATGTGACTGCTCTAGTGGTGGATTTTTCGCCGTGGATGGGGAAGGAGCTGAGCTTCGATCCCTCTAAGGGGCCAGGGTACATGATCCACTGTCACATCTTGGATCATGAAGATAATGACATGATGCGCCCTTTCAAGGTTCTGCCAGCTAAATAGACTCAGCCTGATGATATGTAGGAGAGGGGATGGATGGTGGGGATGATTAGATGGACTGGTGGGAGGGAATCATGGGCAGCGGCCGTTACAAGGGAGTGGACACAAGTGGAGCGGATAGCGGCATCAAGCATGTAGGTAGTATTTTGTTAGGGGAGGGGGTGTCTGTCGGAAGCATGTTGCTGAAATGGGAATTAACGTAGTTTTGTAGCTGTGTTCCATATTGTTGTATATTATTGCGCAAGTCTAGATACCCCTTCTGTCTAAGGCTAGAGAGCTAGGAGCGAGAACCTCTGGATCGAACTCTCATTGATATTGTAGGCAATGAATCAATTTTGAAGGCGCATTAACAACTGGTTCTAAAACACCTTCTGCATGCACCCATACAACCATTGCACCTGAGGCTAAGTCGGAGGAATGAGTATCACATCGCCTGGGAATATAACATCCGGATCATCAATTCCCTCGGCAACGTTCGCGTCTATAATCCTTTCAGGGTTCACACAATAGCGAGTCGCAATCGAGCACATAGTCTCCCCTTTTTGGACCTGGGATGAAAAATGGAGGGGAAATGTAGAACAGGTGCGGAAAGGAGGACAGAAGGAGATATATAATCGAACGCTTCCTCCTCTTTTCACCTCACCCCTTTTCTCACCCCTCGTCTGCTAGAGCAAGTCACGATTGAGCACATGGACTCATCCTTTTAGACTAGGAGCGAAATGAATAGGAAGGGCAGAAAAAGTGGAGCGGGGAGGGTGGAAGGCAAAGGGTATGTTAAGGAAGACCTTTTACCCTTGTCACTCCTCACCCCTCACCTCACTTTTCATCTCCTCCTCACCCCTCGTTCCACTCTTCTTATCATCCCTCTCCCCTCCACTCTCCTCACGCCTCTTCTCACCGTCTTCCCACCTCACTCCTTTCACCTGTCTGTCGGACACCACTTTCACTTCACCCCACCTCACCACACCTAACCCCACCCCAAACCTGGTCTCACCTCATGCAGCAGTGCTAGCCTCCTCTGTCTTCTCCTCGCCACCATGGACAGTAGAGCCACACCAAACAACGCCCCTGCTACTCCTAGCAACACCTGCCCCGCGCTCCACACCCCTGCGCCCTCCCCATTCCCTCTCCCCTTCTCCCCTTTCCGCTTCCGCATCTTCCCTCGCTTCCTGCTGCTGTGAGGGGACGCTGCTGCTGCTGCTGCTGCTGTTTCTGCTGCTCCATCTGCTTCTGCTTCTCCTGTTTCTCCTTCAGCTTGCTTTGCTGGCGCTGCTGCTGATTGCACAGCCCAGTACCACTAGAACGGGCGTCTACATTGTTCCTAATGTTACTGGAACCTTCAGGAACAGGGGGCAAGAGGGTGGAGTGGGGGTCTGTTATATGGGAGGACGAAGGCAGGGAGGGGGAAGGCGACGAGTGTAAGGAGTGAGAGTAAGAGTGGGAGGTCATGTTAGAGTTACCCATACCACCACCTGCTGCTGCTGCTGCTGCTGCTGCTGCTGCTGCTGTTTCTCCTGCTGACGTATCACCCACGCTGCTAACGGCCGCTGACGTGGCAGGCAATGTAGGAGAGTAGGAAGTAGGAGCTGGTCGTTGGCTGTGGGACGCCTCCTCGCCTTTCACTGCTCCTCCTCCTTCTGCTGCTCCTTCTGCTGCTCCTTCTGTTGCCACTGCTTCTCTTGCTCCTCCTGCTCCTCCTCCTTCTGCTGCGGCTGCTCCTCTTGCTGCTGCTCCTTCTGCTGGGGCTACAGAAGCAGTAGCACCACCACCAGCAGCAGCGGCAGCAGTAGAAGCCGTGGGAAGTTGCTTCCCGTCCTTGTGAGAAAGTGCTCTATTCGAGCCTCCAGGGGTCCTAGACCCACTTGCAACGGGCGTTCTTGCTCCCCCAGCAATGGGTGTTCTTGCTCCTGGGGTGGTCAGGAAGGGGGTGGAAGCCAGACAGCACCAGGAGGAAGGAAGGGAAGGGAATCGATTACGACTGCATGTTGCCACCAGGAAAATAACGTCCGAGGAGAGGCAGAGGAGCGGGAAATGATGCAGATCTCCCCATCCAGACACCCCTCCTCGTCCGTCAGTTGATACCACCGCAGCTTGAGATGCCTCAAGAGGAACTTACCAGAGACAGACTACAGAGGGGGTATTCATTAGAAGGTTTATTCACCAAAGAGGGTAATTACCAGAAGAGCAGGAGGAACCAGAGGAAGAAAGCCGGAGGAAGGGAGAGACGATGCAGATCTCCCCCACCAGAGGCCCCTCCTCGTCTATCAGTTGATACCACCACAGCTTGACACGGCTCAAAGCCACTTACCAGAGAACGCATTCATGAAAAAGGGAAGTTACTCGAGAGGGCGCATACCAGAGGAGCAGGAGGAGCCAGAGGAGGAGTGGCGGAGGAAGCGGGAGACGATGCAGATCTCCCCCACCAGACACCCCTCCTCGCCCGTCAGTCAATAATTCCACCGCAGCTTGACACGTCTAAGAGCGCACATATAAGAAAAAGGGGATTCACAAACGAGGGAATTTAGTGGCGAGGGTTCATACCAGAAGAGCACGAAGAGCCGGAGGAAGAAAGTCGGAGGAAGCGCGAGACGATGCAGATCTCCCCCACCAGGCACCCCTCCTCGTCCGTCATCTGATACCACCGCACCACTGTCGCACCCCCCACCAGCCCTGCCAGCGGCACGCTGGCTCGGCCGAGGCACGGACCTGCCGCCGGGCCTGACGAGGCCGCTGACGCTGACGTGGAGAATTGCGATTGGGCGGGGGTGGATTGATCAGCGGAGAGGAGCTCCATCTGCAAAGGAGGGTGATGTGAAATACAGGGAAGGTTGAGACTTGATGGGGTTGGGTGAGACTCGGTGGGAAGAGATGGGCTTGGGTGTAACTCGGTCAGAAAAGATGAGGAGCAAAGAAACATGGAAGGCGGGAGAAGGGATGAAGAGTTGGGGAGGACAACATGGGGAAGGGGATGGCTCACAACGAGAGATGGACCACCGACTGATAGGTCTTCATTCGCTGCCTGCTTTTGCTGCTCATGCTCCTGACCCTCCTGCTGCTGCTCATGCTCCTGTTTCTTGCCATCCTGCTGCTGCTGCAGCTGCTGCTTAGCGGGAGCGTGCTGGTGGCACCAGAAGAGCAGCGCGGCCTCCACGGGGAGCTTGAAGTCCTGCAGCCACTTGGGCGATGGACCCGCCTTGGACCGCGTTCGGATCTGACAGGCACACGGGGACGGCAAAAAAAACGACCAAACTTATCGTCAACGATTACTTCCTGTCAGTAACCCGCGACTTGCACCTAATCACGAGGAATCTGTCAACCGACCTGATGACATCCGAGCTGGACGGACACGACGGTGCCACGTGTCGCGTCGCCGTCCTCGCCTGGCTGTCTGACGTGGCGACCCTGGACCACAGACACCTGGAGCTGACCGCCGACTCCCGTGCTCTCCACGCTCCCCGACATAGCCTTAACGGAAAGATCAGCCTTTCGTGGCGTGAGAGAAGCGCTATTGGTGGTAGCGTGAAAGTAGGGCGTTCGTTGAGCGCGTGCGAGTTAGTGCGTTTGCTAGTAGCGTGCGAGTTAGACGCGCAAGCCCGAGTTTAGCGTGTTTGCCAGTGACGTGCGAGTTAGCGTGTTTGCCAGTAACGTGCGAGTTAGTACGTTTGCTACCAGTGTGTCAGTTAAAGCGTTTGGTTGGTGGACTATGCCGGCGTGAGCATCAGTGCGTTAGTGTGTCAGCGTGTTACCCTAACCTACGTTAACTGTGTTAGCGCGACCGTTAGTGAATGAACAAAGGGCACTACTTGAAGGCTATTGGTAAGTAACATTTTGCTTATATATAACCAAAGATGCGAACGAAAACCGTTGTTCTGAGACGCGGGGTACGAAAAGTGCAACCATAATTATCTCGACACGCCTGGTCTAGCGATCCTACTGATTGCCATGGCACAACTAACTAGCACGCTATGACACCCAAGCAGGAACGAGCATCAACAGCGATCAAACGAAAGGCAGCAGCGGCAAATGAAAGGCAGCTCTCAGAAGCGTGGGAGCTCGGCAATTTCTGTGTTCTCCAGGTTTTGGCGGGAGATCCTCCTGATCAGCCGAAATAACAGGTACACTGCGCAGTAGCAACAGTACACTACTAAACAAATTGCTATACAACGTAAAAATGACAGCAACTGCTTATGCAAGGCTGGGGAAGGGGCAAGGTGTTGGAAGCCAGAAATTTGCATACTTCGGGTTTGTCCACAACTCCTGATGAGTGAGTTATGGCCTGATGTTGATAGAAACAAATTAAGTATAGAAATAGTGTGTATTTCGATCTAGCTCTTTCCAATTAGTTGGAGAAGAGCGTTGGTCATAAGACCCAGCCCTGAAACAAACCACTTCACAAAGACAAGCCACGGCTTGTCATTCGGCCCAGGCTTCATTCCCTTGGCAATCAAGTGGCTTAGGGCAATAAACAAAAAGACTCCAGCTGCCATGCCGTTTCCAAACGCCCTGACCCATTCCCGTGCAGTAGGATTGCCAGTCGTGTCAAGGACAATGCCGATCACGATACCAAGGGGAGCAACAACGGATGCACAGAGGGCGAAGAGAACATGCTTCAAGGCACTCCTCTCCGTGTCCTGAACCCTCAGCGTCACACCAAGCGCCATCCCCTCGAAGAACTGTCTCCAGTGCAACCATGCCACGCCACAGGAACAGAAACAAAGCAACCAAACAGAGGTCAGAACACCAGCAAAACATTCACCCTGATATAGCACGATAACAGAAACACCAATCAGCACAGCCAGGAAATCAGCTAGCGGAAGCCAGCAATCTCCGGCATGTGATGAGGCGTGACTAGCCCACCTCGTTGACGGCAATGGAGGAGGCCATTTGCCAGACATCGTAGACAGTGGAGGCGAGGCCAACAGCAAGCCCTTCAAACACGGCGTGGAAGCAGAGGGCGAAGAGGATGAGAGCCACGTCCACGAAGCTCAGCGCGTTGTAGTCTGCCGGTGCGCTGCTGCCGCCTTCCGCGTCACTCTCCATGACGGCCTTTTGGCCCACGCCGAGGACGGCAGCCACTGTTGGATCGGATTCCTGGTCAGATGAAAATGAATTACGGACCGCGCATAAGCCTTTGTGCGTGCGTGCATGTTTTCCTATGCAAAGAACACACAAAAATTGTGATAGCTGCCAGCATATTTTGGTCAAATTTATCAAAGCACTAGGGTCTGCGAGAGCTCAGTACCTTGGCTGGATCGTTGGAAACGGATCGTTTTCTCCACACGGTCTTGACGATGAGGTCACAGAGCCACGTGAGGAAGACGCCCATCACCACCACCAGATACGCCAGCGGGTACTCTGAGATGTACACGCACACACGATACCAACATACAGAGTATTTTTAACATACAAAGTACTTTTTGAGGCGCCTAAAAAATGGATGTTCTGAGACACACACGCACATGATACCAACATACAGAGCACATATGCCGTTAGCATGCCGCCGCCAGCGCAACAGCAACGCGAAACAAATACCAGAAACGGAAACACAGGGGGGGGGGGGGGGGGGGGGGGGTTGAGACGAGACTCCAGTTACATGCTGTTAACATGGATTTCGCAATGCGAGGTACGTTTCTTGCGAATCCCCTGTTACAGCTTCCGTTGCTCAGCGTTTCGACAACGAAAGTTCCAACGGAGCATATTCTTGTTCTGAGCCTTGTGAAAAGCTCTTCCGCCTCCTAAAATTACAACATTTGGAACCTAATATTTTCAGAGAAAATCTTGGGGTTTGGAGCCGAAAGGTCTGTCACAGCTGGTGTACAACGAGAGCTGCAATGCGACGGACGTACTGTTTGTGGTGAGGTCCGCAAAGAGCTCCTCGGTTTCCGGTGTGAGGTAGAGCAGCGACATGCCGATGAAGAGACCCGTGGAGAAGAGCACGCCGAACTTGAGGATATTTTGCCGCACGGGGATGAAGTAGGGGACGAACACCCCCAGGAAGCTCGAGGCGAGGAACACGAAGAGCGCTCCCACCTTGTTCGCCGTCAGCGCGGTCGTGCTGTCGCTTCCCTGGGAACGAAACAAGAGAGAAGAAATGATCATTGGATTGTGAGCGACAGAGATTTTTCTCTGTTTCTCAACTCGCTTTTTGACGCGCGGTTGCTGAAAATGCAGCATAACTGGAGCATGTCTTGCATTATGGTAGAGTAAATCACCTACATGCAAGTTTTTTATGACCGTTGCTTATTCACCTGCGACGAACTGCTGCTGCTCGATTCCGTGGCTGCCACAGTAGCACTCCATAATCCCGCGAGCAGTGCAAACGCTATCAACCTCCTTCCGCGCTCCATGATAGGCAGTTTTCGGCAAACAGAAAGGCACGATGGACCCGGGAAGCGCGGCTTTACTAGAGACAGCTGCAAGGTGTAGCTACTGGAGCGGCTGTCATGCACAAGCAGCTTGCTTCAAGACTCTTCTGTCGGACAGTGCCTGCGGCCCGAGATGGAGACGCTTGAAGACTCTTCTGGTTGGGGAAACCCCAACCACGCCGCGTGGTTGGTGGAAGGACTACACTGATCCAGGATTCTACGGCCCAATGGGAGATGCCCGTACGTGCCTACCACATCCGAGGCACGACCAGGCACTCGGCAGCCTCAAGCTGAGGGCTCAAAACCCCTCAACACCAACTCGTGCTGATAAGTGTCTCACGGACTCAGCGTTGGCTTTTGTGTAGAATTCTCGTTCTGTCCCGTGCTTCAGTGTGTCGGGCAACCACCACCACCTGTAAAATGATGGGTAAGTGAGTGGGGTGGCTATGAAAGGGAACAGAGCGAACAGATGGTTGAAAAAATCGGGACGGAGGGCCTGACTGGATGAGCCGATCTTGTTTTCGTCGCTGCCAATTTTGGTCGGTGATCCCAAGGGCCCGAACCGACCAGGTTTGGTGGTGTCAGGGCTGGTCAAAAGTGATCAGGCCAGAAAGCGGGTTACTTTGATGGGCGATTGTGGCGACGACCACCTTGCTGAACAATCGCGAGGGAATCTGGAGGTGCAGCGCTGTATGTTGCAGCGTGACGTGGCTCTCCACCTACAGCAACCATGTAGTAGACGCGCGGCTTGAGGAACACAATGACGTGGAATCGGTGTGATCAGAGCGTGCCGTCCTTCGAACCGCCTGGCCAGATGGACAAATATCACGCAAGTGCACGTGGTCGATACAAAAGCCATAGTCGGCCCGGAGAACGGCGAAATCGACGAGACGAACAGTTACATAGAAAGTGCGGTGCCCGTGGTTGAGGATTCGACTTGCTGTAAGACACCCCCATAGAAAGTTAGTCTAAGGTTTCAGTTGATCCACGGTTTACTAAATCCAAAAATGGCTCAACTAAACCTGTTATAAAAAATGCCACAGGATATATATTATCCTCTGGAAAAAAAAAAACCACAGATTTCAAACGTCCCCAGCTTTTACCATAACCGTATAGTTGCGCGTGGGATCGAAGTACTTGCGGTAGACTGCATAGGCAATACCCAGAAGCAGGGCTGTTAGCGCAGTCACCGCGGCAAAGGCCACCCATCCAGTCAAGACAAGTCCTTCAGAGCGAGAAGCAACAGAACCGGCAGATCCGCCTTGGGAGAGCTGGAGCTGGGCATGGGAGAAACCATGTGGGAAGCCATGGGGGAAGGCATGGGTTGGGATGTGCTTAGTGCAACCAAGGTGGCAGAAACACCAAAGTGGGAGCAGAGGAACGAAGGCGCAAAGGGTTGAGCGAGACTGCGAGCATTGCACAGGAAGAATGCACGACTCAGCGAAGAGCTACCGGGAAGATCAGCACTTAGCCACCTAAACTTCATGCAAACCATGCCATCCTTCTAACCTCCCCTACAACTCCCCCTCCTTTTCCCACTCACTCCCACCTCCCTCCTCCCACATAATCGCCCCCTTTCCCAACCCCCCCCTCACCAACCACATAATCTTATTGAGAGTCTCTTGTATCAGCTCGCTGCTGATCTCCCCTCCCACATGGCTTTAGAGTCGACTCAAAAGTCCCCCCCCCCCCTCTTCCCCTCCCCCATCCCCCCTCCCCACTCACCAGGGCGATTGCATTGAGAGTCTCTTGCAGCAGCTCGCTGCTAATCTCCCCCCCCACATGCCCCCCTTCCCCCAGCCAGACCACACACTAGCTCTCCCCCTCTCCCTCTGCCTGCACTCACCAGGGCGATCTTATTGAGAGTCTCTTGAAGCAGCTCGCTGCTGATCTCGCCCCCCACATGCCCCCCTTCCTTCCCCACCAGTGCCACCAGCGGCAGACACTCATTCCCCAGCGCCTCCTTGGGCTGATCCATCAAGCACTGTGCATACTTCCCCACCACTGCTCCTGACACACTCGCTTTGTGGCTGCTGCTGGTGTAGTTGGCGCAGCGGGAATCGATGACTGCATCGCAGCCCTTGGTTAGGTCCGATCCACGGTGGTACATCCACAGGGCCATGCGCACTGCATAGGCCACCTGAGACAATGGGTGCAGATGGATGCAGATGGATGCATGGCAGGGTGGAAGTCGAATCAAGAGGTGCAAGCAAGTCACTGCACCCACTCACCCGCTGTGTGGCAGCTGCTAGGCAGAGAGGTCAGACTGACAATCCACGCGACACTTGAGCATGAGCGCATGCCCTCCCTGCCCTCGATCTTTAGTTAAATTCAAAAGCAGGTCACCGCGCTGCACTGCACCACCCACCTCTGTGTGGCAGCTGGCAGAGAGGTCGGACTGATAATCCACGACACTTGAGCACGAGCGCATGCCCCTCCCTGCCCCCAATTGGAAGTCAGCTTAAGGGGTGCAAGCAACCCACCTTTGTGTGGCAGCTGGCAGAGAGGTCCGACTGGTAGTCCACAAGGCACTTGAGCACGAGAGTGTGCCCCGCCACGCCTTCGATATATGTTCAGACTCAAAGGCAAGTCACCGCAGTGCAGTGTACTGCACCCACCTCTGTGTGGCAGCTGGCAGAGAGGTCCGACTGATAGTCCACAAGGCACTTGAGCACGAGCGCATGGCCCTCCCTGCCCTCGTCCACCACCTTGCACAGCCGCTCCACGTCCTCCCCACACTGCTGCTTCACTGCCGCATCCAGCCTTGTAGTACTTGGACTGGCGCGTTGTTTGCAGGTCTACTTCTGACCGACAGGCCACGCTCATGCCCGGCTGGTTTGGGAAGGGGTTGGAAGTGATTGGACTAAGTTAGAAGGGGTTGAGAAGGGCTGGAAGGGACACGGAGAAAGGCCCACCAAAGGGCATGGGGACTGCACTAGCTACAAGCCCTCTCGATCCAGACACCAATAAGCCGCCATATACATGTGAATGCAATTGATAGAAGTGTTCTTTTGAAACGCCTCAAAACAACATTATTCAGACCTCTCAAAACAACACTTATCACAAGGCCCACCAACATGGGGACTGCACTAGCTACCGTACCTCTGGAACCAGGCACCAAGTAGCCGCCATATACATGTGAATGCAAGGATCGAGATTTATGTGGGGAGGAGCAGCAAACCTTTAAAACACGCTTAAGCAAAAGGATCAAGTGAGTGCAAACATATACATGCGAATGCAATTGCTGTACCTCCTGCACATGCAGCTGCAGGCATCGAAAAGCCTGGCCGGCAGCGGGCGGCACTTTTCGGCAGAACTGGTGCAGCTCCAAGCCACAGGCGTTCATGAGCGTGGGGGTGAGGCGGATATCAGACGCCTGGTTGGACGGGGGAACGATGGGGTGGAGGGAAGTGTTAGAATTATATGTTCTAGCATGCCAACACTTGTGACTGTACACCAATTGTGGTGTACAGTTGGGTTGAGACTACACCCAACTTTGGGTGTAGTCTTGCATTGTGGGGTGCCAATCCAACCCAATTGTGGTGGAGCCCCTAAATGCAACCCACTTGGCCTCAAGTTGCCTCACTTCCCAAAGTGAGGCCAACCCAAACCTAGTGGGCCTAGGGTTGCCTCACTTCCCACAAAGTGTGACCAACTCAACCCAAGTGGGCCTAGGGTTGCCTCACTTCCCACAAAGTGTGACCAACTCAACCCACTTGGCCTCAGGTCACCTCACTTCCCAAAGTGAGGTCAACCCAGCCTATGGCCAACCCAACCTTTCCCTTCCAAGCTTCCCATCCAACCTATGTATGCTTGTTTCTCCTCCAATCCAATCATTGGTTCTACTTTAAGCTTTCACAGGAAGGGGGGGAGATGAGGGGTGGTTAGCAGTGGAGGAAGTCGGAAAAGTGCAGGTGGGGTGGGGATGGGCGACAAGAGGTGGGGGGGAGGTGGGAACTGGTGCAGCTCCAAGCCACAGGGTTTGGGGTTTAATGTTTAAGGAGAGCATGCCCTGTGGCTTGGAGCTTAACCAAGCACCTTGCACAAATCCCAAAGGCATGCTCAAACATCCCAGCACATTGCCACCCACCTCCATCTCACTGAACCGCAGCTCCTCCTCCTTGCACCCCTCTGACAGCGCGTCCCTGTTCTGCCTCAAACATGCCAGCGCCTTGCTGTGGTCCCGCTCGCCCCCACACCTCTCCTTCACATCCTCCATGCATGCCACCTGCAAGACACAAGAGACGGGGTGAGGAGGGTGAGGAGATGTGGTGTCACCGGGTCCCCTTCCACACGGGGTGAAGAATACTTCAGCCAGCCTAAGGTCCGTCTGCTCCCATCACCTCTCCCGCACAGCATCGAGAGTTGAGATATAGGATATGAGTAAGGAGCAGGGATACAAGAGGCCATGCACCCCACCAGAGGCATGGCACATGGTGAACAATATGGCTACATAGACAAGCACATGACATGGCATGACAGGGCATGACAGGGCATGACGGGGCATGATAGCATGGGTAAACAAACACTACACGATGACTAGATATTCAGAGCCATATGACTACTGCCACGTCACCTGCAGAGGCACGTCCAGCGCCACGTCAGCGACCTCCTGCTTCTGGAAATGAAACACCTCGTCGCGACACGTGGCAGATGAGATGTTGCTGACAGCGCCGGTGAGACACCTCAGCGTGGCACCGCCACACGTGACGGGCAGAGTGGTGGGAGAAGAGGAGGAGGGGTCTGAGGAGGAGGGGAGGAGGGCGGACTCGTCGCAGGCGTGCATGCAGAGCTTTTGCACATCAGCGAAGCACTCTCTAGCGAGGCGGAAGTTGAGGCGGTAGTCTGGGGGATAACCGTTGGGGGTTGGGTTTGGGGATGATGAGAGAGGGAGAGGCGAATGGGGTTGCAATGCGGCGGTATGCACGAAGAATAATGAATGTAATCGAGAGTGCAAGTGAGGGTGAGAAGAGTGAGAGAGACGGAAAGGAGTTGCACAAGTGAGGCAGTTGGAAGCTCTAACCTCTAATAACCCACCCTCTGCAGCGTGCTGCTGGTCGCTCTTCACCTCCTCGCTGCACCCCTTGCTCATGTCCGCATCCCCCATGTGCTCCTGCAGACATGCCATCGCGTCCTCCTTCTCTGCTCATACATGGTGGTGGGGAAGGAGCAGGCGGTGGGGCGGGGAGGGGCCGCCGTTGTGGTACAGACTAAGCTCGACGACCTTAGCATAAAGGCCGACTTGCTCTTTTTACGTGCTCTGTCTTACGACTCACACATTCTTCTCCGCGCCTGCAATACAAAGTCGACTTTTGAGATGTCTCAAAAGTCGTCTACTTACGACTCACACATTCTTCTCCGCGCCTGCAATACAAAGTCGACTTTTGAGACGTCTCAAAAGTCGTCTACTTACGACTCACACATTCTTCTCCGCGCCTGCAATACAAAGTCGACTTTTGAGACGTCTCAAAGTCGTCTACTTACGACTCACACATTCTTCTCCGCGCCTGCAATACAAAGTCGACTTTTGAGACGTCTCAAAAGTCGTCTACTTACGACTCACACATTCTTCTCCGCGCCTGCAATACAAAGTCGACTTTTGAGACGTCTCAAAGTCGTCTACTTACGACTCACACATTCTTCTCCGCGCCTGCAATACAAAGTCGACTTTTGAGACGTCTCAAAGTCGTCTACTTACGACTCACACATTCTTCTCCGCGCCTGCAATACAAAGTCGACTTTTGAGACGTCTCAAAAGTCGTCTACTTACGACTCACACATTCTTCTCCGCGCCTGCAATACAAAGTCGACTTTTGAGACGTCTCAAAGTCGTCTACTTACGACTCACACATTCTTCTCCGCGCCTGCAATACAAAGTCGACTTTTGAGACGTCTCAAAGTCGTCTACTTACGACTCACACATTCTTCTCCGCGCCTGCAATACAAAGTCGCCAATCTTAGCACAGGCATCAGCGTCACAGCACCCACCTTTGCAGAGGCGCTGCAGCTCGTCAGAGCATGCCTTGCGGATGGCGAACTTGAAGTCTATGTCCTCTGCAAACCGCACCTCCTGCTCGAGACCAGGGGAGGAGCAGAAGGGGGCAGGCGAGGGGAACAGCAAAGCGTTTCGTTATTCAAGCGCCTCAAAACAAACTTGAAGTCTATGTCCTCCGCGAGCCGCACCTCCTGCTCGAGACCAGGGGAGGAGCAGAAGGGGGCAGGCGAGGGGAACAGCAAAGCGGTTCGTTATTCGGGCGCCTCAAAACAAACTTGAAGTCTATGTCCTCCGCGAACCGTACCTCCTGCGAGCAGGGAGGGGGAGAGGGGGCAGGAAAGAGAGAGGGGAATGGTGGTGATGGAGGTGAAGGAAGCGCATATTTCTCCCAGCTCGTCAGAGCATGCCTTGCGGATTGCGAACTTGAAGTCTATGTCCTCTGCAAACCGCACCTCCTGCTCGAGACCAGGGGAGGAGTGGAGGATGGGAGGGGGCAAGGAAGGGGAATGGCGGAGAGGGAGGAGATAAGGAGGGGAACAGCAGAGGGGAAAGAGGGGAACGATGAAGAGAAGGGGAGAGTCAGCAAAACAGAGATTTAAGCAAAGACAATACCACACTGAACTGAACGAGCACCGTCTTACCCCATCCTTCGATTTTACCCTGTACCACGCCCAACCAGCCTCCACCGCATCGCACCTCTCTGAAGAGCGCCTCTTTGCACGGCCCCTTGAGCTTGCTGCGGTTGTCCTGCAGGCACATGAACACCCTTCCCTGGCCCTTGGGCACGGACGCACAGTGCGCTTGCCAATCATCTGTGGAAGAGGGGGAAGGGAGTGGGTGCGTGGCGGAATAGGGGGAGAGGAGAGGGGAAATGCTGGGAGTTAGATGCATGTCCTGCAAGCACATGAACACCCTTCCCTGGCCCTTTGGGCACCACTGCACAACGACACCTGCCTATCGCTAGTGCCACGCCTTTGCATTACATGCTTTGCTGAAAGCGCGGTGTAGTCCAAGCTAACCTACAACAAGATAGTCCTTTTCTAGGCAGAAAAAAGAGCCGCTAATGCATGCCAATGAATGCCACACTTTCACTCATCCCAACCCAATGCCATACCTTTGCATGCTTCAACCAGAGCGCGGTCAAAACGAATGTCCTCTGCGGCCCTCTTGGTCAGCATATGCACCTGCGAGTGCATGTGTGAGAGAGAAGAGAGGAGGCACAACAGAGTGGGAAACGGACGCATGGGAGGGAAAAGCATAATGGGAGGTCAAGCAAAAGAAACAGATGGCACGAGAATTCTGAAACAATGAGACGGCTTCCATGAGTTGAATCATCTTGGTCCCCATCCTTTCACCCCAGCCCACCCAAACCCACCCCACCCCACACCACCCCACCGCCCCCCACCCCACTCTACCATCCGCACCGCATCTCACCTGCTGTCTGCAGCACAGGTCCTTGAGTTCGTCCCTGTAGTCCTGCAGGCACTGAATTACCTCGGCGTCTGAACTGCCCCCCGCCCCTGTCTGTCATGTCTGAAACATCCTGGTCCAACCCCATTTCACCGCATCCTACCGCACCCCACCGGACCCCACCGCACCCAACCGCAGCACACCACATCCCACCTGCTGCCTGCAGCGCGGGTCCTTGAGCTCGTCCCTGTAGTCCTGCAGGCACTGAATCACCTTGGCGTCCGAACTGCCCCCCGCCCCTGTCATGTCCGCCGCATCCTGGTAGCACGTCTGCATAGCACAGGGAAGGCAAGCGGGCGGCAAGCAGGTGGCAAGCGGGCGGCAAGCAGGTGGAACGAGGGGGGCAAGAGGGCGGGGCAGAGCGGCAAGGAGCAGCAAGAGAGCCGCAAGAGGGCGGCAAAGGGGCAAGCAGGCTGAATGCAGGGAAGCATACCTCCACCATATCCTTGTGGCAGTACTTCTGCAGGCTGAAGGTGAGGGCGGTAAGAGGTGAAGGTGAGGGCGGTAAGAGGTGAAGGTGAGGGTGTGACAATAGGACAGGTGAGGGTGCATTGGGGGCCATACCTCCACAATGTCTTTGTGGCAGTACTTCTGAAGATTGAAGTCCAGCCTGAAGTCCGATGCACGCCGTTCCATCATCTTGTCAAACTCCACCTTGCTGCCACATCAGATCACGCCATGTCAGACAGTGCCACGTCACATCACGGCATGTCACATCACCACGTCAGATCGTGCCATGCCAACATGCCATGGCAGATCAAGCCGCATCACATCATGCCAGGTCAGAACATGCCCATAAAAATTCGTGCCATGTCATGGCATACCATACCATCTCCACATTCAGCCCATTCACACAACCACAGCGTGAGTCCCAAGCTGGCAGGCATGCATACAAGCACACCACCAGCACAAAAATGCAGCAACCCTCCCGTTCCCAACCCCCCCACTCCTCCCCACCATCCCTTCCCTTCCCCCTGTCGGCTCTTTCCTTCTCCCCCTACCCTCTGCCTCACCAGCCCTTGGAGAAGTCGGCCTCGAGCCGGTGCTCCTCCAGGCAGTCCTTCACGCGCGCATCCCCTGGTGGCACGTCGGGGCAGAAGCGCCTCTTGTCCTGCAGACACGCTGGCGCGCGTGGATGGAGACAGTGGGAAAGGTGAGGGAGGGGGGAGAAGAGGGGGGAAGTGAGGAGCCGGTGTGCTCCTCCAGGCAGTCCTTCACGCGCGCATCCCCGGGCGGCACATCAGGGCAGAACTGCCGCTTGTCCTGCAGACACGCTGGCGAGGTGAGGGGAGACAGTAGAGGGTGGAAGGGAGGGGGGAGAAGAGGGGGAGTGAGGAGTTGATGCTCCTCCAGGCAGTCCTTCACCCGCACGTCACCAGGGGGCACGTCAAGGCAAAACCACCGCTTGTCCTGCAGACACGCTGGCGCATGGGGGGAGAAGGAGAGTAAGTGGGGGGAGTGTGGGAGGGAGGGAGGGAGGGAAGGAGGGTGGGTGGGAGGGAGGGAAGGAGGGAGGGAGGGGAGGAGGGAAGGGGAAAGGTGGAGGGAAAGGGAGCGGAAGCAGTGAAGGGCGACAACAGAGGCTGGTGGACTGCTTGAGGCGAGTCATGCCACTCAATTGCTGCTGCTGCTCGCTGCTCACCTTTAAAGAGGCGCACGTTAAGGCGGATGTCTCCTGAACCCTCCACCTCCTGTCGGAACAGCTCCGACATGCAGTCCCAGCTGAGTCCTGTGCGCTGCTGGCGCTGGCAGAGGGCAGGCGGAATGGCGAGGAGTGGCAAGAAACAGCGGAGGAATGAGGGAGGAATGGGTCAGTCACACAGACGGAGTGGGGAAGTGGAGGGGGCAGTTTTGGGGGAAAGCGGATGTGGACGGGTTGAGTTAGTGCAAAGAGCTTCTGCAACAGTTGACTTTTGAGTCGACTCAAAAGTCATTCCGAATCACGCCCGATCAACCCACCCACCACCAGTCAAACCCAACCGAATCACAGGTGCTGCACTCACCAGGCAGTCTTGTACGCGCCCCTCCCCAGCAGGCACCCCTTTGCAGAGCCGCTGGGCATCAGCAGCGCACGTCTGGTTGAGCTGCGGGTCAAACGCCATGTCTGCTGCCGCGTCCCTCTGCGCCTCAAACACGCGGTTCTTGCACAGGTCTGACAGGCGCTCACTTGCCTTTGCCTCCCTGCAATTGCGGAATAAAAGAGCATCAAGAACCGGAGGAAAGGGAAGGGGTGATGGGGGAAGATATGTCGTCTGCTGCATCCCTCTGCGCCTCAAACACGCGGTTCTTGCACAGGTCTGATAGGCGCTCGCTCGCCTACGCCTCCCTGCGATTGTTTAGGGATAGGCGTAGGGGTAGAAGGGAGAAGTGAAGACGGCAAGAGGAGAACGGGGCAGCAGGACGGGATGTCCGCTGCTGCGTCCCTCTGTGCTTCAGACATGGGCTTTTTGCACAGATCAGATAGGCGCTCACGTGTCTTTGCCTCCATGCAGTCATGGGAGAGAAAGGGAGGAGGATGGAGGGCGGCAAGAGAGAGGGAGGAGGGGAGGTTGTTGTGCGTGACGATGGGGAGAGCATGAACGAAAGCGGGGAAGTGGGACAGCTCCCCCCTCTCCCCCATTTCCCCCCTCCCCCCCCTTCCACACCCCACGTACACACGTGCGCGCACACACGCACGCATGCACGCACACTCAGACACACACACTCACCGTAGGCATGCAAGCACGCTGCCAACTCCGGGGTAGAGGAACTTGTCGTCACAGAAGGACGCCACGTCCTCCTTGCAGTCCTCCACTGGCAGGTTGGGTACGGGTGGCGAGGGGAAGGGTGCAGGGGGGGCCGGGGGCAGGGTTAACGACCAAGAGCCCTTTGAACATGCAGTGCAGAACAGGAGGGATAGAGGAACTTGTCATGACAGAACAGAACGACGCCACGTCATCCTTGCAGAACGGCGGGTAGGGGAGTTTGGGGGACGGTCAGAGCAGAAGAATGAGCTAGGAGGAGGAGGTTGGGAAGGGAGCAATGTCGGCGTTTGAGGAGCCACTGAATATGCAGCACAGAAGAGAAGACGAGGAGGGATGGAGGAAATCTACTCACTCCACTCCTTGTCGATGGAGATGTTCTTGTAGACTTGGATCTTGAAGTTGCGGATGTCGTCCAAACACTTGTCGGAAAAGTTATCCGTGAGGTTGGCTGTGAGGGTGGGCGGACGAGAGGGAGAAGAGAATCAAGAAGAAAAACAAGCAAGACGCCAGGGGCAGCAGGGGCAGGGCAGGAATGAAGGCACGAACGATGGGCTATGTGACATGGCAAGCACGCCTGCCCTATCAAGGTCAAAGCGAAAGACGAAACAAAAAGGGAATGGTAGTAAAAACAGAGAAATTGGGGAAGCGGGGAAGAAAGACCGGTGGGGTGGGGGGGGGGGGGGGGGGAGGGGGTGGAGGAGGGGGGAGGGTGGGAGGGGGGAGGGTGTGGAGGGGGTTCGCGGGGAGCAGAGCAGGGAATAAGGGAAAGGGTGTGAGGAGAAAGAAGGGGGTGATATTGCAAGCGGCACTTGCCATCAGTGCTAGAGGCGAGTTGCAGCAGCGTGTATTGCATGGTAAGACACCGCTCCATTGTTCGATTGCCCACCTCCACGTCAGCACAGAACCGGCTTGCCTCGTCCGCGCATGGCCCTGCAGGATACACCCACGTGCATGCATGCACCCCATCCACCCAATGTGCATGCACGCACCCCACACTCCACCCACCAGACACGTGCACCATGCCACGTCAGCGCACTGATGAGTCCATCACAGCACAGCAGGACAGGTGCGTTGGGTCGCACCCAGAATACGTCCAACGGAAGCTTCGCCAGGAATGTTCAAGAAGCTTCGTTTAAGCAGGATATTGCAAACGCCTCATGCCAACAGCCAACCTGACTGCTCAGTCTGACTCGCGCCTGCCAACTGCTCACTGGGACTGCTGACTGGGACTGCTGACTGGGACTGCTGACTGGGACTGCTGACTGGGACTCATGAATAGCGTCTGGCCTCTGGAGAAGAGCGAATGGCCCTAGGAATAGCGTCACCCTAATGATAGCTCAGCCAATCCGCATGACCAGAGGTATGTACAGCCTTTCTCAGGAGAATGTGAGCGTGACAAACCCTAGGAATGGCACACCGTGTTTGAGAATGTCTCCTTGCGTAAGTTCCGCATTCAGGATCCTGTCTTCATTCTCACATGAAGATAAACATGTTTTAAGACGTCTCAAAACAAACATGTCTTCGCAAGGCACACCTTGTTTGAGAATGTCTCCTTGCGTAAGCTCAGCATCCAGGATCCTGTCTTCTAACGACGATACATTCTCCTCAGACGATCCTTTCCCCGTTGCAGCCTTTCCGTCATCGCGAGACCCTTCGTATTGATCTCTCTCCTTGGAGTCCTTCGCGATTTCCACTTCGGCGCTGGCGAAGTCCGGCGAGGCGAGGAGGAAGACGACGAAAGCGATCGTCAGCAGTCGCAAGCGACTTTCCTGTGGGAATGCATCGCAAGGGAAAGTTACAGCAGCGGAAAATGATGGCTTTTAGAGTTCAATTGTGAATGGGAACAAATGCGAATTCCCTGTAGGGGCCAACCAACGGGGAAGGTGGCATCGAGCCAGCGCATGAATGAAGCAGCAGCGGCATAGTGTGGCATTTGATTCATGATCGCGATGGAAAGGAATCGCAGCTATGAATTGCTCGAAACCGCGTCACCATGACGACACCCTGAACAAGAGAATCGACAGTCGTTTCTGACAAATGGCTAAAAGCCGGTAACAACCCCAGCTGGCGAAATGGCTTACTGACCATCCTGGGAATCTGTCAGAATGGATGCGAGGGAGCCTAGAGGTCTACGACAAGGAGACGCGACGAAGAATCTGGTCAACTGCAGATTAATGGGAACATCAATACGGCCGTTACGTAATGCTCTAGCCTCTAACCAGAAGGTTGCTCACACAAAATATAACTAAGATCAACTGAGAGGGCTGTGCTGTCTTGCCGCATAGGAGGAACAGGTCGACCAACGAACAGGACATAGAGGAACGGACGCACAGCCACAAAATGGACGAACAGGCCAATGGAGGGACAGAAAGACATGCCCATTAGGATTGTCGAGTGCGCTCCCCTTGCCACCAACCATTTTTTCGCGAACGTTTACGAAATCTGTTTCACTTCGTTCAGTCGAGCCATATAGCCATATGTACTGATGCTCAGCTGTACACGTACCCAGCTTCGCTTATGTTCCTTCTGACTTTCATACAAGTAGCTATTAAGAATAACAAACATTGAACATACAACTCTCTTGCTGCCTGAGCTAAGGCCTGCGGTGATCCAGAGTAAGGGTGGACAAAGCAGCATAGCAAGTCTGCATGCGCCGGTGATAGAGCTCCTTTTTCTTCCGGTACTCCCTCATGAATAGACTCAACTCCACCTCCCCGGCAAGAAATCTGCTCCTCAAATCCTCCGCCTCCCTATTCACTTCCTCCGCTTTATCTTCTCAAGAAAGGAAAAAGGAAAGAAAGAAGGGAAGAAAAATCGTATGCTTGAGCACCACAAAGCAGAGAACTGATCCCGGTTCTCACATGATACGTCAGTCTGGCAAACAGGCGACATACAACTAACAAACACGTACACAAAAATCCATTACTCGTGTCTACCTTTAAGCTGCTGCACGAGAGCTCCAGGGCTCCATTTGTCCGTGAGTGCCCTCTGCTGCCCCACCAGCTGTGCCAACCTTTCTTCCAGAGAAGCCAGCTCTGTGCCCCTGATGATGCGACACTGTGCAGGGATGAAAAAAGAGGGACATAAAAAAAACAATTACAGTGACAGGCGAAACAGAAAACAAGCAGCAGAAAGAGGCTTAAAGGTTGGCGATGGGAAGCTTAAAAGCTAACAATATAAGCTACACGACTTGGGTGTCACCACTGAGGTGTACCTGCGTTCTCAACTCTGCCATGTCAGCTTCCATTGCCAGAGTCGACCCTGCAGAACAAATAACAGAACACAACCAGGGGCAAATGAGCAATAATGAAAGCGGATCGATGTTACATGAACCGTGACAGCACAGCTGTCTCCTGAGCGGACTCAAATGTCAACAGCCAAATCGATGCGTGCAGGCAGGTTGAGAGAGGTTCCAAGTGGTATGGAGAGAGTTGAACGTGCATGGTGTGAAGCCAGGGAGGGAGGGAGATGGTGACTCACTGGCAAGATCCTCATTGCCTTTCTTTAGGTCGTCGACCACCTGCAGTGAGGCACGTGAGTAGCATATAGGAGAAAAGTGAAGTACCGATGTGGACGCAGGAAACGACGACACTCGGGTTGATGGTTGACAAGACAATGAACGAATACACAAAAATGATTGCATGTGTGTACTTACGTCCATGCACCACCTCACACCACCGAGCATGGAGGAGGTCACGTACCTTGGTCATTTCTTTAAGCTGTGGCATCCCCTCCAGCAGCTGCTGATACGCCTTGGCGTCCGTCAGAAGCTGAAATAGCTCCTCCGGGCTTTAAGAAAGGGAGAGGGAGCAGAGGAGTGAGGAGGGGTGACGGGATGGGAGTGAGTGAGACAGGGGATAAGGGACGAAACGGGAAGGATAGAGAAGACACTGGCAGCAGGCACCAGCGTCCCATGGATGATAAGAGCATTAATACGGGAACCGACAGCACATGACAGAAGGAACTATGCAGAAAAAGTTTGCCAAATCTTCCCATGGCCCTCACCTCTTGCTTTCAAGCACGGGTAACAGTTGCTGCTGCATCCCTCCCATGCCTCCCGCCCCTCCCATCCCTCCCTGTGCCATACCCATGGGTGGGGGACCACCGGAGTATCCCCCCATCCCCCCCATCTCTCCTTCTCCCCCTAAACTCCCCCCTCTTCCCCCACCCCTTCCCGCAGGTCCCCTTTGATCCCCCCCACCCCCGTAACTCCCCCCTCCGCCGTAGCTCCCCGCTCCCCTGCCACCGCCGCTGCCGGCCCTCCCCACGTCTCTCGCTTCTTGATATTGCCGCGGACCCGCAGCAGCCGCCGCGGCAGCAGCGGCGGCGGCGGCTTCCGCGGAGCCGGGCGCGTTGGGGGAGGGGGAAGGGTACGAATGCGCGGAGAGCGGGTTGGTGTGCGCCGGAGGAGCTTGAGGCGGGGTCGGTTGGCTTGGCGGAGGGTCAGGCGCGCTAGGGGAAGGGATAGAACGGGTGGGGGGAAATTGGGGGTAGCGAGTGCGGGGGAGGCAACGGAAAACGGAAGTTCGTTAGAGTAAGAATTAAATATGTCGAAAGGTTGACGGAGCTAAGTAGAAAATGACGGCGAACGGGAGATGGCTGGACGCGGAAAGAAGCGACAATAAGGGTGGGGAAGCACGGTAGGCGCGGTAGGCGCGGTAGGCGCGGTAGGCGCGGTAGGCGCGGTTTTTCTAGGAAGCAGGCTTCACTGGCTGCATACCGGCCGAACACCCCTCGAAACATATTCGCGGTGAAGGTCGTTCAGCGTAGTCCGCGTAATCGACAGCCCGCGAATTCGATGAAAACTATGGAATGAAGGAGGCAAGCGGAGGAGAGCGATCGGCAAGGAAGGAGCGCGTGAAAGTTGGAAGCGTGACGGCGAGCAGACGAGACTAAAGATAGTAGTGACTGATGATTGACTAGAGGTAGGAGCCAGTCGGTGCTATGCTAGACTTGGTCAGAAGACACAGCTCGGTTGACGTAAGTACAGATTGGTGTGAACTAAACCGAAGTATCTTGTCTTTTTCCTATTCCACCATGCCGCACCGAACAATACCGATTTCTGAAGCGAGATATGCCATGAACTTGGTAACTTGGCGAGTGCCCTCGCATGGTGACAAAGTCCGCAAAAGATGTGAACACTTCTGATGTAACACCCACTACAAAACATTTCCCCATTGTAAAATGTTGAATCCTTAGATACAGTGTATCTAAGGTGTTTACATAACACGTCATCTAGCCAATGATGTGATAAGCAAGTCCATCTGCCCAGCTAGCTTCTTCAGCTCCATATTGCTAGCTCCTTCAGCAATTTCTCCACTTCCCCTCCCTCCCTCACCTTCACCACCTTTACTGCTTTTACTGCCTCCCTCTTTGATCTCTATCGAACCCATCCCAGTCTCTCTCAACCTTTCTCCACCACTTTGCACACATGCCTTCTCCCCAGCACCATGACTCGCAGCATCCACACAAGCACTGCTTTCTGTGAGCTGTTCCTGAAGGAATGCAGAAAGGTGCTGGAGGGCAGACAAGCAGGCAATTCGCGCGCTGTGATTGGAACCCACTAGGGCGTGTGCTGGCTCCTGTGAGGGGGAGAGGCCAGGTAGGGGTGAGGGAGAGGGGGGATGGGGGCTGAGATGGTCTAAAAGAAATGCAGAGGGGTGAAGAAGGGCAGACAGGCAGGCGATTCGCACACTGTGACCCCACTAGGGCTCGCGCTGGCTCCTGTGTGGGGGGGAGAAGGGTAGGGGGAATGGGGAGGGGAGGGCAGGGAGGGGGAGTGGGGGAGGGGGAATGGGGGCTGAGCTGGTCCGGGAGGTATGCAGAAAAGTGCTGTGGAATGAGAGGAGGGGGGAATGGGGGCAGAGCTGGTCCGGGAGGTATGCAGAGAAGTGCTGTGGAATGGGAGGAGGGGGGAATGGGGGCTGAGCTTGTCCGGGAGGTATGCAGAGTCGCTTTTGAGAATTCTCCAAAGCTATGCAGAGAAGTGCTGCAGGGCGTTTTTGAGAATTCTCAAGAACAAACAAGCGATTCGCACGCTGTGGTTGGACCACACAAGGTCTCGTGCTGGCAGGCAATGAGACAGAAAAAGAAAACGAGAATTTGCAATATCAGATGAGAAGAGGAGGGTGACATGTCACATTGGAGAGCGTGTGCAGAAGTGAGTAATGCAAATTCTCACCAACAGAGAAATATATGTGTGTCATCAATCTAGCACCAACGTGAGAGTGCGGGGAGAGTGGGAGCATCTCACATTGGAGAGCGTGTGCAGAAGTTACCTGAGAGCAGATGCTGCTTGCAGTGACAGTTCTTGAGGAGACTTTTGAGACGCCTCAAAAGTGTGCAGAAGTTACCTGAGCTGAGAGCAGATGCTGCTTGCAGTGACAGCTTTTGAGGCGCCTCAGAAGATCTCAAGGCAGCGGAAAAAAAAGATGCTGCTTACATTGGAGAGCGCGTGCAGAAGTTCACTGAGAGCAGATGCTGCTTGCTGCGACAGTTGCTGCCTCTGCTGGTGGGGATGAACAGTTGGAGCGATGAGAACAATGAGAACAATGAGAATGAGGGGCACAAGGCAAGCACTTGTGGGTCCGCTCTTGAGACATGTTTGCCTTAACGGTTAAGGCTTAACCTGCCTGGCTCTCAAACGTAAAGGATGCTTTTGCTTTCAAGGCCTGAGCCTGCCTGTGCTTTGACTGCTGCCAAACATAACAGTGGACGACAGGCATGGATAAACAGAGTCAAACGAGAGGAAGGCATGGATATGGCAGGGAGTGAGGGAGGCCTGTACTGACATTGTGGAAGGATGTGGAGTGCAGGGCAGTGAGGGAGGCCTGTACTGACATTGTGGAAGGATGTGGAGTGCAGGGCAGTGAGGGAGGCCTGTACTGACATTGTGGAAGGATGTGGAGTGCAGGGCAGTGAGGGAGGCCTGTACTGACATTGTGGAAGGATGTGGAGTGCAGGGCAGTGAGGGAGGCCTGTACTGACATTGTGGAAGGATGTGGAGTGCAGGGCAGTGAGGGAGGCCTGTACTGTAGTCGCCAGAGATTGTACCTGCAGAGATGGGATGGGGATGCCGGTAGGGGTGGGAGAGTGTGAGGGACAAAGGATGGAAGGGAGGTGACGAGAAGGGCGGGTGCTTAGGGAAGGCTATGGTGAAGACAGCTAGAGGAGAGAGGGAGGGAGTCAAAGGAACGTGCTGTACATGTTCCTTTGGAAATAAATGGAGGTCTTGCATTTCTTGATGACCTGGTTGGAGAGACCTGGGAGTCTCGACTTACAAGGAGCGTGAGGCACGCGGGTGGAGGCGGTGTGTTCCTGCTCTTGTTCTTGTTCCTCTGCACCCGATCTCCCCGCCTGCCTCCCGCATCGCCTCCTGCTGCAGCAGTTGTCAGGTCCTCTGCTGCTTGTTGCCACGCCTTGCGAGCGACTCTGATGGAGCATTCAGAATTGAGGGAGTCACTTGGTCACAACACGGCCAAGTGAGGCGTGTCTACTCTCTAGGCGCCTCAAATATAAACTCGAAGGATACGGAGGGGTCACGACACGTGCAAGCGAGGGAAACGAAGGAGGACACTCGAGTGTGGAATGGGCAATGACTGGAGATGCAGGTGGTTAAGTCTAGTCATGACGATGCAGGCAATGACGAGGGCAGTGTAATGCCATGCGAAGTGCCATGCGAAGTGCCATGCGAAGTGTCTTGTCAGTCGAAAGGAAAGGAGCTCAATAAGCCGAGAGCACTTGAGTGAGACATACACGTGCTTGGTCAGACAGAAGAAGGGCACCTGACAGCACAGTGCAGGTCGCTGAGTGCCTCCTCAAGCTGCTCCTTCGTCTCACCATCCTCTGCTTGCTCTCCCTTGGGCGCACCTGCTTGCTCTCCCTTGGGCGCACCTGCATGTGCAAAGAAGCGGATCCCTACGAGTTGCCCATTGCAGCAATGAGAATATTCTTCCTTTGTGCATTACAGCAGATATTGCCTTTCAGCTGGTGTTTGGGATTCAGCCAGTGTTCAGAACAACACCTGTGGGAGGTTGCTGCTGTGGGCGACTCAGCATCTTGAGTGTGACTGCAGCGAGGGGTGTGAGTGTGCTGGCTACCTGAAGGGGTAGAAGGGTAGATGGGTAGATGGGAATATGGGTAGATGGGTAGATGGGAAGATGGGTAGATGGGTAGATGGGTAGATGGGTAGATGGGAAGATGGGTAGATGGGTAGATGGGAAGATGGGTTCATGGGTAGATGGGTTAATGGGTAGATGGGTTAATGGGTAGATGGGTTAATGGATAGATGGGTAGATGGGTAAATGGGTAGATGGTAGATGGGTAAATGGGTAGATGGGTAGATGGGTAAATGGGTAGATGGGTAGATGGGTCAATGGGTAGATGGGAAGATGGGTAGATGGGAAGATGGGTAGATGGGAAGATGGGTAGATGGGTAGATGGGTAGATGGGTAGATGGGTAGATGGGAAGATGGGTAGATGGGTGGATGGGTGGATGGGAAGATGGGTCGATGGGAAGATGGGTAGATGGGTAAATGGGTAGATGGTAGATGGGTAAATGGGTAGATGGGTAGATGGGTAAATGGGTAGATGGGTAGATGGGTCAATGGGTAGATGGGAAGATGGGGAGATGGGAAGATGGGTAGATGGGTGGATGGGTAGATGGGAAGATGGGTAGATGGGAAGATGGGAAGATGGGTAGATGGGTAAATGGGTGGATGAAGGGTGTAAAACCTTAAGAAAGGTTCGACAAGCAAGTGCTATTCAATCAAAAGAAACAATCCAAATGTATAAGATGCATCCCCTCCCCAGAATCAGCATATGAGGCCTCCTTTGTATCACAAGTACCATACTCCTCGAGCCTACTTCGTATACCTCCCCACCCTCTCTGCCCTCCTTCTCCATCCTCAGTCACTCACTCGCCAAGAGCTCACTCACGAGGAAATGGTCCGAGCCAAGTGCATTCCGCCTCAAATGAAGAGACCTGCAGACCAAGGTCGAGAAGGGAATGGGGAAAGGAAATTGGAGGCGAACCGGGAGCATAGACAATAAAGAGGATCATGACCATGGGTGGGGGGGAAGGGGGCACATGAATGAGTATTGTATGGTAGCATGGGGAAACAAACAACTTTACCTCACGAGCAACAGAGCCTCACAGCACACGTCACAACATGCACATGGAATCACCCCAACAGATGCATCAATCACCTGAGCAGAGCTTCCCGTGTCGACTTTTGAGTCGACTCAACAGATGCATCAATCACCTGAGCAGAGCTTCCCATGCCTCCTCCAACCGGCCTTGCCTCTCAAGAGTAGCAGCCAGCGATGCGAGCATGCCTGCCAGTGCTGCTGCCTCTGCAACAGAGCATTACAGGACACCCAACACCATGAACATCACCTGAGCAGGGCATCTCGTGCCTCCTCCAGCCGGTCTTGCTTCTCAAGAGTAGCAGCGAGAGATGCGAGCATGCCTGCCAGTGCTGGTGCCTCCATGCCCTGAGGGATATACAGAAAGTGTGGCATCTTTTTTCAGAAATCTCAAAAACACAGAGATGGCAAAAACCCAGAGAACGTGGGGTGAGAGAAGAAGCAAGCCAGATCAGAGTAGCAGCCAGTGATGCGACCATGCCTGCCAGTGCTGCTGCCTCCATGCGCTGATAGAGGTCAAGAGAATGTGGCATGAGTGCGGCCAAGCAGCAGCGATAGAGACAGTGTGGCTTGAGTGAATGCAAGAGAAGCAGCCAGCCAGTGATGCGAGCATGCCTGCCAGTGCAGAGAATGCAGCGCAGGGCGAGCATGCAAAGATCGGTGTCGCCTCAGCACATGAGCACCAGCAGCACATGAGCACCAGCAGCACATGAGCACCAGCAGCACGTGAGCTCCAGCAGCACGTGAGCACCAGCGGTTTCCCAGTATCCCGGCTTCAAGGGTTCTCGGCTTCCCGGCTTCTCGACTTCCCAGCTTCCCGGTTTCCCGGTTTCCCGGTATCCCGGTATCCCAGTATCCCGGTTTCCTCGTATCCCGTATTTGTGTCGACTCAGCACGTGAGCACCAGCGCGTGAGCACCTGCGCGTGAGCACCTGCGCGTGAGCACTATCACGAGAGCACCAGCACGTGGTGTCGACTCAGCTCACCCATCTCCACCGCAGTGTCCACTCACCTCACCCATCTCCACCGCATGGATGGCTCGTCTCTGCAGCCTCTCGGCCTCCCTCAGCAACTCCATGTCTCCACCTCTACTGCTGCCAATGTCCCCTTGCTGCTTCTGCCCCTGATGATCGTTGGTAGCCACAGATGTGGGGAGGGTGGTTGCTGGTGCTGATGCTGACTGCACAAGCATCTGTTAAAGTAAACAGGAGAGAGAACGAGAGAGGTGTGAATGGCTTATGAAAAAACTCAAATCAAATTCAAATGAGCTGACTGCACAAGCATGTGTCAGGAGAACCAGTGGGCATTCACATATGGCACTGCCCTGCTCACACTATTGTCTCGCCCCTAGTTGCTTTTTACAAAAAAAGCAACTGCCCAAGCATCGGCAAAGAGAACCAGTGGGCGTTCACAGATGGCACTGCCCTGCTCGCAGATGGCACTGCCCTGCTCACACTACTCATCTCAAAAAACCTGTTTTGAGACGTCTCAAAAAAGGACGTTCACAGACGGCACCACCCTGCGCACACTACTCATCTCGCCCCTAGTTTCTGCGAGTGATTTTTGAGAATTCTCAAAAATCATCTCGCTCCTAGTTTCTTAGCGAGCCAGCCACCACCTCACCTGTGCCAGCAGCATCATACGCCGAGCCATTGCTGTTGTTCCTCGACTGCCCGCGCCGCCCTGCCCAAACCAGCAAACATGAACATACAAAAACGAAGAAGCATGTGCAGAGTTAACAGATGATTTGGCATGCTTGGTGTGGAGTGCGACTGCAGTGAGTATGCCCATTATATGTGTTAACATGCTAGCAAGCCCAAGAATATGTGTCTTCACCATGTTCCATTAGCCCATACCTCTCCGCAGTTGCAAATCCACGGTTTTCCATAATAGCTACCCCATACCTCGAGAATTTTCACAGAGCCTTGCAGCAGTGCCTGTGCTTCCTCCCGTCGCCCCAACCGACGAAAGACCTGATGGGTGCATACAGACGGGAGGGAAAACGGTGTATAAAGATGGAAAGCAGGGAGTGTGAATTTTGAGAGACGTCTCATGATTTTGAGTCGACTCAAAAGGTGAGAGTATCACGAGCCACGTTGGAAAGACCCTGTGTGGCACTCACTCACCTATCCCCCTTTTTCACTCACCAATCCCCTCAATCACTCACCTATCCCCTCAATCACTCACCAATCCCCTCAATCACTCACCAATCCCCTCAACCACTCACCAATCCCCTCAACCACTCACCTACCCCCTCATCTCACCTCTGCGAGGTGGAACATGGTGTTGGCGTAGTCTGGGTGTGACTCGCCCAGCTCCTTCGCCTTGAGCTGCAGGTGGGGGGGGGGAGCAGAGAGGTTGCATGACGAAGAAGATAAGATGCGCGCGGAATGAGCACGAGGAGAGGCGAGGTGCAACAGGGTGTTGGCATAGTGAGTGGGAGAGAGAGAGAGAGACAGGGAGGGCAAAGGACGGAAGGGATGGGAAGCAGGTAGAAGAGAGAAGCATGAGGATGGGAATCACAAAAACGGCATTAGAAGGGGAGGCAACCACAGCATACCACATAAGCACCAAGCAACACTGAAACGCCACATCAGCATCACTGGACCTGAGAAACTGAAGTGTAATCGCCGTGCAGTGCACACCTTGAGAGACTCCTGTGGAGCGCAGACAGCGTTGCTTGTTGAGGCAATGAGTGCAGTGAAGGATATGCCGATTGGACATATGGATATGTCATACATATGTGCCATGATCATAAATATGTCCAACCATGGCCCATGATCGCCACCCTCATTGTGCCATCGCATGCCACGTCCGCACATGCAACAAAGAGGAGAGTATCGGAACGCAGTATGGGAATCAGGAGCACAGCACACTATGGTATGAAAAGACAGTTATGAAAGACGAATTCAGCAATGCATTTTTTAAGGAAACGGCAGCGCCCTATGCTAGAACCTACTATGCTCTGCAACCAACCTCATAGCACCCACGAGCCTTCTCCAGTTGAGCCTGCCCCAGCTGAGCCTGCTGCAGGTACAGCCCTCCCAGGTTATGCAGGGTGGCTGCTAGCGGCAACGGCATTTCCACCGCTCTCAACCGCTCTGCAGCCTCTTGGAACAGACGCTCTGCTGCCTCCCACTCCCCCATCACTCGGTACAGCTCTGCCTGGTGGGCGGGGAAGAAGGGGGGAAAGGGCGGAGGAGACATGAGGTGATTGCAGCTGGGCGCCTCTTTGGGGTCAGAAGGCCCATAGGTGCAACTCAACTCAACCCACTCCTCACACACACCAATCCAACATCCCTTCCCAACCCCACCCACCTACTTCCCCCTTCCCCCCCTCGCCATCTACTCTCGCCCACCAGGTTATTCAGGAGGACGCCACGTGGGGATAGAGGTGCAACTCACCGCCCTTACCCAGCCCATCCCCCTACTTTTCCCCCTCTTCTGCAACTCTCGCCCACCAGGTTATTGCAGGAGGACGCCACGTGCGGATCAGATGGCCCAAAGCCCGCCTTCGCCTCCTCTATAGCCCTCTGCAGGTACCGCTCTGCATCCCTTAGACGACCCTGGGGGGCAAGAGGAACAGAGAAGGTGGGGGTTCACTTCAGCCTCATGCATGAAGATTCATCCACAGCCCACGCTCGCCTCCTTTATAGCTCTCTGCAGGTACCGCTCTGCATTCCTTAGACGACCCTGAGGGGGAGGAAGAGAGGGAGGGGTGGAAAGTAGGACGGGGTGTGTGGTGGACTGGAATGAAAGGCAAACTCAAACTCACTTTAAGTAGGACGCGGTGTGTGGTGGACTGGAATGAAAGGCAAACTCACTTTAAGTAAGACACGGTGTGTGGTGGACTGGAATGAAAGGCAAACTCACTTTAAGTAGGACGCGGTCATTTTAAGAGACAAAATCACGCGTTAAAAAAACAGACTCACTCATTTTACCTGCGAGAAGAGCTCCCTTCCTCGGTCTGTGAACACTCGCCAGCGCGCCGTGTGCTTGTTGCCCACTGCAGGTCCCTCACCTCCCTCTCCCCTTCCCGCAGCGCCCCATTCCACTGCCGGCATTGCCCCACCCGCAGGTCCCTCTCGCCCTGAACCCACGCCAGCGCTGTTGCTGTCCCCCTCTGGTGCTTCTGCTGCGTGCACTGCCGACAATCCCAGGGTCGCGGTTGCTGATGCTACTGCTGCTGTCAGCAAGGGGTCTGCTGCTGGTTCGGCCCGAGCCAGCAAAGCAGCTTCGGTAGGACCGTTAGCGTGGGTACTGGAGCCGTACGATGCTGCCGACCCAGTGAGAGTGGTAGCTGCTGCTGCTGCTGCCGATGGTAGAGGAGGAAGAGCAGAAGCAACGGACGAAGGGAGAGCTGAAGCGACGCATGCCTGTACGAGTCTCAAATGACTCGCACATACAGCCGGATCGTTCCCTCGCCATCCTGCAATCTGTTCCGCGCATCTCAGGTCGCCACGTGTCAGCTTCCTCAGCGGATCTAAGCCTCGTCGCCACATCTGCTACACAGTGGATTTCTCGCCACGTGTGCTGTCAGTGGATTGATCGCCACGTGTGCTGAGATGGTTGATCCCTGTCATGCGTGGCCGCTGTTATATTAATGGCCTGATTTATTTACGAGAGCTTGACTCAGTTCAATCACACACATAGTCACTGAAATGCTTGATTGCAGTTCGTCGCTATTACGCGCCGTCGCTGTTACGCGCCGAAACCCTGATCTCTGAAATGCTGGTTTATGTCAAAGGAACCCTTATTCAGTCGCTTGGAGGTACACAGTTACGCAAATGCGTATTCAGTTGCTCGCGGAGATTCGTCTGTAATCAGGGAGCCGCTTATTTCGTCGCTGAGATTCTTTTTGTTGGACTTCCGATGACTGATGTTGGACTGACGGACAGCCATAGAATGAGGACGCGGTAAGAGTAGACGATCGATCGTCAGTCGCGATCGGTATGCTGCTCGGTTACCCTATTCACTATGCTGTAACCATGCTACAAAGCGCTTTTGGCCAAATTTTCTCTACAGCGTGTGAATGCGACTGATCACTGATCGCGGGAGATCTGTCAATTCTCAGCTGCGATCGTTACAATGTCGCGGTCGCCATCTTTCGCCAATCAATCTGCCCACTCGATTATGGGGATCGATATGTGCATACGATCCTGCGATATTTGCATTTTCAGCGTGTCCTGGGTGTAGTACAAATGGTTCCGCTTTAAAAGTCTGCGCTAACAGAAGACCATTTTCTAATTGAGGAGCTTTTTCCTATGATTCCTAGGTGTAGCCCCTCCTCTACAGTCCCCTTGCGGATAGCCAAAAATGTAGAGTAACATATCTAATCTTTGTTTTGTAGAGCGTATCAGGTGATGAGCCAATCGTATTGCAGTGTCAGATTGCATGTGCGACTTGTTCAATAAGATTTGTCGCGCAACAGTAGGTTTCAATACCACCGACCAATCTGTAACATTTTGTCGCCAAAAACAGCCCGAACAATCCAAATTGCTTGATAACGACCTAAACTGTCCTATTGGGACTAAAGAATCCATTTTGCCCAAGATTTTGACGTTTTGACACATAGTCCCGCACGACTCGTGTTTCTCAGGCGGACTTTCTACGAGAATAACTGTAGCTTTCTACCCCAGGCAGATCTGTTGACGCGAAAGGCCCTGCACGCGCCTGTATTCGTGCGTGAGAGTTCCCGCGGCATTGCGTATCCGCATTGCTAAGCGTGTTTTGTGCGGCGGTAAGGACGCGGCACCTCTAAGGACATTGCCAGGATCGAGGGGGGATCGGGGCCTCACACCGGTTTAGGCACATCGATCGGCACACCGATGTGTCCACACTGCAAAATTGCTATCGCCTGGACACACCAAGCACAGGTGACAGGATCGAAAATACCTGGGCAGAACCATGTGTAACTGCAAATGTTGCAGAAACATGAGCAGCTACTCCTAGTTAGGTAGAAATTTACTTGGCATGTTATTTCCACCTGCCGTTGCTAACTTGGCAACGCATATGCTAGAGTAGTTGTAGAAACGTTCTGCGTGAACGTTTGTGCCTCTCTTCACTTCGTTCCTATATGGTTCATGTCTTTCCATTGTATTCTATTATTCTCTTTTCTATAGTGAAGCTATGTTCAAGCTTTCTCCCAACACTTAGACAAATTCTACAAGGCAAGCCACCGCAATTTCGTGCCTCAACTCCTAGTGCACATTTCGTGACGAGATTCACGTGTCCACGTTTTCGTGCCCCGCCATCCCAAAAAGTAGATATCTCCGCAAGATTCTCATCGCAACACTGGAAAGTGGTTCCTACAAGGAAACTCGACTCAAGGGAAGGTCAATTGAGAGATGGGTAGCATTCATGATATATATTCAGCGTATGATGGTTGTACTAGTGTACATGGATATTTGTACGTGAATCATCCAATCTCGGCAAACTATTATCTATTTCACCGCATCACGTCCAAGCTTGGTTATGTTGTGCAGCTGGAGGATTCCCTCCTTTTTCGAGGACGCCGCTCAAACATCAGCTGTCGTAACATCAGCTCCGGGACAACGTGGTCGTTAAAGGTTTCTGATGTTAATTCCCAGCGTCGCCCCTCGGATCCAAAACCGCATCAGCCGCATCTGCTCGTTAAACTGAAATGTGGTCCCTGCATCTTCGTTACAAGACTGTCTATAAGTAAACGTCATTCATTTTGTTTTTAAAGCTTTATGTTGCGTCATTATGACATTTTTCAGTTTCGTCAAGGACTGCATGCAGCACACGAGGGGCATCACAATTTCGAGATACCATACAGGTGCTGCGTTCGTCCGACCTGATTCCAAAGCTCCTAAAGACCCGTTACGTCAAGAGGATTTCCTTCGTGCACCAGCGCGAGCAGGCTAGAACCATCTGCCATCAAACACAGACTCGGTACAGCGTTGGCATGCCCTCTATGCGACCAGAATCCACCCCGCCATCCAAGGCTGGTTTTTCATATCTTGGTGTTGGTTTTTGAGACATCGTTGGGGCCTCAATACTTGACAGCAGTTCACTCGTTAGTTGTTAGTTTATACTTACATCCACTTTGTTCCACTTTAGAACATTATGTAGCAGGTAACGAAGGTAATGGGTTCCGTCTTTATCACAGGGTTACCCGTCTTCATCTTCGTCTTCGTTCTTGGTAACGAAGGTAATGGATCCATGGTAAGTGAAGCCGGCGAAGTTAACAATGGCAAAAATGGGAGATGTGGGATGAGAGATAGAAGATGGAATACGGAAGATGGGAGATGGGAGATGAAAGATGGAAAGTGAGAGATGGGAGATGGGAAATGAGAAATGGGATATGGGGAATGAAAGATGGGAGATGAGAGATGGGAGATGGAAAGTATGAGATGGGAGGTGAGAGATAAGAGATGAGAGATGAGAAATGGACAATGGGAGATGGGAGAAAGGAGAAGGGAGATGGGAGAAGAAAGATGGGAGATAGAGGATGGGAGATGGGAGATGGGATATGAAAGATGGAAAGTGGGAGATGGGAGATGGGAGATGGGAGATGGGAGATGGGGATTGGAGATATGAGATGGAAAGTAGGAGATGGAAGGTAGGAGATGGGAGATGGGAGACGGGAAGTGGGCGATGGGAGATGGGAGAAAGGAGATGGGAGATGGCAGATGAAAGATGGGAGATGGAAGTGGGAGATGGGACATGGGAGACGAGTGGGAGATGGGAGATGGAAAGTGGGAGATGGGAGATGGAATATGGGAGATGGGATATGGGAGATGGGAAATGGGAGATGGAAAGTGGGAGATGGAAAATGGAAGATGGTAAATGGAAGAAGAGTGATGGGGGATGGAAAGTGGAAGATTGGAGATGGAGATGGGAGATGGGAGATAAGAAGTGGGCGATGGGAGATGGGAGATGGTGTGGTGATCAACTCTACAACGAGAGCTAGACTATGGGGGAAGGCACTGTTTTGAGAGGGATCGCGGCATTTCTTAGCGTTCTCTGGCACTTGCGTGTTCAAGAGGCAAAACGTCAAGAGTTTCACTAGAGAAAGTTCAGAACAATGGTAGCAACAGCATTGGCAAAGCTGACTACATCAGAAGGAAGTCTGCCTAACATGGGAGCAGGTCGACTTCCAACGTAGCATGGTCGATCGCGTTCCAGCGCAGCATGGTCGACCGCGCTTCAGCGCAGCAGAAAGGCAGCTTGCCAACGTTGCAAGTCGACGGCGTACCAACACTACTGTAAGGCGTTTGTCTGGCGTTGCACCCTCAGGTAAGAGCAACACACCTACTTCGAAGATGCTCGTAGTCGATTGGTGCGACGTGCACCGCCACGTGCACAGCGCAGGTGCCAGGTTGACCACGTGCCACTAACTGTGCCCGATCAGCCACATCGACCTCGGGATTCCACTCCAAGGTCGGCTTCGCCAAATCCACCTTGGCGACGGTCACGCACCTTGCAGAACCTCGTCGCCCTGGTTATTTGGTCGACATGGAAACCATCAGGTCAACGTCGACTTGCTCGGTAGAAGTTGATTAACAGTTGCACGTGCTTGTCGACCACCCAAGTTGACGACCACCAGCTGACTTCACTAAGTCGGCCTCTCCCCGGGGTCGACCACATCTGGTCGACCAGATCTGCTCTTCGCCGACTGCACCAAGTTCGCTTCCCCAGGTCGGCGCCCTCCCAGTAATGATAATGGTAATGGTGATGGTCATGGTAGTGATTGTTAAACTGTATTATGCTTGTAGGCTGTAGTGGGGTAGCCAATATGGGGTACAACCCCAACTAGGGTTTCATATTTGTACCAAAACTTCTGCTAGTTCATTCATTCTTGCCTAGTTATCTTGAAATGGTATTCAGAGCAGGAGGTCCCTAGGACCTACCGACCGTTTTTTTTTTAAGGGCCCACCACCGCTCGCATGCGGTTACCACGCTACCCCGTGCCCTAGCCTCGTAGCGCCCTCGTGCGCCCTCGTTAGCGCCCTCGCGCGCCCCTCGTTAGCGCCCTCGCGCACCCTCGTTAGCGCCCTCGCGCGCCCCTTCGTTAGCGCCCTCGCGCGCCCCTTGCTAGCGCCCTCGCGCGCCCCTCACTAGCGCCCTCGCGCGCCCCTCGCAGTGTCGCCCGCCCGCCGAGCCGCCCGCTCGCAGCCCGCTCGTCCCGCTGCCCGCTTCGCAGCCCGCCCGCCCGCTCGCTGCCCGCTTCGCGGCCCGCCCGCTTCGCAGCCCGCTCGCCCCGCTGCCCGCTTCGCAGCCCGCCCGCCCGCTCGCTGCCCGCTTCGCGGCCCGCCCGCTTCGCAGCCCGCCCGCCCGCTCGCTGCCCGCTTCGCGGCCCGCCCGCTTCGCAGCCCGCTCGCCCCGCTGCCCGCTTCGCAGCCCGCCCGCCCGCTCGCTGCCCGCTTCGCGGCCCGCCCGCTTCGCAGCCCGCTCGCTCGCTGCCCGCTTCGCGGCCCGCCCACTTCGCAGCCCGCCCGCCCGCTCGCTGCCCGCTTCGCGGCCCGCCCGCTTCGCA